CCCTCCTCCTCCCCCTCCGCCTCCCCCGACCGGCGGCGCTCCCCCTCCCCCTCCGCCTCCCCCGACCGGTGGTGCTCCCCCTCCACCTCCGCTTCCCCCATCCGGTGGTGCGCCCCCTCCGCCGCCTGCCCCAGGTCCAGCGCCCGCTCTACCGACCCCGTCAGGCGGCCGCGATGGTCTCCTTGCCGACATCCGCGGCGGTGCGCGGCTCAAAAAGGTCACCGACACCGAGAAACGCGATCGGAGCGCTGCAGCTGTACCGGGTGGGGCAGCATCTCCATCTCCAGCCGCGGCTTCGGGTGGCGATTCGGCGGCGGGAGGTCAGGAAGGGCTGGCAGGAGCGTTGGCTCAGGCGTTGGCGAAGAGGAAGGGGAAGGTTGGTGATAGTGATGATGAGAAGAGTGACAATGACGACTGGTAGCGGTAGCGTTCCTGGGAACAAAAGTTAATGGGGAAAAGACGATCGTACAGTAGATGTGATAGGTTGGGTTCAAACTCGTAATAGCGGGTAGAAGCATATGATACCAAAATTGCCGATAATTATCCAATATATACGGAGTAATGTCTATGAACTTCGATTCCTACTGGTATATTCGTGGAATCTTCAACCCCCAATCTTAATATTGATCGCATCCCCGGACCCTTTTCACATGGAATGACCGGGGGGGTATGACGGGGGATTTTACAACTTGCCAGGGATAGACAGAGCGGCCGCAACACCAAGCTCGACGCTCTCAGAATATCACGGGCGATGATTTCGTTGATCGGCTTACGCGAGATGGATACTCTAGGTTCAATCCTACATAATCCACTTCTTGCTCTCTCCCTCGCTTTTGCTATCGCTTTAGGATTCTTCGCTCTGCAGCAATGGCTGTTCCCAACTCCGGAGAAGTCGGTTCCGTCCTTCACTGTGCCTCTGCCAGCCGCATGCAAGTCTGACTGGAAAGGCGAGGAGCTACTCAACCCTACAGTCAAGGTAAGCAGTTGTGTCGGATGAATGAGGAATAAATCAACTCTAATTGGTATCAAGGTTTCTGGATCCTCCCTTATTCAATGCTACTGTCCAGCGAGCGGTCAGCTACTCGGCCGCATCAACCCTGTGACCCGTGATGGAATCGACCGCGCAATCGCAGCAGCAAGTAAAGCACAGAAGCAATGGGCGAAGACGAGTCTTACAGAGAGGAAAAGGGTGCTGAAAACAGTGCTTCGGTATGGGCTCCCGGATCTTTCCTAGCAGATGCGAGACTACCCCTCAGAAGATAAATGCTAATCCTGTTTGCATATCCACAGATACATCCTACACAACCAAGAAGCGATCGTAACAGCAGCATGCCGCGACACGGGCAAGTCGCGGGTGGATGCCATCTTCGGCGAGATCATGGTCACGACGGAGAAGTTGCAATGGACTATCACGAATGGCGAGAAAGCTATAAAGCCAAGCAGGCGGCCGACAAATTTTCTTATGATGTACAAAAAGAACACTGTTGCATACGAGCCTCTAGGTGTGGTTACTGCGCTGGTATCCTGGAAGTACGCTCACGAATGGATCCTATGTCTATTCGAGTCTAACAATTGCCCAGCTATCCATTCCACAACGCTCTCTCACCTGCAATTGCCACGCTCTTCACTGGCAATGCCCTCGTCCTTAAACCATCCGAACAGGTCGCGTGGTCTACCGCGTACTTTGTCTCGATCCTCCGCGCCGCCCTCACTGCCACCGGCCATTCCGCAGACCTCATCCAGAACATCCCGTGCTGGCCCAACACCGCCTCCCACATTACCTCCCACCCCGACATTTCTCACATCACTTTCATTGGCTCCCGCCGCGTCGGTCACCTCGTGGCTGCCTCCGCTGCGCAATCCCTCACCCCCACTGTCATCGAGCTGGGCGGCAAAGACCCTGCGATCGTGCTGGATACGGTGGCCGATAGCGGGTCGGAGCTCTCCCGGGTCGCGGACATCCTCATGCGTGGCACATTCCAGGCTTCCGGACAGAACTGCCTCGGCATCGAACGTATCATCGCCACTCCCCGCGCCTATAACGCCCTGCTGTCCGTCCTCCCGACCGCCGTTCGCTCGCTGCGTCAAGGCGATCCGCTATCCGACGAACCGGTCGACGTCGGCGCCATGGTCTCCGACGCGCCGTTTGCGGAACTGGAAGCCTTGATCAAAGATGCGGTGACGCATGGCGCGAAGCTCCTAGCCGGCGGACAAGCGGGGAAGGTGTCATCGGCGCCCAATGGGCATTTCTTCGCCCCAACGCTGTTAGTCGATGTCACACGGGAGATGCGGATTGCGCAAGTGGAGCTGTTTGCGCCGGTGATGGTCGTGATGCTGGCGAGGGGTGTGGATGATGTGATCGCCATTGCGAATTCGACGCAATATGCGTTGGGGGCATCGGTGTTTGGAAGCGCAGGAAGCAAGGATGTCAGGCGCGTGGTGAAGGAGGTAAGGGCAGGGAATGTGTCGGTGAACGATTTCGGGGTGTTCTATGCCGTGGGGATGCCTTTTGGCGGCGTAGGTGGGAGTGGGTATGGGAGATTTGGCGGTGAAGAGGGATTGAGAGGGCTGTGTAATGTGAAGAGCATATGTGAGGACCGTTTTTGGGGAGTCAAGACGCCCATTCCAGGTCCCCTGAGGTTGCCTTATGATGACGTAAATGAGGCCTGGAGGGTTGTGAGGGGTGTCATCGAAGTTGGATATGCAACAGGTTGGATGTGGTGGAGAGGACTGGGGAGGGTCGTTGGCATTATCAAGAGTTAAGGAGCAGCAAAGATGGTCCCAAAACAAGTATCTGAGAGCATCGTGTTCTGCTTTCTATTTACTCGTATAAAATGTAAGCGATACCCTTAATGTATGCCCAAAGCTTCCACTATTTAGGATACCCGATGTGCCGAAACGCCGAACTATATTCGCATCGACATTGAGAGGAAAGGCATGAAATGGAGTCACGTACTCATCGGTGCAGATCAGCCCATGAATATCGTTTCAGCCAAGGTTAGCCGGGGCTGTGGTCGCTGGGCCTTCCGCGGTGATATAGGCCTTGAGAATGTCAGATGTTGGTACAGAATGCGCCGGGGGAGTAGGATATCTGCTCACCTTGCTCATACCACCGTCGATGACGAAATCTGTTCCATTGACGAAACTACTTTCATCACTCGCTAGAAATAGAACCCCTTGCGCCTGCTCAATCGGCTCACCGAAACGACCAGTCGGGAAATGGATCTCTCTCCTCTTTCGCTTCTCAGCATCATCTCCCAGCCAGTCCTGCAACAGCGGGGTGTTTAATGGCGCCGGGCACAGGGAGTTGAATCGGTATCCCTCCTTTGCATGGACAACTGCCAGTTCCCTGGTCATGGCCAAAACCGCCCCCTTGGATGCCGTATATGCGAGCTGCGGTGTCGCTGAACCGACGAGTGCAACCACGCTAGCAACATTGATGATCGAGCCCTTTGTCTTTTTATGCTTTCGCAACGCCAACACGGCATGCTTGGAACCGAACCACACTCCTTTGACGTTGATGGAAAAGGTCATATCCCAGATTCTCTCGGGTGTCTCAACCGCGTCGGCGTCGTCAGCGTGCATGATTCCGGCATTGTTGAATATAACATCCAAACCACCAAACTCATCAAGTTTTCCCACAGCCTCAGCAACGGAATCCTCATTGGACACATCGCAGATGGTGCTCATAGGTGTAATAGCATTGGGGTACAGCTTCGTAACGGTTCCCACAGCCTTTTCGAGGGCAGGTCCGGAGATATCGGCCATCAAGACACGAGCACCTTCACGGACGAACAAGATCGTGGTCTGAAGACCAATTCCACTGTGTCGAATTAGACATTCTGAAGCAAAATTCGCGACTCTGCCTGGCCATGTACAGGCACAATGGCAGTAAATCAGAATAACAGAAGGACCGGGCGGAAGAATGCCGGATTCCAAGGGCAAGGACGGAACGAAATGAACTAAAGCACATACCCGGCAGCGCCGGTAACCATGGCATTCTTGCCAGCTAATCGGCCTTTAGGTGCTTCCGATGCCATAATGTATTCCTGACGAATTCCACACTCTTGAATTGAAATGGGCAGATAAACGAAAGGGTTAGGATGAGGATTATCCTCGCGCCGCCAGAAGTTAAAGAATACGCGGAATATAAAAATCGAGGCTTTTGACTTCGAGTCCACGGAGTAATGGTGATATTCTGCTTGCTACAGTATTAATGAATGATGAATGTCGTGGAATAGCTCCAGTCAGTGTGAAGTCGGACTATCCGTGTGACGGGATGACTCCGCTACCGCCATTATTAGATAAGACCATGGACACTGGACAGTGGAGCCAAGGAATAGCTGTTGTCGGTCTACCAGTCGGTGCAGTCCGAACTCCGAAGGTGTTGCATTGTTAGCTTCCTCGAAGACAGGTCTCCCAAGCTCCGACAGCCCGGATCGACCGCCCTATAAGGGGTCAAACATGCAGATAAATGACTTCTCCTAAAGCCATCATGTTAATTGCTTGCCAACGTTAGCTGTGAATCATGAAGCGACGAGATGATATGGAGTGCATCTGTGCATGAACGACACGAGTCATGTGATTTGACCAGGTCAGATTGGCATGACGTAATTGCTGCGGCTGCTGAGGCCGGGCTGCTGTGGCAGTTGGTGCCTTGCAGACTTTGGTTGATGCCTCAACATGCAGCCAAGCGGTGCAACAAGGACGTCTTATCAGAAGTTGATCTTTGTGCACGATATGCAGTTTTCAATGTGAAAGGTTTTGTTTCTAAATCACAATAGAAAGGAAACCTAGGAGTGGAAGTCCGACTGCTTGGCGTGGGAACTTAGGTGGCTTTTTTAGTCGTTTGTCTCCCTTAACTTTATCAAACCAACTCCATCCTTCCCAGATTCCTGATTTCATCTGAGGCAGTCGACGGACTCCCACTCTCCACTCCACCTACGTAGTAGTATCAGTCATCAGAGACACTCTAGGTCCACGACGATTCCCTACGGCTACTGATACGTAGAACGAAACAAATCCTCTTTGCATGCATAGTTCTCCTCTTTCGAATGAATTAGCGAATTGATATCTACTTCAATCTCTCCGCTAGACTACCATTTGTCGCGCCATCTCCATTATTCTTACTTCACTTCGCTCCAGTTCCTCCTCCACAGCACCATGCCTAATATCGAACCGGACAAGATCACCCCCGAAAACGTTGCCGAGCTTCTTAGAGATGATGCCGCCGTCAAAGTCGCGGGCCTCGACGTGGATGGCATGCTCCGCGGCAAGCTCATGGCCAAGAAAAAGTTCCTATCTGTCGTTCACACTGGATTCGGGTTTTGCAGCGTCCTTTTTGGATGGGACATGCACGATCAGACCTACAGGAGGGAGCTGGGAATCAGCAACAAAGAGAATGGATACCACGACATAATAGCCAAGGTAGACTTAGCGAGCTTTAGGAGAATTCCTTGGGAGAATGATGTGCCTTTCTTCCTGGTGAGTTTCTTCGACCCGGATACTGAGGAGAGCTTGAGCGCATGTCCAAGGAGCGTGTTGAAACGGGCGGTGGATAAGCTGGCGGGTGCGAATATGAGTGCTATGGCAGGAGGTGAGTAGTGATCCCGTCAATATACCCGTCAATATTATCCCAACCCCCGAGACACCAGTCCTTCGTGTCTCCTGTCAAGAGAGACTGGACATATGTCTAGTGTACATCTCGTTTACGAAGAGTCCGTTACGTCCATTGCATACGTGTACCACTCAAATACCCCCAATGGGGCAAAAATGTGTTCATGAATGCCACAATCTTACCATTCTGTAGCCGAATATGAATTCTACCACTTCCGAGTTCCTCCAACAGAAGCATCGGTTGCGTCATCCGGGATGTCGCAGGATCCCCCTCCACAAGCCATGGCTTTCCTGCGTGACAACCCGCCTTGGAAGCTACCTGCCATGACGGAGGGAATGTTCGGATATAGCATTTCGAGACCAACCCATAATAAAGACTACTATTACGAGACCTTCAAAACTTGCGACCAGTTCCGATGCCCCATTGAGGGCTGGCACACGGAGAGCGGGCCAGGTGTATTCGAGGCGGCATGTTCATCGCATTTCTGTTGAAGACGAAGGTCAAGGCTGACTACTTCCAGGCACTCTGTTTCACGGAGATCTGTGAAATGGCCGACCGAGCCGCACTTTTCAAGTACACGGTCAAGTCTCTTGGAACCAAATACGGCGTTCTCCCCTGCTTCATGGCCAAACCACGAGCCAACCTCCCGGGCAACTCCGGCCACATGCACATCTCCCTCGTATCCGCCAGTTCACCATCTATGAATCTCTTCGTCCGCGATTCCCCTGACCCGAACCCTCCCTACCCCGACCTCGTCTACCTCAGCGACACCGGCCGGCAATTCCTCGCCGGCGTGCTTCAGGCCCTCCCCGAGATCATGCCACTTTTCGCTCCCACGGTGAATAGCTACAAACGGTTGGTGGAGAACTTCTGGGCCCCGGTGAGCGTGTCGTGGGGACTGGAACATCGCGCCGCCTCGGTGCGAGTCATAACGCCCCCATCCTGCTCTCCGAAGGCAACGCGGTTGGAGATCCGAACGCCGGGTGCGGATACTAATCCATATTTCGCTCTGGCGGCCATCCTCGCGGCGGGCTATCGAGGCATCGAAAAAAAATTGGATATTGCGAACGCGGAAGGCGTCCCGCCGCCCCTGAGCAGGGGAGATGGGATGGGAGGTGAGGCGGATCGGGGTGAGAGGTTGGCGAAGGGGCTGGGTGAGGCGACGAGACGGTTCAAAGAAGGCAAAATTGCAAGGGAGCTGTTTGGCGATCAGTTCGTCGAGCATTTTGCTGGGACGAGAGAACATGAGTGGAGACTATGGGAGGAGGCGGTTACGGATTGGTACTATGATCCGGTCTTCTTGTTTACGCATCCACCACTGACTTCTAGCATTAGGGAGTTCCAACGATATGTTGAGACGGTCTAAGTCAAGCACCGATCCTTGGACTACACGATGATCTTAGATGAGATTCTCACATTTACTAGAAACATCTTTGCAAGATATGTCCGAAGTCGAACCGGAATGGGGGGTTATGACTTAAATCTTGAATAATCTATTGGCATCACTTGTCCAACAAAATCACCATTGCATCAACCCAGTCAGTCATGAACTCAAACGATACAAAATTATACAGCGTCACCTCCGCCATCGTCGTCTATTTGCCTACCCCGTCGTTTCCACCATCTCAACTTAAACCAACCTCCAAGACCGTCATCCCCCCTCTCCTGCGCGTTCCCATTGCTATCGCCACCAAGCCAACTCCGATTTCGCCCATGATCCACCAACAGCTCTTCCCCTTCTGTATCCAGATGGTCGTTGTCCTGCGAAATACTCGGCCGCTGCATGCGATCCCACCACCTCTGTCCCGTGGTCCTGATCGTTCCGAAATCTAGCCCAAGCGCAGTGGCTCGACGGTTCGGCCCGCCCATCATACGAGCTCGCCGAGCTCTCCGAGACACGGGGGAACGAAGAGAACCGCGGCTGGGTATCATACTGGCTGAGCTGCGTCGCATCGAGTCCTCTCCTCGGTCGTTGAGCTCGTCCCAGATCTCGGCGGCATCTTCTGGAACGTTCAGTGTCAAGCTCCTCGGTCTTACGGGACGATTCTTGAATGATAGTGAGCGATCAGTGACGGGAGAAAGGGATTTAGGTGTTGATATGTTCGGGTGACGAGGGCGAGTGCGCAGGAGTGGTGTAGTTTCACTGTGTCCAGGGTGAGGACGATCTCGAGTTCGAGGTCTTACTGGAACTCCACTCTCGACATCCTCGGCATAAGTTCTTGAAAAGCGTGCATGGCGGTCACGCTCAGTCTCTGAGACTGCTTCATCCTCGAACTCGAGAAGTTCAGGGCCGGGGGTGAGAACCGCACTTGGTGCGGTCAAGTGAGAGGTGATTCGGGGGCGCCCTTGCGGAGCCTTGCCGAGACCATGCTCGTCTTCTAGTCGCCAGCTGAGGGCGAGAACCCCGGAAAGTAATATAGCGGTTCCCAGCGCGATGAGACCTGCATCCAGAGAGGGGAGCCGAGATGCTTGGTGGAAGTATATGAGACCGTTGAGAATGGATACAATGTTATAAATGCAGAACACGAACGGGTATAGCACGCTTGTAGAGACGATCCGCAGACCAAGATGCAGACAGTATAGCTGGAGTAGAGCAAACCCGAGAAGACCAAGAAGGATGATCCAGGATTGCCACCGGTTAAATTGATTGTTCCGGTCGCTGATCGATCGAACAAACAACTCAACGGCCGACTTGGCGATCAACAGTCCATGTGCCGAGAGCACTCCGCTCAGGAAGCCAAAGCACATGCCGCGGAAAAGTCGCATCCGTGGAGTTGCCGGGTTGAAGAGGCGATTCGATACCCAGATGGTAACCGCGACGATGGCCATGACGAAGAATGTCCCGAAGAACCAGACCAGGAACTCGGGGCGCACCATGAGAGACAGAAGCTGGTCCAGGTTATGGGACGGTTCACTCAAAGCTCCAAAGTAGGCGATAAGACCGGCGCCTCCTGCGACGAGGATCGTCCCAGCGAGGGAATAGTATGTGAACGGCTCTTTGAGCATGACCGAGGCGCATATCGTGTTGAAGACCAGGCCACTCTGTTGAAACCGTGAATACTCGGCATTTCCCATGACTTTCCAAGAACACTTACAGCATGAAGTGTCGACAACACCGGCAGGGGTAGCATCGTGATTTGGATTGTGCTTCCGATGAGGTTCGCGAGGATGAACATGGCCATGCCGAGCTGCGAAACGGTCAGCTAGGGTCGTCCAACATCAAATCGGGGTCCTTACCTGCCACCGCCGTCGCCGGTATGGCGGTCTGCGGGTATGTTGATGCTCCTTCTCATCTTCGATCATGTGCGACTTGCGCTGCAACGTCAGGCCGATGCTTTGCGCGCATGTTGAAATGAGGCCGACGAGGACGCCGATCTGGATGTCCGTGGATCAGTCCCGGTGCATCAATGCTCGGATGATTCGGTGGCATACCGCTATAGTCGCTCCCGGCGACAAGCCCCCCATTATGTGCCTGACAAAGAATCCGGGGATGCTACCGGTGGGGAGGCGGCATGCTTGGAGGTGTAGCTGAAGGAGCGGATCGTTGAACTAAAGGATGCCCGCAGATCGCGTTCTTCCCGTTCCTAGGGCAAAATATATGATGCCATTCATAGATATATCCCAAGCAAGCTGGAGTTGGGTATGAGGGATACAGAGCAGGATGGCAGGCAAATGACCGTGGATCACTACCCCGGATGGTCTGATGAACACACCGTATACAAGTAACTTGGCTACAGTAGCGGTGATGCCAGTGGAACCGTAATTAGCTGCAGCGATGGCTGGACTGTGGCTGTGCAATATATATTATTTCATGCCTGAGGCAACAACATTGCCAAACTGTGGCTGACCTAGGCCGAAATAGGATGGTCCGTGCACTACAGTTCAAGCAAGTCCGCCAAGTCGGAGTGTTTGGTGGTCCAAGCTCCTGATCCTTGCATCGTCGGTCATCCATCCACCTCCAAGTGATCCAACTGGTTACAGGACGCTCCAGGCCTCCTCGACCCGACATCTCGAGCTCTTGACCACCTTTCCTCCACATAACTTTCTCTCAATTCCTCTTCCGACCTTCAAGACACCTCTAGTAGTGTGATCGGGCCATCAACTTCCACAATGTCGCAAATTCACGCCATGTCCGACGATCAGGTAAGTGCTCCACAGCCCATCGACGACATGTTATCTCATACCCCTTCTACCCAGGTCGCCGGCGAACTCAAGAAGATGACCGCATTCATCCGTCAAGAGGCTGTGGAGAAAGCCAAGGAGATCCAAAACAAAGCAGACGAAGAGTTTGCCATTGAGAAATCGCGACTCGTCCGCTCCGAAACCGCCTCCATCGATGCTTCATACGAGAAGAAGTTCAAGCAAGCCAGCATGTCCCAGCAGATCACAAAGTCCACCGTCGCGAACAAGAGCAGACTACGGATATTGAGTGCGAGACAAGAGCTGCTCGATGATCTGTTCGAGCAAACGAGCGGGAAACTCGATGCCGCCATCAAGGACAAGAAGAGATACGAAGCAACCCTGAAGGGGTTGATACTAGAGGGGCTGTATGCGTTGAATGAGAGCAAGGTGGAGTTGAAAGCACGTAAGGCAGACTACGGTGTCGTGAGGAAGGCTATCGAGTCAGCACAGAAGGAGTATAAGAAGACCAACGGCGAGGTTGAAGTCGTGTTGAACGAAAGCGACCCACTTCCTGAGGGATCGTAAGTGTTGTCGATTGATGTGAGACCCTCGCTAACACACGGTAGAGCCGGTGGAGTCATTATTGTGGGCGGCAACGGCAAAATTGACGTGAACAACACCCTAGAGGAACGGTTACGGTTGTTGGAGACCGATGCCCTTCCCTCCATTCGTGTGTCGCTTTTCGGGGAAAACCAAAACCGCAAGTTCCATGACTGAGAGGAATGCACTTCAAATCGAAGACCCAGAGATTCTCCAATGGGAAGAGCTCAATACCCGATGTAAAAATGGACCGTGACGGCCCTTCGCAATATGCAACCGTCTTCATTATTGCGGGAATGCGTACAGTTCATCGTATGACGGTTGTTCGGTCGATAGTATCGATCAGGTCATGATGCTGGAAGATAGGGAGATGGCCCTAATTTATGTACATTTATCACAGCGCACTTCACTATCAGAATTATGCCCTCTGTTAATCGATTTCCCGGTTTGGTATTTCCCATTTGCCCGATAGCCCCTTTCTCTTCCATGGATTATCAAATGTCATCGTTACAATGCTCGACAACTAGCTCGATGGGTACAGAAATGCTTAGGACAGAGAGAACCAGTTAGCATCGAGAGGCTTTGTCCCTCGGAGTTTTGACTAGAGGGAGAGTTCTAGTCATAGCATTGACCGCATTGGTGAAGTCTTATTTCATAGGAATGATGGCTGTGAACTGTCAAGGTTAATTGGTTGGTATCCCAAATTCCATCCATGTTGAAATTGATATCACGTGCTCCTTTATCCAGTGCCTCCAGCTTGTCGCATCCATATTCCAACCCAGTCCATAACATATCAAGTCCTGTCCGGATTATGCAGCGAATGTGACTTTTGGCTTCCAAAGACACCTTCTCTAAAACACGGTTTCAATACCTTTTATTCTAAGGAAAGGCAATGATATAACAGTCATGCTGTTCTCACTCACTGTCGGCAAGGTTGATGCCGGTGTAGCTGTTCTTCTCACAGAAGACAAGCGCCTCGTAGGTTTCCTTTCGAGAGACAGACTGCGACGTGGAATGCAGTCATCTCGAATGATATCACTGACCTGATTCAGATCGAGTTTCCCTCCATACTCCTCCCCCCTGACATCTCCTCGGGATCAATTGTTGACATCCAAGTCTCGCGGAATCTATCCTCCGAGAAGGCCGCAGCGAACGCCTTCCAAGCTCTCCAAAACCACATCTACGAAACGTTTGGAAACGCGACCCCCAAAGCCCCCGTCCTCCGCTGCCGCAATGCCACACAGACATCCGTTGTATTGGAGTGGGATCCCATCGATCTTGCCACGGCGGAGCTGCGCAGCCTGAGCTTGTATCGCAACGGAAGCAAGGCAGGCAACATTCCGCGCCCGTTCGAGATGCAGAGTACAAAAATCAGCGGGTTGGCCGTAGACACGGAATACACTTTCCATCTGCAACTACGGACGAGCGCCGGTGTATACAATAGCGAGAAACTGACCGTCCGAACGCACAAGATGACCGACGTTAGCGGCATCACAATCACGCCAGGTATCATTCCCTCACAATTGAAGGAGAGTCTGGCAGAAACCGTGGAGAGGATCGGAGCCAAGTTGATCGACTCCGTGCGGATAGACACCACCCACTTCGTTTGCACCGAAGGGCGTGGTCAGGCATGGGAGAAGGCGGTGGAGATGAATATCCCCGTCGTGGTCCCAGACTGGATCAAAGGATGCGAAAGAGAAGGCAGGATTGTCGGGGTTAGGGGGTACTATCTCAATGCAGACCCAAGGTTGAGGAATGTCGGGCCAAGCGTTTCTCAGCAGCAGGTCGCCCAGCAGCCTCACTCGCCTTCACCTCAGAGGCCCATGGAAAGCCCAAGGACGGAAGTCACGCCGCCCACTCCCGAGCGAGCCACCCACGATGCAGAAAACAATATCAACGGAGGTCGAGACGACGAAAGTGAAGGCGCGCCACCAACTCCGCCGCCCAAATCCCCAGCTAAGGTCCCGAGCGACTCGAATCAATCCTCGGAGGAGTCGGTTCAAGACAAGGACACCGAGCCTGATGATGAAGAGGAGGAGGACGAGGACGAAGACGGGGATGCAAAGCAGAGCCAGAAGGGAAAGGACCAAACGGACGCTAATTCCGAGTCCAAGTCTCCGGAACGGAAGCTACCGCAGAGATCGAAGTCTGACCTCAGCCCGTCCAGAGAGATCGATACGTTCGACGAAGTATCTCTATGAAAGGCAACAGGAGGCTTTCAATCTTATGTACGGATTTGCACTGCGAGTACCCGGATTTGACAGCGTGGCGTTATCATTAATATTGGGGACGAAAAGCGTCCCTTAATTTGATTCACATTTCCACAAGACCTCCGGTATAGGTCTACCTGGTATTCGTCCATCGAGATTTGCAAATATATCTTCGATCAGTGCAAGTTCCTGGCACACCCACACTTAAGCAGCCCAACCACATATAGGCTTTGGCAATAATTACACCTCTTCATGCGCCGCCTTCCGCCCTTTGGCCCGTGAAAAATGCCAGTCCCCCCTCAGTCGTCTCGAAATGGATCTTGGCGCCCTTGGGGAAGTAGAAGACGTCCCCAGGCACGGCATGGGCTGTCGTTCCCGACTCGTCGGTGATATCGAACGACCCCGAGACGATGATCTTCATCTCGTCGTAGGTATATGTGTAATCGAGCGCTGGGCCGGGTTCCAATCGATAGAACCCAGCCGATATCGGCTTTTCTTTGTCAAGGCTGGATGATATCATTAGCGATTGCTCAAACGTCTCATGGAAAAGCGGAAGAATCCGTTCTTGGAGCGTACCTGGTTGAGATATCACCGAGGAAGGCATTGCCATTGGCAATCATCGGTATCGTCGTACTGAACTCTGTCTGTGCCTTGGGGAAATACTTCATTGCTGGAGAAGACATCTTTTCGGTGGATTTTGGGTAGTGAGCTGTAAACGAGACTCGAATTTTCTACGGATATCGCTCTCCGCTAACTATCCCAGCTTCGACGCGTCTTATATAGTTGTATGATCTTACCTGTCGCGCGATTACCACTGCATGTTCGCACGAGATTCAATCATGGCCGATCCTAGGGTTCGGTCCGGCATACACAGGGAGCCCGGGCTAGTGAATGACTGGTAGATGTGTATTCTACGGGCCTGGTTTCATGAAATCGCTAATCTCCCTTCGATAACACACAAGGACATACTTTCTGAATACAGTCAACAGCGGGGTCCCTCGCCATGGCGGGGGATGGCAACAGCATACTTGTATGGGCAGAGAAATCAGTGATCGCTGATGATAGGCTCCTTCAGATCATAGTTGAGACGGGGTTTTGAAGGAGACTGCTGCCGTATTCGAACAATGACTACTTCGGGTTCGTTATACTGACAATGAAGTAAGTGCTGCAGCTTTTGGTCCCTGGTATGCAGAAGCCACTGGAGGGACTGAAGCTCTGGAGCTCCCGCTAAGATGGTGGTCCGTAGTATCGGGGAAAAGCGACCCAGATCGGGAAAAGCGCGTCAATTTTTCCGATCGAGGTCGCGTCTATTATCGTGTACTGCCCAGCAGTCTCGACCAATGGTCCGGTGTCTAAAAGATTAGCATAGATATGGCAGGGATGGGTAGAGATTGACGGCCTTGAAGCGGATCTCCCGGGCATCCAAACCTCGATCGTTGCTTGTTCGCATCATATTGCTTTCTTGTATAATATTTGTGTTTGGTAAAGTTGATACGACTCTCCATTCCCATAGGCCGGAGGAAGGTCGTCAAAGGTGAGGTAAGTACGCCGACATGGTAGAGTACGTCTGACGTAGGCGGGGTAGATGGGAATATCATGTAGCTCTCGATGCGGAAGTATGATCACTTAAATTTCAAGCTCCAAAACATCTAATCCATCCAACTGACACATATAACAGTCTAATTTGTCCATCGTGCCCATAATGGCGGCAAAGACCGCTCTCGTTTTGATTGCTGATGGCTCGGAAGAAATCGAGTTCGTAACGCCGCAGGATGGTAAGCAGAACCGGTTACCGTAAAGTCAAGTAAGGAATTACATTCGCTAACAACAGTACCATAGTCCTGATTCGTGCTGGCTTCTTTGTCACGTCTGCTGGTGTAAACCTTGAACATAACTACGCCACCTGCTCCCGCAATGTCCGCATTGTCCCGGACCACCTCTCGCTCTCGGCCTCCCTACCGTTTCGCGACATCTTAATCCTCCCCGGCGGCGGACCCGGTGCAGCCACCTTCGCATCCTCACCGATGGTTCGGGATCTGATCCGCGCGTACCGGGAGCAAGGAAGGTGGGTGGCGTTCATCTGCGCGGCGACCACGGCGCTGGTGGCGAGTGCGGAGCACGACGGAGCGACGGGGGATGGGGCGCGGAAAGTCAGGGTGACGAGTCATCCTTCGGTGAAGGAGGCCATTGTAAAGAGAGGATGGGATTATGCGCCGGACAGCGAGAGGGTCGTCGTGGATGGAAAGGTCATTACATCGAGAGGGTGAGTGGCTCCGCGAACTCATGAGTGAACGGTTGCTGACGGACGTCGACAGACCTGGCACTGCCATGCTGTTCGCGCTGACGATCGTGGAGCAAATGCTCGGGAAGGAGACTAGAGATGCTATTACGGGGCCGATGATTTGCGCTGACACGCTATGATGGACGGGACGGCGAACAGGAGCACCCATGTGGACATGTAACTGGAATAATGCATTGTTGATGCTGAGTTCCCATTAGACCTCTTCATCGTCATCGTCGAGATTGCTCTCCCGCTCCTCAAACACTAGAAAGTCGGTCACATCGGGACCCATGACCTTTTGCCAGATTTCTTTAACGCTATCAAGGATCGAATCATCAAACGTGAGATCCTGGGGCGTCTCGGGAATAACTAGCACGCGGTCATCCTTCCCCGCGTCCACCGCATCCTGAACAGGTTGATGATACTTGTGCTCAAAGTACATCGACCACAAAACTTTCGAGGTAGACTCCTCTTGCACCGGATCAAGTAGAGAGGCGACCGCATGTTTCAGCGTTTCCTCATTACCCGCTCCATCAACACTCGCATAAAGAACACCTGAGGTGAGATTAGCCTCTGGTCATAGAATAAACGTGGAAAAATAAAGTAATGTTCAAAGGGCTCATCAGTTTGTCAGAGTAGCTGTCATCAATGATGTTGCAGACAATGTAGGTATTCAAAATAGATGATCATCATAAGAGCATGAGGAATAACGCAAAAGAAAAGGTTATGCTTACTTTGTCCGTATGGGCATTCTCCTGACTCACTGGAATGAATCAAGATATGGACCGGAGGCTGGTTACCTTGTTCGGGATCCTGGTCATCGGTGGTACTAAAGGATCCTGAAGGCAATACCACCACAGCACCGGCAGGAGGCGGCGATCCTTCCGCAAATGGTGGGAACAGATCCGAGAGGCTGGAAGACACGATCGAAATTGACCGTGACACAACTGAAATGGTAGATCCCTCTCGAGCCTGCATCGCTGATGGCGGTAGAACTGAAGTCAAACCTTCCTGGCTGCCAACAACAATCCTCGAACGCACGGTATCTTCTCCGGTCAATTTCAATGAGAGTTGAGGATCCGTAGAGTTTGCAGCCTGGTCTGGCGCGCCGGCAAGTCCCTTCCCAAGGACATAGACGCCTCCACCAACCGCACAAGCTCGACAAGCAACCTGAGCAATTTCAGAGAGCCCACCCCATTTAGGCAACACGGCACCAAACCCAGGGCCGAAAAGACCAATCGAGCGTAGATGCCGTGCAATCCTAGGCAGCGCGAAATCAGTCCGCGTCTCTTCCGATGGCTTTTGAGACATTGTCAGAGCCATCAATGGTGCCTGAACGACGGAAGGGACGTGGAAGTGCTCTTGAAGAAAATGCTGAAATGGTGCATCGGAGAAGGGCTGCCAGGCCTCCTCCTCCTTTTCATATTCACCGACAAAGCGAAGAAACTTCATCAATGACCGCTTAGACCGGATGTCAACGGTCTTGTCGGCAAACACATCTTCTCGCCCGGCAGGCACCTTTGTCAAAGTGGAACGAGGATGCCGTTCCTCAAACCCCGTCGCACCTTCGTCTGCTTGTGATGGGTTACCTCCATCTTTCGATGAGTACACCCACCAACTGCCGACAGCGAGGAAGTCGAGTTGCGTATGTAATCTCGAAGTGACGAGGGCCGGGAGAAGAGCGGATTGCGTGTATAGGAGTTGAGGCGCGAGTGCTAAGCTATATGACCTTGATGGCGCAAGCTTTGTTTCTGCATCTTCTCCGAGAGAGGGAGAGAGTGCCAGCTTGGCATTCTGAATCGACCGTCCAGAGCCTTGGTGACGGGTGACAAACTCCTCTGCCTCTTTCAAGGCAAAGGCAGCTTCGACACCTCCATAGTAGGGATTTGGGTCGATGTGCAAGATTTTCTTGTCAGATCGAGACAGTGACCTTGATATGTAAGCTGTAATGGTCAGAATGGTTGGACAAATTCCAGGTGATCCGGGTTGACTTGGACATACAGTGCAAGAAGAGATTGTTGGATGCCAGTACCGACAATCAGTACATCCCACTCAGTGCCATCGAGGGTGTCCATTATGATATGTGTGGAGCATCATGGATACTTCACACAGTTCAAGAGACTATTTTGCGGTTTGAATTTCGGACGAGTGTGAAAGAAAGCTGAAAGTGCAGAGGTGGAAGAATCTTTTAAGCTTCGGTGTGGGAGCTAATGGGCTGAGTCACGTGACTTAAATCAGTCAATCAGGCTACCACTTAGTATCCCCATTCCCTAAACTGTGACACGCAAGTGACGAACTCCGTCACTCCTACTGCTCCCTGTCGGGCCTGTTTGTCTTTCTTACGTCTACTAATGAGGTTGGTTACTGATTATTTCACGGTCTCTTCCGGGCCTATATATTCCTGTACTACATGTTGATGGGTTCAGCACGTCACAAGAGCAGAATGCGTGATGTGCCCACGTCAGCTGGAGAATATCTTTACTAGGCTATTTGGCAATTGACATCCGTCGTTGATGAACTCGGAGTCCCTCGCTACAATTAGCCTGCCACTATGAACAGTTCAAAGTTCCAATGACAATTTAAGCATCTGTGGCTTACAACCTGGCCAGAACAGCATCTGCACCGGAGACCTATGGATCATTCATCAGTGACTGTGTTTGGGTACGCGCGTATCTGGACAACTTACCGTGACCTGGCCTGGGCTCGTTTCCGTCTCGGCATAGCTAATGGTGCCATCCTTCTCAACTACCATGGCCCACCGACCATTGCGGTCGCCCAACATCCAGCCGTGTTCCTTGGAAAAGAAGGTTTTGGTGTCGCTCAAGAGGAGCTAGAGGGACAATATTAGCACTCTCCACTGGCGGGATCTGACGTGAACAAGGTGACTTACGATGTTGTCGCTCTTAATCTTGTTGACCTTGCCCCAAGCATTCATCACAAACGCATCGTTGGATGCAATGACAACGACGAGGTCGACACCCTTCTGTTGAAGAGAATCCAAATTCTCGATGTAGGGTGGCAGATGGCGGGCCTGGCAACCAGGAGTGAAGGCACCTAGACCCGTCAGTTGGTTTCGCTCAGGAAGTTGTATTAGACTATGATGGACGGACCTGGGAGGCTGACGATGACCACTTTCTTGCCCTGCCACTCCTTATTGGCATCATATACCTGTGGAATGCCGCATTTGGTAGGGTCCTCGTCCTCAATCGGAACCCACCTGGCAAGAGTCAGTAGAACGCCCCACAGGAGCTCGTCAGGTTGCCCGAATCTGCAACTTTCGACGAGATATGGGATAGAATCCTTGAAGGCTTACGTGAACTGGACGTCTGCAGGGAGCTTATCTCCAACCTTGAGAGGGGCCATTATTGTAGATTCGGATATTGCCTCGGTCACGGACGAAGGGAACAAAAAGGTCGCTGTATCGAGTGTATGATACTGAAATGGATTTTAGTGGGAATATTGAGATGTGTGGCTCAAGAGGATGGTTTCCGGACAGCAAAGAACTCAATATATAAGAAATTGGGGTTCCTCTGGTGTTGACAAATACTCAGCGCTGGAAAATGTCCACCTCTACCAGCGACATCATCGGCGGGTCACTCATCCCCCACTCAAGCATCGATATCGGAGGAATAGTGCGGATGGCGCCAGACCCCCGCCAGCTAATCACATCGCTTCCTCGTCAACTCTATTTCTTTCCGGCCGATTCCAACTAACCTGGATTCAACTTTTATTATGAAGCGCAGTAACTCCAGTCTCGAATAATACGTGCGGTAATACCGTAAAGACTAAAGTGAGTAATATCTTAACCAGGCCACCAGGCATCCGCATACTCCTCCTACACACCAAACGCCACCCTTGGACTGGCGAGTGGATGTGGCAACTTTCGACAAACTATCACGAGGACATCAAGACCCTCTTGATATTCGCGAAAAAGTTCTGAACCTTAGACAGCACTACAATAGTTCCACGATTGGGTTGACTGGGATTGGTATCTTCTCTGCGCCACGAGCTTTGGACCTGCGATCGATTGGATACCAAAAGGATTTAAGATATCGGTCGTAGCGCGTTCGGGCCGCGCTACGAGGACAACTTCATCACCACTTTGCACATATTATTCTATACCAGTGTCATTACCCCTCTGATGCGGGTCTGATAACTTCCGGCTCCTCATATTATGCATTTGGAACTCATATCACGCCCAGCATCCCGCCGGTAGTAGCTGTGGAGCCTCGCCAAATTTTGGCGAAAACCTTATTCGAGCAATAAGAATGTCCGCAAACCCGGTCGAATCGGGCGCTGCCAGAAAACCCTCAGGCAACCTCATCAGGCGCCATCGGATCATCAACAGTTGCTTGGAATGCCGCACAAGGCGGGTGAAGTGCGACAAAGTAGGTAGAAGTTGGAGTGAACGTTGCTCGACCGGACATTAACAGGATCTAGGTCCACCCCTCATGCGGGAGGTGTTCAAGAGAAGGGAAAAGTTGTGCCTATGTCAGTCAAGAAGCAGAGAAGGAAGCTGTTCATCCGGGCGGGGAAGATCATCAGCCAAGTAAACGGCGACGACTGAACTCGTCAGAAGTGTCGCAGGAGAAGCACGATTCTACTGTGACTAGCGCCTCTGATACCGCGCAAAATGGGAGTGACAAAGACGAGAGCGATACCTGTGGGAGTAGTGATCCGAAGAACGGAAGACTCGGTCATTTGACCCTGCAAAATGGAGGGAGGTCACGGTACGTTGGAAGCACGTTCTGGGCATGTTTTGGTGAGCAGGTAAGCCAGTGTATCCTATTGTCATAAAGGCATTTCTAAATATGCGAGACAGAACCGAGAGTTCGATGAGCTCGTGACAAGTCTGCCGGTATTCCCGTTCCACGGGCGATGCTGTTGTGAGCAAACTTTGGACAATACCGATGATCTTCGCAGAGAGACAGAAGCCGGCAATGCTGGCAAGTTGGGATTTCGAACTGGGGAAAACCGTTGTGAACGCTATTACTCTCTTCCTCGAGTCCTGGACGAGATGCCAGACCGGAATGTTTGCGATTCGCTTTACAACAGCTATGTGGACAGCATTCAGCCCATCATCCCGCTGCTACATCTTCCGACATTCAAGGATCAATACGACCGGTTTTGGATCTGGTTAAGTTCCTGGAACCGTCAAGGGGTGTCGGATGGGGTGTTGGCAGAGACCCCCAGCTTTCTTCCTCTATTATTTGCAGTGCTGTTCGCCGGGTCGATCAGCAATACCACGGACGCGTTTGGTCCATCCACTGGAGAATTCTCGGGTGCGATCCTTTCAACCAAGTTATATCGCTTGAGCACACAATCGCTTGCGCTCGTGTCATTTCCCCAGAGTCCAACGATATACTCCCTGGTGGCGTTCCTCATTGGACAAAACATGCTCATCCGAGAGGAGGAATCGCTCAGCTCTTGTTCATTCATCAGTGTCGCACTAAGAGTCGCACAAGCGATGGGTCTCCACCGAGATGGCAAGCATTTCGGGCTGGATCCCGTGCAAGCGGAGATCAGGCGACGAATCTGGTGGCATATCATCCACACGGATGTGATGACTTCCATTTGTTCGGGGTTGCCACCGGTAATGCTCACCGATGAGATCTATGACACCAGAATGGTGAGTGAGCTGAAGGACGAAATGATCACTGCGCAGATGGTGCCGGATCCAAAAGATCCCCGTTCCATGGCCGACTCCAACAGGAACATCAACCTGGGCCTCTTTGTTGCCGTCGGCCGTTACTCAATCACCACGATCATGCGATCGCTTTTGCGCCGCCAGTTCGAAGTGCGGCAAATGAAAATGTCGGAAATTGATGAGTTCAAACGTCGGATCGACATTTTACATAAACACATCACTGAGAGAGTGGAGCGAATCGAGCAAATGGAATCCTGCCCCGCCGATCTACAGCAACACAGCCCAGGTACTCCGGAGGACATACGAAGGGAATCAGTCAGCACCCAGAATGCTGCTGCGTTCCGCCTTTGGTCACAACGACTCTTGAAGCTTATGATACATCGTGCGTACTGCATGCTGTATCAACCACTCATTCGAGCTTCAGGGGGGAAATGGTGGCACCGAGTGCGGAAAGAGTGAGTGGTTAACGAGGCTTTGGCATACTCGTACTAATAATTCCCGCAGATGTGTCCGCCATTGCCATGAGTTTGTCCGCATCTTCATCGAGATGTGTACGACGCAGGATTTCCATCCATTCTATTGGATCTACCCCGGCATGTATCAGCCGCTGCAAGCAACCGCCATGCTTCTGGCCGACCTGATCAAATGCCCAACTTCCGTCGAGGCGAAGCGTTCACGTGACCTCGTGGAGAAGATATTCTCTCTGCTCAGCGAAGATGGCGTGGCTGGTCGCAACGGAATATCCAGCCATCGACAGTTGTCTGCCGGTGGTAAAGAAGCCTGGTCCATGCTTCGGAAGGTCAAGAGACAAGCCTGGGAAAAGGCCGGGTTCGATCCGAATGCTTTCCGAGAGGAATCGAAGAGGAACGAGACGCCACACTCGTGGGAAGAGTTCGACTCACCGCACTCGAATCCCAAGATGGGATCGCCAGTGTCATTGGGTGCAACCCAGTCGACCATGTATGGGGCAGAGATGAGGCTGCCAACACCTTTCCAAGGATATGGGATGGACCCCAACGCGCAGTATCCACCTACAAACATGTCCGGGACGTCGGCGCCTCCCGCCACGGCGAATTCTCTCAATCCAGCATATGAACTGCGGCAGGACACACTTGCAGCCGACCCGTGGATATCGCAGGCAAACTATGACTCGTTCGATCAGGTGGATTTGATCAATCTGCCACCGGGTGGTCCATCGTCGACGAATCCGGACGACATCGACTGGAGAGAATGGGATGCGTTGCTCGAACGGTGCTTCAATCATCCAGTCATGGGAGATCCTTATTTCTAGTTACACTAGTCCGGACGAAATTTATGACGCTACACTCTTGATGAACTCTGCTAGCTATAATGTTAATCTACTTGAACAATTAAAGTAGCTGTGTATAAATACTTTATATTTACAAATATAGAGGAAGGTTGAACCAGGTAATGATTGTGGTCTATCTATGGCCTGCTCCAGCGGCATAATTTTTGTCCATCTGAAGCGGCAGTCAATTGTGCTGAGTACGCAAGCGGCACTTGGGACAACCCCACTCAGTTCCCCGAACAAGTCACAGCAAGACGCATGTATGACAGACAGGTATCTCTAGTTCTCCACACTATAACTACTTAGTCAAATACTTGTAACGCTGCTTTGTAACGTCAACGGTTCTAGATTCCACGTTCAAATAACTGGCCAGATAGGAGTGGACGAATTTCAGTCGTCAGTTCCGCAAGGATTCTTGGTACTGATCACCAGGCGCGAAATTGGGTATTGGGTGTCGCTGACTATTATTCGTATCCACGTAACTTAAGTTCGTTGAGGCAGCACGATACCGAAGAACCGGAATCATCTACCAAACTACTCGCGCGAACGACGCTTCAAAAGGTTGACGGGAAGCTTTCTACAGACCCGTAGGCCATCTCATTCCATCTAGCCATGTCACTCTGCCCTCCATTCACAGCGGAAACCGCTCTTACGAAGGTCAAGAAGGCTCAGGCTTTATGGAATACCAGGCAAGACTCTTCTACCCAGGCATAAAGGTTCCTCTAACAACGTATCCATACAGAGACCCCGAATCTGTCGCCAAAGCGTATACTCCTGACTGCATCTGGCGCAACCGCGGCGTCTTCATCACTGGCCATGACCAGATTGTCGCCTTTCTGACTGCCAAATGGGAGCGCGAGCAGAACTACCGTCTCCGCAAAGAGCTCTTTTGCTTCCACGACAAAAAGATCGCCGTGCAGTTCTGGTATGAGTATCAGGATGCGCAGGACGGGATGAAATGGAAGCGGTGTTACGGATTGGAGGATTGGACATTTGGAGAGGATGGAAGGATGATTAAGAGGATGATGAGCGGCAACGACATCGTTCTGACGGCGGAGGAGAGGTGGTTCAAGGAGGGCGTAGACGAGGATAGAGTGAAGATTGGAGACGCTCATTGGTGAGTGCCTCAAGTCCTCTCTGGATCACGAGGTTCGAGCTAGGGAGTCGGAGCTTTGAATCAAGCGGGAGGCGTATCATGTATGACCACGAGAAGATATTTGGCATCTGTATTAGATCGTGAGTAACTCATTCGTCACCACGGAACATGATGCGTACCTGGATAGATGACCAGCTCGTTCTTCTTGGTCCTTACTCTCAACAATTTCATCTCGTCTTCTTGGTCGAATTCCTCAATCATCTTCCCTGCCGAACCGACAAATGCATACACTAGCCGTGCAACATCCTCGGCGCTCTGCATACCGCCTTCCTTCCTTCCATTCCCAAAGGCATCGGTGCCATTCGAGGATGCCGGCAAGGTGCTGCTTGAATTTGGGGTTTCGCTGGTGGACACGAGGCCTGAAGTACGGACGATGGCACCGGTATCGCGTGCAAGCACCAGTGTACTTTGCACGCCCGGCTTCTGGCTCAATCGGGTGAGCAGGGCGAGTGTCTCCTCGGGCTAGGAAACAGGCGATATTAGCATACATCTTCAACCATACGATGGCTTGAATACTCACCGCAGAGATAGTCATGTTCTTAGGAGGCCAAATACGAGTCAAGGCATCGGGTGTCTGCAATCCTGTCTACTTTGCAAGGCGCTAGTAGTTCGTGAGGCTCAGTGACCCATGATATCTGGTGGATGCTGCCACCATAAGGGAAGATTAGAGATTCGAGCCGGCTAAATAGCGGGTAAATAATGGCTCAGGATCCCTGCAGCGTCTTTTGCCAAGGCTACATGTAATTGGCTGTTTGTTTAAGCTTAAAATGATCCCTGCAGATCTTCATCCGACTTTTTGATGATGTTGGACTGGCCGTGTCCTGTCCATCAAGGTCTGCGGAGTTTATGGGTTATGAAACCATTCGTCATCTAATTAAACTCCTATACTCATAACCATCGCTCGCACACCAATAGCGCAAGATGGGTTCCAGCGCAAAGAGAAAGAAGGAGAAGAAGCAAGATTTCCAGGTAACTCCATCTTGACATCCTCCATCGTCTCCAGAACCTTACAATCCCCGCTCTAGAAACCAAAACTCAAAGTCGGCAAGGCGAAGCTGAAACCCGCGAACGAGACAAACACCAAGTTCAAGACTAGATGTCAGCCTTTCTGCTCAAACAATTAGTCCGCCGAGCTGACTCCCTTCAGCAATCATCCTCCCGAATCAAACCCTCACCGTCGCCGCCCCAACCACCGCCTCCGAATTCGACCACCACCTTTCCCTTCTGTCTAGTAAATCCGATACCCAACGGCGAGACTCACTCACATTCCTGACATCTGCCATCAATGCGCACCGAACGAGTCCCGCTCTTCCGAAACCAGTCAGCGTCATCCTTCCCAAACTTCAAACCCTCATCCTCGACCGATCTTCCTCCGTGCGGGCGCAGCTCTTGCGTCTTCTACACGCTCTCCCAGTCCCTGACCTCCGATCGCACTGCGAGACCACGAAATGTCACATCCTGCTGCTCGTTCGGGCGGGGATGAGCCACATCACCCTTGACGTGCGACTTTCTTCCGTGGACATCTTCGACTGGCTGGTCGAGGCGGCGGGTGATGTCGTGGTTTCGGCACCGGGTGGATGGATCAAGACCTTAAACCATCTCCTAACTCTGCTGAAATGGGATATGGACCCGAAAACAGGGAATTTCGCTTCGAAAGGCGCTATGGTCAACCGCAGCGAATCTGAGTCCAAATTCGTGACCAAAGTGTTAGGCGCGTTGAATAAGTTCCTCAAGGCCGGCTTCCTGGACGACTCGGCGCGAAGGGCGGACGAATGCCTGCGAGAGAAGCAGGTGTGGTTCCCCTTGCACAATGCGCAGCAGTTCATGATTCAACAGGGGCCGAATCCGTTCGGATATTTGAACTTGTTCGGCCCGGTGATGAATGAGGATTCGGCGCAATATACGGAGCGAGATGATCGCAGAGCTGTCTTTGCGAGGACAGTGCAACGGCCCATAGAACTAGGCGTCGCCTTGACCAAGAAGGCTGGAGGTGAGATCGGGAGGGCGGCTGCTACACTGGAGAATACCTTGAAGGTGGGGATGGCAGATTACAATAAGATTAATTCATGATTGGGCATACAGCCAAAATTTCTTAGTGCCTTTCATTTCGTGCTAATCGTATACGATTCGCTACCACATATGCGCAAGTGGTTGCCGTGTAGAACTTTTAAACTCATCATCTATTCCTACCGAACTGTATTGGCACATTCACGCCTCACAACATCCCGGAGGAATCCAGTCTGAGGAATTCCTGGAAACCTTCATACCCATCCATCACTTTGCCACGACAGCATCCCTATACGACTTCTGGGAGTTTGCGGAGATTCGAGACGCATCGTCATCGTCAACCGCCACATCCTTTCCTTCCCCTCGAATCTCACTGTCTCCCTGAACAGTAACAACATCGGTGACGCTTCCCTCATCCGATCCTCCTTTCGGCATCTTAGATCCACCAGTCTTCTCTTTCTCCCACACAGAGTCGTCTCCTGAGTTTGATGATGTGGATCTTCCCGTTTTTCTCTTCTTCTTCGCTTGCTTCTTCTTCTTGGGCGCTTGTGGCTGAGTCGCCTTACGCTGCTTGGCGAATGGATGAATTGATCCCGCATTTTGTGTCGATCCCTCCTGCTTAGACTTCTTTGTAAAGAAAAGAGGAGCCACAAAATTGGGGTTCTTTCCCTCGCTGGTGGCTTGCGATTCGGCATCAGATATTGGACCGGACGCGGCTGATGTAATCTGCTTCCCCTCGGGAGGCGTATGAAATTCCGTCTCAGGCGAAGATCGGTCGTCAATCGCAGTGATGAAAGTTCGGGAAGTGCCAGGCGTCATTGGCGATGCGAGGTCGGCCGAAACCAATCGACGACGAACGTCACCCAATGGATCAGCAGTGGGAGCATGATCAGCGGAGTCAATCTTAAGAGATAGGACCCTGGAGGAAGACTTGCACATTTCCTTGTCCCCAGCATTGCAAGGGTCTATTATCTGAGCAGAAGCGGTTCGAGAGTGGTGGGCACCCTTAATTGTGAGGCCCTCCGGCCTGTTCGGACGGATGAATTTGGGCAGAGGAACAGCAGGAGTGATCCGGCCCCGGGAACGCTTCACTTCAACAAGAGAACTTGCTGGAGAGACCGAACCCTTGCTGGATCTAAACTCGGCGGCATCAGTCTCGCTCAGGGAGCGAGCATGCCCGAGTTCTGATGCTGGAACAACGGTACTTGCTTCGGAGGAGGCACTAGCTTTCTCAAGTTCCGTATCGGAGTGTAGACCATCCTCCACAGCATGGGACAGACTTGGAGGCAGCTTGGAAGTCTTCAATTGCCCTTCACCATGAGGGTCTCTGACCTTTATCACAGCTGGCACCTCCTTGTGATTATTTTCTTCAACTTGCTGCTGAACCGCTTCAGCAGTAGAGGAGGGAGCGCCGATGGTATTGGAAGCACTCAGCTCTTCGGTGATTTCGGAATCTGCCTTGTTGCTGTCTGTTCCCTGGCGTAAGGCGCTATGAGACCGTGCCCTGGACTGACTCGGACGGGATCGGCTTCGATGCGGGTTGTACCGATTCTTCTTCTTCTTTAGGTCGCCCCCATCCGCACATGTTTCTGGCTTCGGTCCCATGTCATCTCTTTGGGTAGTTTTGTTCTCTTCGGCCATACCGTCAATCGTTTTAGCGGCAGTGCTGTGTGTCTCGACTGTACTGCCAATCGCTTCTTCAGGGATCACAACATCAGAGAAAGCTGGATCCCCAGAGAACCCTCCTTCGCACCTCACGCTGGCGAAACTGCCGCTTCGAGTGCTTATGAAAGAGCCCTTTCGCGGTTTCTTCTTCTTCGAGTTCTTTCTCGACGGTATCTCCTGACTGTCAATCGAGCATTCGATGGCAGAATCTGCGTCTGGTTGGCTATTTCCAGGGTTGGAATTCAATGAGCTTCTGGCGTCCTGGGGAGAGTATGTCACAGCTGTTGGAACTGCGTCTTGTGCACTGGAAGACCCACGACGCCGCTCACTGCCTTGACTAGCCGTTGACTGATAGGTGTTGGACCGCGGGCGCGCACCATTCCAACGTATGTTGCCGGAACTTGATCCTCTCCTTCCGTGGCTCCAATTGCTGTCGCGCCGCTGCAAACCTGCCCCACCTTGGGACGGTGGTGGTTTCACTCCATAGCCCGAGAGTTGACCTCGGAAAGCTCCGTCCGCCAGCTGATTGGGGCGACTGTGAGGGCCAGAGTCATCCACAAGCAACTCAGGGGTACTGTTCAGGACCTCTTCAAGGGTCCTGTTACCCACTTGAACAACAATGTTCCTATCCTTGAATTGTGTGCAATGAACGAGATCTAGAGCCTTGCGAGCCTCAGAAGTGGAAGGAAACCTTGCCCAAGCGTACGGCGTCGTAGCTACAGAGCCTTGAACACTGACCGATTGAATCGAAGGCACAAAAGTTTGGAAATGAGCGAGTAATTCGGATTCTGTGGCCTTCTCTGGCAAACTACCGACCCATAAAGTTGTGACGTCCTGGCGCTCCGAACCGATGAATGACTTGCCAATCCCGAATTTAGCAACATCCACGATGAGGTCGTTGGAGATGGCGGGCAGGTCCGGAAACGGTTCCGGGTTGACAAAGCTACGTCCACTTGCTTCATTGGACGAGGCAACGCTCCCTTGACGGCCATGAAAATTGCGCTGTCGTGTAGTGCTCGACTTCCGATCTATGATGAAGCCAGATTGGGCGAATTGGTTCTCAAATGAAGTCCCGAACTTGGTCCCAGTCTGGTCTGCTGCCTGCCCCTCAGGGTAGTTGCCTTGACCACCACGGGCTTTGGTGATGCGTAGCGATTCAGGGCGCCCATTTTCGTTTCCAGAATTAGCGTGGAACCGCTTGAAGCTGTTATGATCCATTTCCACTGGCTGATATATGGTGGTCGACGAAGACTTCAACCACAACGGTTGTTGTCCATACCCCCGTCCAGCCTGAGCATTGCCCTGGCTCGGCGCATTGGTAGGAACATATGCTCCTGGTAGATTCGGTAATCCTTGATAATTGGCTTGATTGGGGCTACTGAACCCTCCTGGAACCTGAGGTCCTTGCATATGTGGCGCCAGGTGAGGGGGATACGGATAGGTTGCAGCCGCAGCGACAGATTGGTTTGCTGACATCCCAATCGACGGAAAGCTCGAGACACTTCCAGGCTGTTGCTGCTGAATCTGAAGAGGCAATGAATGTCCAGGCGAATCCAGTGGCTGAGGTGGCGCAAAATCACGAGGAAGTGATGAGGTGCGACTTTCCCTGCGCAATTTCTTGCTTATAGTTACCCCAGATGCTGTGGTCTTCTCGACTCCAGGCGGCAACGGGGTCGACGCTGAACGTTCTCCAGCATAGTCGGAGGATACCATTGTGGGTTGTTGCGAAGAGCTTGATCCCCCTAATACAAGACCCGTTTCTGCATCTTTCTTCGGCGGCCCAACCCAGATTGTCGGTGTGGCCATGTGGCCTTGGTCATGGCAGGCAGCATTCTTGGGGGGGCGTTTCGAATAAGGCTTTCGATTCTGTGCCTGACCAATTGAACCTTGCGACACGTTGGAGAGGGGAGCTTGGGCTGATCAGCATGGATTTATGTGTGCTTAGCAAATGTATCGTCATTACCTGGATATCCACCTGAAACCTGGTAGCCTTTCTTCTTATTGAACCGAGTCTTCTGCTCGTTCTTGATAACTTGTTGGCCAATGGCGAGGTTCGGCACGTTTGTCGCTGCATTTTCCTTCTCTCTGTCGGTGTTGCGCTGAGTTGCTTTCGCGATTGGTTTTCGCTTCTCGCGCTCCTGCCAATCAAAGGTCCGCTGTAGTGCCCCTCTGATATGTTTCATCGCTTCAGTCAGGAAAACAAGCCCGTGATAGCTAATCATGGGCACCGAGAATATGTCCTGCGGTTTCACCCCCGCGCGGGCAATGGTGTTCACATCCTCCGGATGCATATGAATCCAGTCGACCGAGAACGAGGCAACCAGTCCGGCATTGAAGACGGCAATCTTCCGAAGGACAAGCTCGAGGTAGGTGGTACCATGAATGTCGATCTCACTGGATTCGAAGAATTGAGTGACCGATGTGCCGAAGAAGACCTCTCGACATTTGGTCGCTCTTGTCTTCATCAAGAAGGTGGAGAACTGAGTGGCGTCGCGTTGCGGATCGGAGCGTGCTATCATTGGGACCGATTGCGGAGGAGGTCCCTCCGTACGAGGCACCGCCGCCATCACGGCTACGAATACTGAAGCACGAAACGAAGCCGACGAAGCAAGCGCAACAAAGCCTAGACACCTAGAAGCGCACCTGTTAGTTTCCTGGCCGTACTGGACTTCAGCTTCAGTTCCGTACTTACCCACTAAATGAGTGATCGGATGCGATGGCAGAAGATTCAATAGGTAAACGATCGCTATCACTGAGCAAGGCCAACAGAGAGTCGGTCTTTCAAAGTAGGTCCAGTCAGCTCAGGAGCCGTAATTGGGCCTCGGGTCACCTGTACTTACAACCAAGTAAGTGTTTGCGAGTAGGAAATGCAAAGGCAATCACGGGAAATCCACTCTGCTAACGCTTGACGAAGGATGGTAGAGATTCTAAGGTTAACTCTTGTCGAAGTCAAGAGATTGAGAAAGTAATTTCGAGGAAGATGACACAGGGGAGATAATCTCAAGGAAGATGATCTTGCGATGGGATTGTGGAGTTGAAAATGGAGGATGGAACGCTGTTGTGATGAAGAAAACAGCACACAGTTGTGTGGTGAGGGAGAAGAGAGAGTCGGCAGACGTGAAAAGACCTGGTGAGAAGTGAGAGAGGAAAGAGAGGTGAGAGATCAGGTGGAGGGTGAGAGATAAGGGAGGAAACTGAAAAGTGAAGGTGAATGGAACTAGAATGGAAGGAGAGGAAGCAATCATCCTTCGTTCCTTCCTTCCCGAAGGTTTTCACTTCAGTTCCTCCATTTCTCTTCGATTTTTCGATTTACATGTGGAATTGACCACCAAAGTCAGAGGCAGTTTGGAGGGCAGAACTCGCTGTGTGGCATGTGGCTTGTGAGGAATCCCATTGATATGATCGGGTGAAAGAGAGCGGTATGTGTCAACTGTAGACTCTTTCACTTCAGTCCGTTCCCTTCTCTTTAACCTTCGCCGAAAGACGTAGAACCAAGAATTCACCAAACATAATCTTTATACGCAATCAATCCTGCGGTATATAATTGTAAGTAGAGCGCAATGAGCATGATATGCGGATAGAATGGGAATGACGAAATCAGATTCAACGGCCAGGCCAAGGCACCCCCATGGGCATCACTGGATGTATCATGGGGACAATCTTTCACCATCAACAAACTCATCAGTTCATGATCCACATTAACTTAATCTTACACATGCAATGCCAAAGATGGGTGGGTATGTCCTCTGCCAGCCTTCGCCGTGATGGTTCCCATGATGGTCACCTGGGGTAGGCTATTCCTTCGGAAGTGACTTCAGCAGATGAAGGATCTCTGACTTGTCCTCTCCAATCACTACAAAGTGTTAGATGTACTCCAACGCCTGTCGGAGTGCTCTGAATTATACGCACCTGCCTTGCCATTGGTCCAGTCTACGGTCTGTTAAAGGTCAGCGTAGCCCAATCAAACTCCAGGTCGAATCGACAAACCACTGGTCGCTGGAAGCTCTCTGCATCGTGTTCCAGCCTCCGCACTGCATCGGACACGTCGGATGCTCCGGTCACCACTTTCCCTGCATTTTTATTGCCCACGTATTCGATGATGTTCTGTAATTGGTCGGACGTTGGTGGCTCTTCGACGACGTCGAGGTCAAACGGAGCGTGTTGCGATTGATTATGGGCCTCATGTGATGATGCCTGATCTACCGTTGCAGTTGTGTTCGACGTCGCGGAAGCTTGCTTAAGCTGTGTTAGAATTCGAGTCGATGCTGAGACACTGGGTTTGTGGAAGAGCGTGACGACGTTCTTGACACCGTGCTGTGGTGAGGTTAGCGTCGATGTGGTAGGGATATGGCGAGCATTGGATTTCGGATACCTCTTTGAATAGGTTCTTGAACATCTTTAGGAGAATGGATAGCACAACACGTGGATACTCTGGAGAAAGATGATAATATAACGTGGTGAAGTCAAGCTTCAGAAGCTGTTCCAGGAGATCGAAACCCAGGGTACTCCGTACAGTCACCCACTTCAACCAATCACTGCCGTTCGTCATCGACGTCATCCCTCTCCACTATCTGGTGCACAGAGCATCAATGTCTCTTCACATTCATTTACGTGGCTTTGGGTCAAGTTACAAAGGACCAATGTCGATTTAAATCAAGGAACTGATATGATGCTCTCAGAGGCATATGCTGGGGACTCTCTAGCACTGAAGAGCTCCGTTTCTAGAAGAATCTCATCCATACTCGCTACATTCATTGGACGCAGATCAGATAGGTAATGTGCAGGCTTGTCACCTGGAGGTATCGACACGATACACATTGGCATTACTATACATGTTATACATCGAAGCATTGACACGCCTTCTTCCCAAACCACAGCCTTCCTAATGCACCACTCTGCAAACTCGGACACTGCCACGACATCTCCTCTGCTTCCCCACCCGGACTCGCGTCAGCGCATCTCATCAGCACACCCCACAGCCGCTCTAGCGAGTACCCAAGCATCGGAGAGTCCATTTTATCAAGCGCCCGCGATTCGTCTTCGGGGTTCTCGGCATCCGAATCAGCTGAGGACTTTGGACCGGACCGGGAAGGTGGGTGCTCTGCCAGGTAAGGGACCTCGTGATGACTGCCAGCGGCAGCTAGATAGTCCGATGAGTGAGCCCAGGACCCGGGATCCTCAAATGCCCACAACAGATCCGCGTATACCGACGGGGAAATGCCGCGGATACGGGCGGCAGATGCAATGAATTGGCCTTTGTAAGTCAGGAGCAGTTGCCGCTGTTTTTGATCCGCAACCTCAGGTTCCGATCTTATCAGATTCGTAACTGGCGTGACGGTGGAGAGAAGACGCTTCATAGAATCGGACATGATTCCCTCAATCGCGCTAAAATTCGTACCGTAATGATCAGTCGAAAGCAAGGTCGAGTCGGGCTTGCACGAGGTGCCATATGCGGCGAAAAACAGTCGTTCAATGAGGCCAGAGTCATCATGCCAACCCCAGCGGTCTCCGCAGTCGCTACAAGAGCACACATTCCCACTGAATCCGAGCGGAAGAAAGCCGGTCTTCTCCTGGTCGAAGTAATCCCGGATACGCGGCACGAACTCCCTGGTATTATGAATCCCTGCCTGCATAAACAGCGTATGCCTGGCGAGGCTATCCCAATTGTTCACAATGTGATGCAGATAGGTATGACCCTCGCGGCCCACGTTCTGAAGAATTGCGACTTCCGAACCTCCGATCGATGCTCGTATTGTCTTGTCCGATGCATTGGGATCCTTCGTATAATAATGGATCTGGGCTTTGTTCAGACCGGGAAGCTCGCGCAGGTCGGACAATAGCGACAGAAGAGGCTCTAACGGTTCGTTATGTGCAGAAATGACAATGTCGATATCGTTCGGGGGCTCGTATGCCTTGTCGAGATAGATAGGTAGCGATGGAGGATCCTTGGCCATGAGGGTGGCTCCGAAATTCAATCGGAGAAATAACGGCCACGAAAGGGCGATCAATACGACATGCGCATAGTTCGAGAATTTTTTGGGAAATCGCCCGGCTATAGTCTTCTTCTTCATAACGCGCTCGTGAGCGGTGGCTACATCCAAGGCATAGCCCTCTTTGCCAATGCGTCGTAACTTTTCGTGACCAGGAATATTAGCCAGGCATCTAACAAGGACTAAAACAAAAACAGCGATCTGGAAAGGCATGCTATGGGGTCTTCGGGTCCGCACCGACGGCATAGCAAAGAGAAAGCCTGCCCGAAGCATGATCATCCAAGCCGTCGACCTGGTGGGTATAGCGATCTTGTCCCCGCGGACAAGGCGAAGCGAAGTATTAGAATAGGGCGCAATCGTAGACTGCTCGGACAGTAATGGTACAAGTGTGAAAAGCATGAACACCAAAAAGGTAAAACTGTTCACGCGAACCGATCGAAGTGCTCCTGCCTTCGACTCGGTGAGATACTCCATAAGAAGCGATGGAATGATGACATATGCGGTCTGCAAGGCGAGGAATCCATCATTGAAGCGGCAGTCGACCGCAATGCCGCAGTGCTGATGAGCCTCAAAATTGGCCCTTCGCCTCAAGATCCGAGATAAGAAGAGCGAAATGAATGCGATAGCCGAGCACAACCCCCCGTTAGCCTGAATCCTGTACTCGTCTATCATGATGGCAGCGAGCCCAAAGAAGAGGAGAGATTTTGTCCAGTTCAACCGCCAAAGGGTAGGATTTCCTCGATGAAGATAAGGGAGGTCGATGATATCTGAGAGGCAAACCCAGGACTAAGTAACTATTAGCAAATACACATGGCTTCAGGGATGGGGCTCATACAGAAACGAAGACCAGAGTGATCAAGTTCTCGAAGTGTATAACGGCCTGGAACCAAAATATGACGGACACCGCGCTTAGGATTGCTGCTCCATGAAGCAAAACCTTGTTCCATTTTGAAGCCAGGCCATTTTCACGACCAGACTGTGCCACATATCTCCTTTGATGTTTCTGATCCGTACTTTTCACCCTTTCTCTTTCCCTTTTGACTTCGACACCTTTCAGCAGCAAGAAACCGCCGAGGATAGTGAGGTATATTCGGTTTATGAGGTAGAAGGGGTAGTGGAAGTTGTTGTCGACGAGGATGTATTTCGTGTACAGAACAGAGACGGCAGAGCAAACCGCCCATATCGTGAAGCGATGCTCATGGTTTCGGGGTAGACAGCCACGGGATGGCTCGATTTTGGAGGTTCGGCCGGTCTCGTTCAGTTCGAGATCTACACTTATCCGTGGCACGCGTGCGAACATTGGTACATCGGCAGCATTGTCGCTGTTGTTGAATGGATCTGGCCAGAAGCTGGAAGTGATGTTAAACTTCACTTCCGTAAAATGCTCCTGACTCGAGTCATGCTCGGTAATATGTGCTCCATTACGCGAGTCATGCACCAACTCTGACATCGTTGATTTGATCTTAACTAGTTAACTGAGACGTAACGAACTGAACCTAGATTCGAGGCTAGTTAAGGTACTAGTTAGCAAAATAAGGTAGTTATGTACAGTACATTTAAACTCGGATCCAGGTACAATATATTGCACGTTGATGAGGCCCGGTCGCCCCGATGTTTGGGGTGGAAAGCGGAAGAGCAGAGCAATGGTTTTACAATCCTGTTGCCTACCAGACTCCGATAGAGGTTGAAGCATCATTGCATTTGGAACTACAGACGAACTCCATGAACCTTATTCAATGCAAGCCCATGGTTCCTCGATTCCTTCCGGCTGCCACATCAATATATCCGTTCTTAAGAAAGATGGCCAGCACATCAAAGAGTCGATTCGCTCTTCCAAAGCAATCTGGTCAGCCGGAAATCTGGGTAACGCTGCCAGACGGGCAAGCATCAGAAGATTTACGCAATTTCGTGCCGTTCCAAACCTGGCAGAATCGGTTACAGAAAAGCATCGAAAGCCAAAATGACCCCAAGCATGCTTTTCATGATGCGCCGTACTATCTTCGGAGCATCGAGATCCAATCGGTGGATTATTTTGGAGGGCATCGCGTTGGATTCATGAAGCTCCGGGCGGAGGTATCCAATGACAAAGGAGAGAAACTTCCCGGCTCGATATTCCTTCGTGGTGGCAGTGTTGCCATTCTAGTAAGAAATATACTGACCTTCCCGGAATTTGACAAGAACTGACATGGGGATAGCTGCTCCTTCAGCCAGACGATGTCCCTCTACGGTCTGAAGAAGAGAAACATGTTGTGCTCACAGTGCAAGCCCGAGTTCCTTCAGGATCCTTCACATTCGTGGAACTGCCAGCCGGAATGATCGACGATGCGGGCTCATTTGCTGGGGCAGCCGCCAAGGAGCTCGGAGAGGAGACAGGACTGGTGGTGTCAGAGACCGAGCTCATCGATCTCACCAAATTGGTCAATGGCTACGACGACATACCAGACCATGGGACGCTAGAGGAAGCCATGTACCCAAGTCCTGGTGGGTGTGACGAGTTCATCTCGATCTTCCTTTGCGAGAAGCGCGTCGCCAGACACCAGCTGGAGGACTTCAAGGGCAAACTGACAGGTCAGAGAGACCACGGGGAAAAGATCACGCTGAAGGTCATTCCGTTAAAGGATCTATGGAAAGTGGGAGCAAGGGACGCGAAGGCCCTATCAGCGCTGGCCCTCTACAACGGACTGAAACAGGAAGGCCGGCTCTGAAGGTAGATTTTGAGCAGCAATATGAAGCGCATTTGAAACGAAGTGGAGTTCTAGTATATCTATGGGGTATCTCACGACATTTAATAAGGAATTAAATCAACGCCTGTCCGCGGAACATTCCTTCGCGGACTTCCTTCACGACATCTCGCCGATCCCCTTTGCCAACCAAGACCACGCCGCGTCCCCGTCGCCCCATTCTTCCGATTCTGCCCAGGCGATGGATAAAATCGATAGTCGTGTGCGGTACATCGTACAGGATGACGTTGCGAACGGCGGTCGTGTCAATACCACGTGAGGCAATATCCGTGACCACTAGAACCTTCACATTCGATAGCGTCTTCGACACTCCACGCGAATTGAACTCCAGCTTTGGAACCACGCTAGTAGACCCGGCGGGTTCATCGTAATCTTTCGCTGAGGTAGTCTGGCCAGGCTTTTCGGTAGTGAACTCGGACAGGACGGCCCCACCACGCATCTCGGGCGCATCTCGATTGAGTGCGACAGCATCAATTCCCTTGGTTCCGAGGTATTTCGCGAGTTCCACGGTCTGCTCGCGCTCATTGACGAAGACGATTACCTTGAGCAATTTCGAACCACCTACGTCATCGAAATCTTCTCGGACGGCTGACTTCCCGATATTCCAAATGGCATCTGCGCATGCCAGATCCTTATTGCCATGATACGGCTCCTTCGACACCTCAACCACGCCGAGTTGAACGCGCCTTGGAATAGCATGTAGATTAGGAGTCGTAAGACGACGGATGTCCGGCATTCGTCGCCGCAGGTATGAATCCATGCCCCTCGGGATAGTTGCAGAGCAAAGAATGTGCTGTTTGAGGCTAGGCCGACACCGCTCAAGAATGGGAAGGGTGATGGGAAGGAAGCTCTTATCCATCAACGAGTCTGCCTCGTCAAACACCAGATGCTTGACCTTGCTGAGGATCTCCGGATTGGTTTCGACGATACTGGAGAGAAGATGAGGCGTCGAAATGAGGATGTCGATGCCGCCGGGAGCGAAAACCCGGTTCCGAATGACCGTGGCGCTGTACGCAGCGGAGATACCGGAGGCGCGGAACTTGATGGTGTGGCATAGAGATTTCGCGACGCTCGTCACTTGGTCGACCAGTTCCGCGGTCGGAAGCAGAATGATGGCGCGTGGGCGGCCTGCTGCAGATTCCTCTGGCGAAGGCAGAGCAAAGGGGTCGTAGTTTTCGGACTTCTTCCTATCCTCCGCCTCGGTTTGTTTCCTGACTGCTTCCTGGGCCTCGGCGGCCTTGATCGCGTGGATGATGGGGAGAAGGTAAGATAGAGTTTTTCCCGAGCCCGTCTCTGCGGCAAGCAGAAACTCCTCCACGCCGTGTGACTCGCTCAAATTCCGTGCCTTCTTCCCATCTAACCCGAGCAATGCCGGTATGGCAACCTTTTGGATCGGAGTCGGTGATGCATCCTCCATGCTCAAGAGCGCTTGAGAACCGACCGACGCCTTGATGATCGGCAGCAGGGAGAAATCTTCGAAGGAGCCAATGTCCCGGATCTGGTCTTTAATCACGGCTCGACGCTCGTAGGAGACGTTGGCGAGCGCGCGCTGCATCTTCAAGGCCTTGAAATCGTCCGCCCGTCCGGTTGATCGGGCTCCCCTTTTGCCACTGACCCGTCGTCGTTCAGGCCGCGAGGGTTCGCGAGCGGCCGGGATGATGGGGGGTTTGGTCTGGTTCATGGCGGCGAAGGGCCCATGATTGGGTCTCCGGCGCGGTTTACCGGCAGAAGGTTTTGACTTTGGAGTCGGTCGTGCGACGGATTTGGAGAGGTCGAATCGCGCTGGGCGTTTCTTCTGGAGTTGAGACGCGCATCGTGTCTGGACGGTGGATTGCGCGTTATGGGTAAGGAAACGAGCTTCGCAACGCAAGCATAATGAAGAAAGGGAGCGAAACATGATCTAAACGAAAGACGAGGGGAGTAATTGAGTAATTGAGGAAGGAGAAAAGTTACAACAGAAGTTCAGGGAAAAGCCATCTCAACTGAACGGAAAACTTGAAGCACGTTCTAGATATTGGCCTTGGGGCCTCAGGCACCAAACAGAAAGATACTAGGAGTCACGTGAAGGCGAGAGAGAGGACACGATGTTGGCCTGTAAGCCTGAGGCATGAACTTCCTCTCTTCCACACGCTGCGCAGCGTCCCTGTCCCGCCTGTGTGAGCCTGTGAGGTGACCCCTCGTGCCACTGCTCCGTCTGCTCAGTGCTCGGCCAGTAAACAAGCCAGTCTAAATCCGGAATCCATCGGGGATTAAAACGATAAAGAACAAGTCCCAATCCCTGCCGTGGTCACATTTTATCACAAGCATCAGAGGTGGTCCCCAGACGATCAGGTGGAGGGGGTTGTCGCAGATGGTCTGGTTGTTGGGTCAACCGGCTGGTCGCATCCAACAACACACTCCACCCTTGCACTTCACCACGCCTGTGTTCCGCCGCGCAATATCAGGAGCCTTTCCCACAGCAAGACTTCTATCATTGCATCTTCCAATCTTCACACTCATTCCATCTCTCTCCCTTCACAACACTGCTTCCTTACCCAATTCCTCTTTGTTGGGCTTCTCCATTTGACCTTTCGCTTTTCCACCACTTTGGCGATCCCATCGCATTGTTGTTTACACCCCTCCTGCCGCGCAAAGAACTCCCTTTGCGCCAACCGAGTGAGGGTATCGTCCCTCCTCATTCCTTCACCTACAAACATTCCATCACTGACCTTTGGGGACTGGATTGGAACATTGCCTTTGTTCATAGGGCATCATGCCTTCGGAAGCGGTAAGGGATCTCATCTTCCAATCATCGCCATCTTGTGTTCGGTGTTTGTTGACATCACTGAAAATAGGTACAACCGCTGCGCATCAGCAAGATGACACCCCAATCATCGCCCGTTAAATCTCGACCTCTGTCTGAGATCAGTCCGATGGAACGTCGTCGCAACTCTCCAAGCTTCAATCAAGTTACCAAAGTAGGTTTAGCAGTATCCTCTATCCCTACATTCCTTTTCTTGACTTCGTGTAACATTTTTTCACAAGCACATGAGCGAATCGCACAGTGACTGATACAATCGCAGAAGATGATTATGAATGGGCGCGAGTCATCTCCATTTGATTCATCGCCTTTGAATTCAAGCAACTGTGCATCGCCTCGAGCGTATTGGCAGTCTAAAGACACCACCTTCTCGCCCGGCCGGTACGGCAGCGAGAACTCGGTTGAACGCGAGCACTCTCCGTCTCCCAACCGGCGATCCTCGATCGAGAATCTCAAGAAGGCTTCGCGGGTTAAGAACAGCAGCATGTTTGCGCGCGAGCAAAAGAACGAATATGACCCTGCTTCAGTTCCATACCTCGAGCGACCTCTTGCCGGCAATCGACCCCTCAGCGTCCAAGTCCAGGGCAACGCCTTCGGTGGACAAGGGCTTACTGGTTTGCGTAGCCAAAACACCCCCGAGGGGTTCAAGGGACATCGTCGAGGAGAATCACATACCAAGATTCCGCTTCTCAGCCCGACCAAGCTCTCGAATTCACAGGGCCCATGGGACTCTGAACCTAGCCCGAGCGCAGCGCGAGGGTCCCCCCAACGCTCATCCATGTCCAACATCTCCCGATATGAAATGCCAAGGACGGCGGAAGACTTGGACAGCAGCATGGTCTCAGAGGGTGGGTCCCAAATCAGTTCGTCCACCCCACGCCCAGTCCTCCGTCGCCACGCAAAAAGCGTCACATTCGACGAGGCGCCACCAAAGGTCAATGAGTACGAGATGGCAACACCCGACCCTTCCTCTATCGCCTCTGGTTCTCGCGAGGGCAGTTACGATTCAATGGACGAATATGATGACGATGAGCCAAGCTTTGAGCGCGGCTCATCGATCGATCATGATGATAGCTTTGACGCGTCCCTTGAAGACACCGAGAAGACTCCGGTGGTGCTTCCCGAGGACTGGCGCGGAATGTCTCCGGAAGACGCGAGCCTGAGCTACCTGAGCCTCCGCGACCAGTCTCGCACCGACTCCATTGGTTCCGATGGCAGCTCGCGTCCTTTGCCCGCGCTTCCAAAGTTCGAACGCCGTGAAAGCAATGGCTTAACAGCTGCTGCTGAGCGGTTGAGTCTATCTACGCGCTCCTTGCCCTCTCCCCCTCGGGCAGCCGCCATTTCAAAGTCTGACATTCTTGGAATGAAGGAATCAGCAATGTCTCTTGAGGACCGTCTGCGGCTCATGCATATTAAGGACACTCAACCAGAAACGTCGACCGCGGACGCTTCGCCATCTCATATCGCCTCAAACGGGCTGGGCATCAATATGAACAACAATAAGCCTGGTGCTGATAAACCCGCTGCGGCTGGGATCCTAAATCCAGGGGCGTTCAAGATCCCTCGTATCTCACGGGAATCGATTCTTCGAAAAGTGAAGTCTCGCACCTTCGACACCTATGAGGACTCAACGGATGCCTCATCTCCGCAATCCAGCCCGGAGCGGCAGCTGACGGACTTGGACCTCGCCAACCTTGATCCTGATGTCCCCATCCCTTCTCGGGAGGCCTCCTCCCAATTTGACGACGATGTCCCTGAGAAGAAGTTCGACGAGAGCGCAGACGAAGTGGATGTCTACAGCATCCCTGACATGTACAGCGTTGAGCGGTCTCCTTCTCGTATGGATGACTACGATGACGCACTGGAGGTGGTTGATGGAGGTTCTCAGCAGCGTGATGGACCTATCACTGAAGGCCTCGCGCAGAACGATGCGTCAGAGCATACCCCAGACAAAGTGGGCCTCCCGGAGTTCTCCTCCATGCTGGACGATGAGGATTTCAAGACCCGCCTCAGCTCCTTCGTTTCTACTCAACCCGAGGAACCCATTGCAGCAACCAAGCCTCCGCTGACTGAAACCAAGCCTGAAATCCAGCGTCCCGTAACGCCTGAGCAGGAGCTTGATGAGGATGAAGAGGATCCCGGCACCCCGGGATCAATCATCCATCATCCTCCTACCATCGTCGAACCGGTTCGAGACTATTCTCCATCCGTCCCAGAGCCGATCGCAACCATCAAGGCACCAGGCGGCAGGCTGAAGACCCGCGCGTCTGCTACACCTGCTGATCTGGCGGCGATGGCACAACAGCGACGGATCGTGAGCGGTGAGCGTCCGCCTCCCATTCCCGAGAAGAGCTCAAAGAGGCTGAGCATGAGTGTGGAGCCTGAAGAGTTCCATATGGAGAACTCCCGCCCTACCACTGCGGAGTCTGCTGGGTCTGCTGGGTCTGCGGAGTCTGCGGACACGGTCTACAGCACGCAGTCGGATTCCGGCATCCGCCGCAGCGCAAGTTTGAAGAAGAAACTTGACATCCTCAACGTTCCAGTTGCGGGCCTTGGTGATGAACTCGGTCTTGACAAGGAGTTCGATCGCCTTCTTGAAGCATCAAAGGTAGACTTGGCCCTCTCATCTGGTTCCTCTCTTTATCCACTTCCAAGTCAAGCTCAATTTCCACCGCAATATCAACAAGAGGCCGAAAGCGGCCTTTGTGGAACTGCGGAGCACCCCTCTGGATCTACTTTCACGTCTCAACAACCGTCCCTTGCAAATAGTGCTACATCACAGTCGTGGATCAACGCTAATTTCACACTCCGCAAACAGAAAGGATACCTCATGCGCCAAAACACCAAAGTGGTCGTCGCCTCTTCACGCCAGTTTAGTGATGAAAAGCCGTCCACCGCACCCTCGGATGGCGGTGTCCCCCGCGAGAACCGTCCGACTTCCCCCCGCAAGCACGCCCAGCGAGACATCAGTGGCAGCAAACCATGGACCACGGAGGCCTGGAATGGTAAGATGAGGCGCAAGAGCATTCGCACCACGTCCGGTGGATCGCCAAAGAAGTCGCTTAACAGCCCTGTTCCACCGCTGCCTGGCCAAGAGAGCGCTGTCTCGGGGGCCCAAGGTTTGGGAATCGTCATGGAGGATAACGCTATGGACTGCTTCGATGACGAGACTGGTGAACGTGGTCGTCTCTTCGTCAAGGTTCTTGGCTTGAAAGACCTTGGAATGCCACTTCCTTCCAGTAAGTCGATTCCTAGATGTAATCCGTTTCACGGCTAATGACACATCGCAGATGAACGCACAAACTTCCAGCTCACCCTTGACAACGGGCTTCACTGTGTGACCACTGCATGGCTTGAACTTGGCCGCTCTGCTCCAATCAACCAAGAGTTCGAGCTTGTTGTGTTGAACGACCTAGAATTCCAACTCACTCTACAAACTAAACTCACTCCGCCGCCACAACCAGCCCAATCTGCTCGTCCTACTTCACCCACCAAGGGCCATAAGGCGCAGAAGTCTACCTTCTCTCGTCTCGCATTCCTTTCATCCCCCAAGAAGCGCAAGGATGCCGAACGCAAAGCTGCAGAGGAAGCTGCCGCTGCTCAGCGTGAGTCACAAGCACAAAGGGAAGCGGACGCTCGACGTGCCATGAGTGCGAAAACCAATCCAACTGCCTGGGATCTCATGCACAATCTTGTCGCCCAAGATGGATCATTTGCCCGCGCGTACGTCTGTCTCAAGTCGCATGAGCAAAACTGCTTCGGCCGACCGTTCACGGTTGATATCCCTTGCTTCAACGAATGGGCTGTCGATGACTCCGATCCGAATGTTGAAAACAGCGTCCGAAGCCGACGCGGAGCGTTGGTTCGCAAGCCGCCTTACAAGGTGGCCCACCTTACCCTGCAACTACTCTATGTGCCCAAACCGAAGGGTGCCAAAGATGAAGATATGCCCAAGAGCATGAGTGCTTGCGTGCGTGAGCTGCGTGATGCCGAAGAGGCAAAGAAGCGGAATTTTGAGGGATACCTCAGCCAACAAGGAGGCGACTGCCCGGTATGGATGACCGATAATAACTCCCATCGATGTCTACTCGCTAACAAGTGAAATAGTACTGGCGTCGACGCCTTTTCCGCCTCCATGGTCACAACCTGACAGCTTACCATGAGACCACCCATCAACCTCGTGCCACCATCAACCTTGCCAAAGCCAGGAAACTTATCGATGACCGTTCTTCGCTCATCAACCCCGACACGGCCGCACCTGGCAAGAAGGGTCGTCGCAAGTCTGCATTCGCCGAGGAAGAAGAGGGATACATGTTTGTCGAAGACGGCTTCCGCATCCGCTTTGGGAACGGTGAAGTCATTGACTTTTATGCGGATAAGAGTGAAGACAAGACTGCCTGGATGCAAGTCTTGTCCGAAGTCATTGGCAAGGATACGGCTTCAGGCCAGAAGGGATGGACGGAGATGATTCTCCAAAAGGAGCGACAGGAGCGAAAGGCCGGCGTTCCACCTCGGCCATCGTCCGAGGGCAACGATCAAGCCAGCCGTGCGCCGTTTTCTCAGCCGCGACATGCTGCCCATCAGTCCATGGATTCCGGTCCGAGGATGCGGCCGCAGATGAATGTCCACAGTACCAAGAGCGTCCCGAGCAGCCCGGTGAAGGGTCAAGTGCCAGTGCACATGCAGACGAACGCGAGCCCCACGAAACCTCATCATGGGCGAACGAGGTCGCAGATTCCCGACGCGGCGAGCGCGATGGAGCAGCGACGGAAGAAGGTCCGTTCAATGATCTTCTGAACGGGACGTGTGGGATTTCATTGGGTGCACATGGTGTGTTTTATAATACGCAGGAAGTCCGTGCTCTATACTTTTTTCTTTTTTTCCTTGTCTAGATGTTCGATGAACTCTCTGATGTGTCACCGACCGGATGACTCCGAGGTTATGAACTCTCTCCAAAAGAACGCGCTTGGGTAGTCTCCAGGGTTGTGAATCGATCGCTGCGCTGCCCTTGACGCCTGTTCTGATTTTTCTTGTGCGTCTTTGCTCTATCGGGGAGTCGCAACCGGTTTCTGTAATCAATTGGCTTCCTGCCATAGGCTATCAATATAAATATTCCAACCACCCCTGGCCCACGTAGGTACTGTACGTACCGGCTTGTAGTATGTTCCACATGGTCCCCGAACACGCCTTGGGTGTTTCCTCATTGGCCCATGAGCTAACTGGAGATCTATTCTGGCCATTCCAAACAGCCATAGCCCGCCGTACACGATCGTTGGATGGTCTGATCCGAAACGGCCCCTTCATAGGAGCTTAAGATGCCCTGTAACTTGATCTATCACGCTCTTAGGCCCAGGTCCAATTCCAAGCACAGTCGCACTATTCGCTGCAATCTGCGTGCGCCCGGCATCATGAATCACCCTCGCGCAGAGTCCCAAGCTCATCGCCCTCGCCTGCAACTCCAACAGCTCATCCTCACTCTTCACCTGCACCGCCACCTTCGCCTGACCGCGGGACTCCCAGCGCGACAGAACGGGGCTCTTCGGCGTAACCGATGCCAACGACTTGTAGCAGGCCAGTGTTGCATGCGAGCACTGGGCGGCGATTTTTCCTGCACCGTGAGTCAGGAGATTGTCCACCATCCCATGAACTTCACGTACCTTTCGTCATCCCAAGGTCGGTTCGTACCACAAGGATAAGCTTGAATTCCTCGTGGCTGTTCACGAAACTTCCCAGCTCGCCGATCTCACTCAGGTCGCTGTCCGAGTCGGAGTCCTCTGTCTCCTGGTCCTCCTTGCTCTTGCTGGACCTCTCTATCGCTGTCGGTTTTCTTTGTGAGAAGACCCCAATGGCGGACGCCTGCCCTAGAAAGTAGCCGGTCACACCGGCTATCACGGCGGATGCAACCGCTATCGCGCCGACTGAGGGGGGCGGTCGGTCCATTTGTGATGCCATGCTTTGACAGTTGAGGAGATGATGGGTTCTGTTAAGCCCTGCTGTACTCTGCCTTACTAAGCCAGACTGCAATGCACGTCAGCCGAATTATACTCCGGCTCTCTAGGTGGTGGGATAACCGTACCTTTTTCCCTGGTCGTTGTCCCCCTGGTGTACCTGAGAAATATCACGAAAAGCGCGTGGAGGGCACAGGGACCCAGTCAGCATTGGCACGAGTTTGATGTTGCACGTGAAATTAGTGGCTCAGCTTTAGTTGGACGGGTGTGGCTTGACCACCCCCTGCGCAGCGGTCTTGGCGCTGGCCTGCAGCAACGACGTCGACGTTCAACGCTGCGCATGTCACCGGAGCTCCGGGGATCCTCCAACTTCTCGTCACTGACGACAATTCCGATTAACCCCCATTTCACAAATCGTGTTTTCTAAAGTTTTTACTGTGCTCTGAAACTTTTCAAGGCTATCTTTTCCTCTTCTTCCGAGCGGCTGCCGCCTTTATACCCAACATGTGGGACGACGAGGAGGACAACAACCCATATGGCTCCTTTGCGCAGAGGGAGCCAGCCCCGTTGCCTACCCATCCAGACTCGCCAGAGGGTACGAACTCAGCTGTGGCTACCTACAATGCCTTCGATAACGCTAATATGTCTCCAGAGGCGTTCCATACCCATGGTACCCCGCCTTCGTCATCTCCAGAAGCGCAACAGGAACCGCCGGACTACGGGTCGCATTCACTCAGTGATGTCGATTACAATGATACGGAGGCCGGCAGGGATCCCATCGAACCGAAAAAGGGTGGGTATGACAGTCGAATCGAGCAGATCCTATACGAGAATCCCAACCTACCGATCATAATCACCACCGCAGGCAAGAACGTGGAGAGCGGAGGCAGCTATATTGCGTACGCAATTCGTACCGGCGTAGGTGACCTTTCCTAAAATGAGGGTTCGTTTCTAAATTCCCGTACTAGGACCTCGAAGTTCGAAGAAGATACTCCGAGTTCGCTTCCTTGCGACAAACGATTGTCAACCTTCATCCGACCCTGATCATTCCTCCCATCCCCGAGAAGCACAGTATGGCGGACTATGCAGCGAAGCCGACCAAAGCGAAAGAGGATGCGGGGATCATTGAGCTCCGGAAACGGATGCTTTCGGTGTTTCTGAACCGCTGTAGGCGGATGAAAGAGGTCCGGGAAGACGGAGTGTGGTGGCGGTTTCTAGACCCGAACGCCAGCTGGGTACGAGCATGATCTTTCTCGACCCTTCTCATCGCATAGCTGATTGATTTACTACAGTCCGAAGTTATGCGAACGCCTCCTGTCTCTAATCTTCCGAAAAACATCCTGAAATCGCCGCCGTTGGACGCAGCAAACCCCAGTCCAGGCCACAACTACCTTCCCATTCCATCCGTATCGGCCAAGCTGAGGGTGTCCGGCTCAAATGCAAACACAGGCACGCCCACCTCGCCCTCATCGTATGACGAGCAACCGTCAACAGTAGCTCATACAATTCCAGGTCCACAAGTCGGTCGGTTTCCTCCGTCATCTCAGAACCTCTCCGAGGAGGAGCTAGATCCATACTTTGTCAATTTCGAGGCTTCCTCGAAGGAGTTGGAATTGCTGTTACAGGGTAGCATGGAGAAGGTCAATCGTCGGACACTCGCGCATTACTCGTCGCTGGCCGACGACATGGCCGAGCTGGGTGCCCGATACAATGCGTTTTCTCTGTCGGAGCAATCACAGGGCCTCGCCGTAGCGATCGAGAAGGTCGGTCAGGCGGCCGATGCAACGTTCGTTGCGACCACCGAGCTTAGCTCTTCGCTGAGCGCCGAGTTTGCCGAGCCAATGCGAGAGAGCGCACAATTCGCGGGTGTAGTTCGGAACGTGCTGAGGTACCGGGTGCTCAAACGGATCCAGCAAGAGATGACGCGCGATGAGCTGGAGAAAAAGCGGCTTCATCTCGATAATCTAGAACGAAGCGAAATGGAATCTCAGCGACTGAATCACTACCTCGAAGGGGCGGGACCGTCTTCTGGGACGCGACAAAAGCGGTCATTTTCGTCCGGTAGCGCATCCAGCCGCGGGAGGACGGACAATGCGGAGACGGCGTCCATCGACTCCGATTTTCCTCCCACGCATGGCGACTCGCCGCCAACCTCAAGGCAAGGTGGGCCGCAAGGGAACGAGTCCCCGGCACATCGGAAGAGTCAAAGCGGAGGGTTCATGGCGAGTACATTCGGCCGCATCGGGCATGCTTGGCAAGGGTTCACGGATGCAAATCCGGAGAGGAACCGGAGAGACCAGATTGGGAAGACGAAGGAGTCCTTGGTGCAGGCGAGTGCATCGAATTCCGGAAAATGGTTCTTCTCGCTAACCGTTATAAAGCTCGAACAAGCTCTCGTCGTCTCGGAGAAAGATGTGGGGGATGCCAGTTCTGGGGTATTAAAGGACTTGAAGCGGTTCCAATCTGAGAAGGAAGAAGACTTGAAAAGATATATGGTATGTCCTCGGTTCCATTGGTTGATACAGAGACTAATCGTTTTCCGCAGATCGCTTTCGCGAGATGTCACATTGACTGGGCGAGACGCAGTCAGGCTGCCTGGGAGCAGGCCAAAAACGAGGTGGAGAACATCGAGGTGACCGAGGGGGGATGAGGTTTTGGGCTCAATGACTACTATATCACGGAAGGCGATTCATAATACGACAGGATGGAAGGGCCATGAAACTGCCATACCTGGCGCAAGATCGACGGGATCCTGACTTCGTCGACGGGATCCTGATTTCGCACTGGCATGCTGCGTTCCGTTCCGCTAGACGCCGAATGGGCCTCCCGCTTAGGCGTTCCCGAATACTGGGAATAGTTTACTGAGGGCGACCGGTTACACTGCTCCGCCGAACGAAACAGCTCGTATCTTCTTGGCAGTAGAGGCATAATGCAGCATCACAATGAACATGCACACGAGATATCTTGAGTACTTTTGATGTGTCAAGTAGCTTCGATTTCACACGCCCTTTGAGATCTCTCCGGCATCCTAAGGAATAGAAGTCCTCTTCCGAACTTGTATTGTAATCGTCGTCACTACCCAGCGGCCTTTTTGGGTTCAAGAAATTCCAGTGCCAGATCGTCAATCCCCAGCAGATTCAAACCGGCGAACCAGGCTGATCTTCCGCCTTTCGTGATCATATCGCGTCGTATCCCATGTGCGCGTGCAGTCCCGGCTCAATTCTGCCGTGGGCGACGCAACGGCCATGGAGATTTACGCTCGTCCCGTGGGGATGTTGTAGAACACCGGGCCGGTCGAGCCCGGAGGAGGCGGGGAAACATCGTCCAGCTTGAAGAAACCCTTGCGATCGAATTGGATAATGGAGCCCTTGGGCAGCTCGGCCACATTGCAGTCCGCATATGCGATGGTCTTGAACTCGGTGACCGGGGTCAAGACCTGCTCGAGCTCGTCGTCCTTCTCGAGCTTGTCTTTGGTGATGAGCAGGTCGAACTCGTACAGGGTGACAGGGACCAAGTTCTTCTCGATGGCGGCCAGCCAGGTGAGCTTCTTCTTGGTCTTCTTGAAGTCGCCCTCAAGATGCAGTTCGAAGGTGATGTCGGACACCGTGCCGTTCTCCCCCGTCTTCTTTTCGCGGACGATGGCGTTGCCCCAGTTCATCAGCGTGACTTCTTCGTTGATCTCCACGCTCTGCGCATCGGCCTGTTCGAGGACAATGGTGTCTTTGTACCAGACCTTCTTCATTCCGACCTCCATGTTCTTCGCATGCTTCGGTTTCTCCGCCACCGTTTCCTCCTTGGGTGCATCCGCTCCAATGACACGACAGTGAACCGCATTGTCCTGGGCAACGGCCGTGAAGCGCGCGGCGATGGGATCCGTGTACTTCTTGTTCAACGCCCACAGCGCGCCCCATTCCAAATTCAGAATGTTCCGACTCGGCCCCTGCACCAGCATGAACTCCCGCAGCGCCTCGACCGTCATCCCCCGCCGCAGCATGCCGCGCACCGTGGGCATCCGCGGATCGTCCCAGCCCCAGACCTTCCCGTCAGCTACGATGCGGGTGAGTTTCCGCTTGGAGAGCACGGTGCGCACGAAGTTCATGCGCGAGAAGTCCCAGATCTCGACAGGGCGCAGGCCGAGTGCGTTCTGGAACCACGCGTACTGCACATTGCGGTCGCGGTACTCGTTCGTGCGCAGCGCCAGCGTGACGCCTTCGAGGGAGTCGAGGATCGGGGCGCAGAAGTCGTAGGTGGGATATATGTTCCACTGCGAGCCGGTGCGGTGATGCGGCGTCGCATTGCAGCGGTAGATGACCGGATCGCGCATCGTGCCGTTCGGGCTGTCGTAGGCAATCCTTGCGCGGAGACACCACCGGCGTCCCTCGTCCGAGCCGGATTTCATCTCCTCGAACCAGCGAAGGGTTTCCTCAATGCCGAGGTCACGGCGTTTGGATGGCAACCGATTCTTTCGGTCCTCGTCTCCCTTCCCCAACTCCGCATCGTCGGCGAACGCGTTCCCATCCTTGATTATCTTGATGGCCAATTCGTACATCTGCTGGAAGTAGTCGCTTGAGTACGAGGTCGTGTCCGGGCGGATCCCCAAGAGCTCCAGGTCGTGGAGAATTGCGTCGTGGAACTCCATGGATTCCTTGGAGGGGTTGGTGTCGTCGAAGCGGCAGATCAGCTTGCCGCCGGGCTCCCGGTGGGCGAAGTATTCGTTGAGGACGATGGCTTTGGCGTGCCCGATGTGCAGGAATCCAGACGGCTCTGGGGGGAAGCGAGTCACCAGAGGGCCCTTGGTCCGGACTTGGATGTCAAAGCTTGCGCCCTCCTTCTCTTTCGCAGCCGTGTCGCTAAGCTCTTGGATGGTCTCGGGGATCCATGGATATGCCGCTTCGATGTATTTGAACCAGCGGGTGATATTGTTGTTCGCTTGCTTCAACATGGATGAGGCCACATGATTCCCGCGTATTGTCGCCCACACGGCAACATCGGCGAGGGTGAGGCTGTATCCGACCATGTACGAGCGAAGAGTCAGGTGCTTATCGAGTTCGGCGAGTGCAGGACGGAATTCCTTGGATTTCGCATTGGCGAAGTTCTTGCTTCTCTCGACCCATTCGTCAACCTAGATGAAGTGTGAGTATATACATCTTATATTTAATAGGTCCTAGAGCTTACGCCGGCAATTTGCTGTTGCTGATTGACAAGGTCACGGCAGTACGAGACGATCTTTTCATCCGCAAAGGTCTCACCATTGTCCAGCTTTAGACTGATTGCCGATTTATCGGAGAGGCTCGAATCTTGCTGGACATTCGTCGCTGCGACGGGGAGAAGGTTCGATCGTTCGAGGTAGCGGGCGACCAGCAGTGGAGGATAGAGGACGGCGGGAGGGCCTTTGACGGCCACATCCAGACTGGCCATGATTGTCAAGGGTTTGGGGTAGTATAAAGTTCAATTGCAACCAGGTCGACAAGAAGGGGGAGGAATATCAGGTTTCGAAGCGACCATGTCGGTTTCAGCAGGAATATCTACAAGTCATCCCACCTTGTGGTCTTTTTTTGGGCCCTCCGATATCAGGGGTGGAGGGGGGAAGTTTATAAGGCACTAAGGCACTAAGGTCTCAATGACACATCTATGCAACCACGTGACATTGATTGACATTGGTCAGTTGGTCCTCCGTCTTGACAGTCAGTTGTTAATTACATGGATGACTGAACCAGTCGTATGTATCTGGGTATGGAGGGTGATGTTTATGGTATGTATTTCTCGTTCGATTTCCTACGAAGCTACAGAAGCATCTGGTTCACATGACTTGTCTATAACTAGTTAACTACCTGTCTCTTACCTACTTGAACGGTATTTGATGTGCCTCACGCCGTGGAGAACTGGATGTCGACTCGGAAAAACTTCGGGTTTCACCGCATCTGGCCTTCTTTGATTGACTGTTGAATGTTGATGTTGACGTCTGGAATCTTGACAATTGAGACACAAATAGATCATGAGCTACTGATGTCGGAAATTCATTGCAAGTCCCTTTGATCGCTATACTCCTTCTACCTCCTCACTCCTCACTCCTCTCTGACACCTTCGGTTCATCCCTCCAGGATCTTCTAATATACCGGTATATGATACCTGCAACAGCTACTGGGTACTACGAGTTCCTGGACGAATCCTTATCGGTTCACCGTATAGTTCTGAATCCAAATCTCGAATTCCATCCCCACTCTTGCCCAGCCGCTCTCCTGTTGCAGACGACGGCCGTTGCCGGAGGAATCCAGCGATTAGATGAAAGGGCCTTTAATAGAGTCTCTGCCCTATGAGAATTCGTACAAGTCCAACTTCCACCAGTGGATTTCCCCATCGCGACAATCTCCAGTATGAGTCGAACATTGCCGGGACGTCAAGCTGAAGAACTGTACGTATAAGCCAGGCCGTGGCGCATAACCAGCGAGATGAGTACCAGACCAAAGCTTACACGGTGTTCCTAGACACAAATCAATCATCGCATACCTGTCGGCGAATAACCTATCCAACAGTGCCGCTGCACTCAGGACCGAGCTGAACATTGGCGAAGATGTTTTCAATGCCGCTACCGCGAAGAAGTACGAAACATTGCTGGAGAAGAAATGGACAGGCATCGTCCGACTACAGAAAAAGGCATGTCAGCACCACCCATTCTTCCTACCATATACCTCCCCTACCGCCGTTTGGACCGATCTCTGACTAGCGTTCCCCCACAGGTAATGGATCTCGAGACCCGAAATACCGCGTTACAATCCGAGCTGGACAACGCGACACCTACCTCCCTCTCCCGACGCAACCAAGATCCTACTGCCTGGCTTCCTCGATCCCCTGCTCGACATACCTTAGAATCGCACCGAGATACCATAAACTGCGTCGCATTCCATCCCATTTTCTCCTCCATAGCCTCCGGCTCGGACGATTATACTATTAAAATATGGGACTGGGAACTAGGTGAACAAGAAAAAACCATCAAAGGTCACACGAGAGCAGTCCTAGACATTGACTATGGCGGACCACGAGGGGGAATCCTTTTGGCATCCTGTAGTTCCGACCTGACTATTAAGTTGTGGGATCCGGCGGACGACTATAAAAATATTCGGACGTTGCTGGGTCACGATCATAGCGTTAGCGCCGTTCGCTTCATACCGTCAGGAGCTGCTGGCGCACCATTATCTGGAAACTTGCTTGTGAGCGCCAGCAGAGACAAGACCTTGAGGATATGGGATGTCTCCACGGGCTATTGCGTGAAGACTCTACAAGGCCATACTGGCTGGGTGCGGGATGTTTGCCCCTCGCTGGATGGCCGCTTCCTTCTCTCGACTGGGGACGACACGACCGCTCGGTTATGGGATATCTCCGTATCGAATTCCGAAACCAAGCTGACCATGGCTGGTCATGAGCATTTCAATGAATGCTGCGCACTCGCTCCGCCGGCTTCGTACCAATATTTGGCACCCCTGGCTGGACTGAAGAAACCACCACCTCTCAGCAGCACAGCGGAGTTTATGGCAACCGGGTCCCGTGACAAAACGATCAAGCTCTGGGACGCTCGTGGTAGTTGCCTCATGACGCTGGTAGGCCATGATAATTGGGTGCGAGCGCTTGTTTTCCACCCCGGCGGCAAATACCTCCTTTCGGTATCGGATGACAAAACATTACGCTGTTGGGATCTCAGTCAAGATGGCAAATGTGTCAAGGTGCTCGGCGACGCACATGAACGCTTCGTCACCTGTCTAAGATGGGCTCCTGGAATCGCCAAGGACGTACCTGTGGTTCAGGCCGGGACGAACGAGGGACAGAACGGCGAAAGCAATGGGACGCCGAAGAGCAAGCGAACCGGACCGGCCGTCCCCGGTGTTCAGATACGCTGCGTTATCGCTACAGGGGGTGTGGATCGGAAGCTGAGGATCTTCGCGAACTGAGGACACACGCAATCGGCAGAAAATGATCCGACACTACTACATGCGGCCTCGTGCCACGGCGTCCAGCTTGTGCGACTCCGCAGGCTTGGTCTCGTCGACACCGCAGTTTGAAACGCAACGGTGCAACAATTTACGAAAACGAAGCGGGGCATCCTCACATTTCTACCATGGTGTTCCCGATGCGCTACTTTATTTCACGGTTGGCCACGGCCCTATGACAAACCTTGGGTACACGACAGATTCGATGGATCAATGACATTCTTTGGATGATGTTGGATTCTTACTTTCGGTCCTCTTTTGGTGTCCCAAGTCTGCGCCAGCTCTCCTCGCGAATGCGTCTCCATAGTGCTGCGGAGGCCATCGACTCCTGGCACATCGACATACCGGATCGGTCCTCACGCTCGCATCCCTCGTGCAGATTTACACGGATTGCTCCGTCTAGGGCAGTACCCGAACTCTACTTCCTATCAGGCAACGATATCGAGATGTGGGAAGAGGCCAAGGGGGTGGCTGCAGGCGTTGATGGGGATTGGAACGACATCGCGTAGGGTGGATCGAAGAGATCAAACACGGGTCGCGGACTCTATCGGCTAGACGTATTACCTATGCCGCTATCACAACGAAAGGAACGTTAGCATCAAACATAAGTCCATAATACATATACAACCTCAAAAACGTTATCTGCCCAAACTCTGTCCCAGAATCATGGACGACGTCGAGGACGGAGGGTGGAGTCGGTCAGGTGACCGATATGGGCGCAACCTGCCATCACGCAATTGTTCACGCCTCGCGACCAGCTCGGCACTCAGCAATCAGCAATCAGACATCCTACTAGCTGATATTATGTAACTAGCCTGGTCGTAAAATCGTATATCCTTCCTGAATATTCTTTGCTTCCTTTCAAGTCTCAACCTTTTGTTGACATTCTCATCTTGGGCGATTTTAGCAGACTCGGACTTCGGAGCATCTCCACGAAGCAAGTTATTAGTTTACCCATTTCTGCTGCTAGTACACCCCACTAATCGGCATCGGCGGTATTTATCGTTCCGTCAATATTAATTCAAACCAGTAATGTAGGACGAGGAGATTCGTAAACCCACCACGTAGGGGCCCTGCTTCAGGCTCCCGAATACATGCGTCACCCCAGGGCCCCGCTCAACCAAGTGAGAGACACTTTAAATATTTGTCCTCATCTATGTTTGCTTGATTGCCGCTCATCCCAAGCCATTCCAACCCAATTGACCTACTAAAGTGCTAGTTATCCTTCATCACCTAAAATCACAAGCCCAATACGACCATGCCTCTTACAATCACCATTCCCCAGGAGTACGGGTAAGTGCCACCACAACTATCCTTGGAGACCAAGCCGGGAAGTCACCGACAATCTAACAATATTTAAAGCTATGTCCTGCTCTGCAGTACCGCGACCTTCATCCTGTCGAACTGGCATGCAATGCGCGTCGGGTCCTTCCGCAAATCCGCCCAAATCCCCTTTCCTAATCATTTCGCGACGCCTGAGCAAATAGCAGCAGCGAGCGGAGACCGAAAGGAAGCCATGCACATCTTCAACTGTGCCCAACGGGCTCACTATAATTTCCTCGAGAACTACGTGAGCTTCCTGCCGGCGCTGCTCATTGCGGGCCTGAAATTCCCGGTGTCGGCCGCCATTACCGGTGCGGTGTGGTCGGTGTTCAGGATTGTGTATGCCGTCGGGTATACCAAGAAGAATACACCTAATGGGAAGGGGAGGATCGCGGGACTCTACTTTTGGCCGACTCAGCTCGTGTTGTACGGTTTGGCTGGATATACCGCATACAGCCTTTTGTAAGACTGGTGGCCCAAGATCTTATAGTCTTCCCATACCTTATCTAAACGACAAATGCAATTTCATCTTAATGCTGCCATTCGGGGTTAAGCGGTTGTCATAAGCCGCCTTGGATTGCGAATGATGATAAGATGAGGATCAGGGTATTGATAAACGCCCACACGAAGGGGATCCAAGTGGACATCCGAAAGAATCCTGCATTGTAGATTGCACCCAAGCTACAGCTTCATCAGACATGTCCTCATTCCCAAGGCGGTCATCAACTTACAGGCCTCCCACAATACTTCCGGCGATGAACGCCTCAATCCCTCCCACCACGAAATATACGACCGGCACAACCCATACCACCTTCCAGTTCTTCAGCTGGACCAGCACCGCGTACCCGCTCGTGGCTAGGTGCACGGCGGCGTAGAAGAGGATGGTCCATAGCAACGTGAACCGCCAGATATCTTGGGTGTGGTAGAGGTAAAACGACTCGGCTCCTTGATTGCTCCCGAGGCCCGGGAACGGCCAGTATAGGGACGGGAAGGACGGCGTCACGTAGCCTGGTGGAGCGGGATTCTGGAGGCGATGTACAAAGCTGGTGTCTCTTTTAGCCATGTGAAGTGCCTGGGAATACTGTGATATATACTGACCTCATCGCGCAAATTGCTTGGATTTAACCATGCGACACTCCTCCATCCCCGTGCTCAGCTTCCATATCGGGTTGTCAATATATGGGGGAGTTGTAGCTGGTCAATACGTATCTCCGTACGTACTTATCAAATGTCGAAGCTCAACCATAGGCCGCTCACCACTGACGTGCATCATCACAAGATTCAAGCCAGGGTCCCACTCAACTACTCAAGAATGCGGGCATGACTAAGCTAAGCCGACCTTCACTGGGCCGAGGCCGACCGAGCACCTGCATTCCGATGTAAACCCCCGAATTGTGAACCTCAATGCTAAAGGGGAACTCAAGGAATATTGGCTGATGCGAAAATGATCTTCAACCCTCGAACACGTATATGCTATATGTCATAAACGATCTGTAGCTCAACGCGTTGAAGTAGCGCGAACATGGCGGCGTCCGGCATGCTGTCCACGCTGCTGCGATCCCTCCAGACGTACACCGAACATCAAGACACGCCCAGGTAAGACCCAAGACGTCCAGACATCAATATCAAACTAACGGCATCGAAAGGCTACTCGGGAGTGCTGTTTCCCTTCTCACCAACCTTACCAACCCGCGCAACCTCACCCTTCTCACCGCTCAGCTTCTCACAGCTCCCGCTATCTGGGAACAACCCGAAGGCGTTCGAACCGGCCTTTCTGTCATCAGCGTCTTCCATTCCGCTGCCCGAGCACTCGTCCACTACGACGAGCAAGTCGAAGAAGGCAATGTTCCAGAACTACTCCCGGGTCAGGTTCATCCGGGGGGTGGCATCCGTCGAGATGAGTGGGCACGCGCGATAGTCGAAGGCGCAAATGAGCATTCACCGAAATGGCGGCATCTGCTCGTGCTAAGCGGATTGATATCCGGTTTCCATGGAAATCAGCCGTATGGCATCTCGAGTGGGCTGGAAAAGAGGTTAAAGAGTTCGTTTGCGCCGGCGACCAATGGCGCGTTAAGTGAGCTGGCAGCCGAGCCCATACTGGCGTCGAATACGGTTGCGATGGTTGTGAACATGACTTTCGAGCACCTGAGTGACTATGACAGGACGCTCTTTAATTATGAATTGCTTCTACCGCAATTGATGGGCTCTGCATTCTTCTCAAACGAAGGCTTTCAGTCAGCCTATGTCGTAGGATTGATCGATCCGGATCTGGTAGAGGTACCAGGAGGAAGACTGGTTTGGCCGAAGAGCTCTTCATCGTACCAACAGCTTCAGAGGTTGCTGTCAAGACCACTAGTTTCCGGTATGGGCCCGCTATCGAGACTAATCGCCCATTCGGTCGAGCATTCCAGGGATCCTGTGCAGGTACAGGGTGCCCTGGACGGCCTGCTCGATTTCTCGAAATCACTTCTCACTCAGTGGCGGCTCAATAAGCTGTCATCGATCGACAACGCGGAGCAAAGCCGTTTCGTGGACCAGGAGACCATCTCGGAGACACTCCCGGCCATGTGGCAGGTCATGAAGACCGCCTTATTCGCGGCCATCATCATACTGCGAGGCATCATGGCAAGAGTGCTCGCGGACAGAGCACTCGCCTCGGATTCCACCGCCCCGCTGCTTGCATCGCATGCTCTACACACCCTCCGAAATCTTTATTTCGTGACAACGAAACTGGGCACCGACTCGTTCACACAATACACATTTGTCTACCTGACAGCCTTGGACATCCTGTCCCGTTACCCCGGCCAATCAGAAGTCTTTCTGAAGGAGATCGCTCCGTTGCAGCTCGGCGCCATCCCGACCCATCCGCTCGATCGCAATCTTGACCTTTACTTCCTCAACACCTCGGAGCACTTCACCCTTGTCCTCTCCCCCGCCATGCTGGCCAACCTCCTCATTCCCGCCAGCATGCCCTACCTTTCCAAGAGCAGCGAACAGAATCTTCTCCCCCTGTTCGAAGCCGGCCACTCCGTTATGCTCTCCGTCTTCTGCTCACCGAGCAGCACCGAACTCGCCTCGAAACACATCCCTTTCTACATCGCCACACTCTTCTCCGCCTTTCCGAGCGATCTCTCCGCCCGGCAATTCCGGCTCGCTTTCAAGACCCTCATGCAAGTTGCCGCGCCGCCCTCGATCCTTGCGGCGCGGCAACCGGAATTACCGGCCACGTTGCTAGAGCTTCTACACCATCTTGCGCTCAATGCGCCGCCGGACAGGATGGCCGTGCAACATGCGCCGGGAAGTGAGGGGGATTCATCACCCATCTCCGAGCAGGCGGTCTACGTATTGACCATGATTGATTCCTTACCATATCTCTCCTTAGACATCCTGGAGGAATGGCTTGACATCGCCGCGCGATTGGTCAATGTTTTGAATGCGGACGGGATGCGGGTCACTTGTCGGGAGCGGTTTTGGGATGTGTTGATGAACGGCGAGCTAGATCCGGATCGGTCGCAGATCTCTGTGGTGTGGTGGACGACGAAGGGCGGGGCGGACGTGCTGCTTCATGGAGCAGCGGCATATGGACAGGAGGAGGAGGGGGTGTTCATGAGCGGTGCTCTACCAGCTGCCGATAGGGAGGCGAAGTTGTAGTTGGACGAGGTCACAATGTAGCATCCTGTGTATTTACAAATACCTTTGGTTTAACAGATCATTTCAATATATCTGCATCTGGAGCAGAAGAGATCGATGGTCCCCGCCTTTGACATCCTTATGCAATTATCAACTTCGCCGAATTCAGAGGATGGTATTATATGCCTCAAGAAAGGACATATAAGGCGAAAAGAGTATAACAACTAAGTGTTTTCAATACCTTGGGGATATGCTTCCGGACCATCGATTGCTTCCCCCTTTGTTTTTGATTGACAGAGAATATTAAGTAGCCCTCATGAGCCCCAGATCCTATTCCGCTCCTTCATCTCCGTCCAACCTTGCCATATTGCCTCGTTTTCCCGTTGCCGCAAGAAATATGTCCGAACATAAATTTCAATTCCAAGCTCGCGCCACCCATTCTTGATTCTCTCGTCCTCCAGGATATGCTCCCATCCTGCGTCTGTAACATGTCGAACAGTGGACAGAAATTCCATCTCTTGCTCGCCCATCTCTTGCGAGAGCAGTATTAGTATTGCAACGGTTGGCTCACTGACAAACCATGGATACCTGCGATGCTCCACAGGGCCGAGTACTGGGAAATAGTCCTCTGAAAGAGCGATTGGGCCTGACCCAAGGTGAAGATCGAGCGAGCGTAGATTTGGTGGAAGCCGAATTTGGGGATCCATTGTGAGACTACTGCCAAAGAGGAGCCATCTGCATATGCATGCGTCGCACAACGTAAGTCTCTTGAGCCTTTTGAACCGGCGGAGATATCTCAGAGGATTGGCCGACTCGTTCAGATGCGGTCGCTCAGGATGGACGCAACTCCACTCGAGTTCTTCGAGGGTGGAGCTGCGACTCAGCTTCTTCAGGATTTGATCCACTGGCTGTTCGGCCAATTCCATTTGGATACGGAAGGACTTGAGGTTCGAGGCTCCCACGATCATTAGCGGGAGTATATCCAGGAGCTCGTTGTTCATCCTCATATTGTAGAGGACGAGTTCTTCCACGGTCGACGCAAATGGTTCGCTCAAAGTTCGTTTATTCAGTCCGTAATGAGAAAATTCCTCGCTGGGGTTGCTATGAGTGGCATTGGATGCCGTACAGTATCGGAACGTAAGTCGACGGAGTGCGGGAAGTCGTAGGAGACGGCTGAACGAGATTGCTGAAAGCCAGGCCTCCTGAACTGTTACATCTCTGAGGTTCTTCAGTACTAATGGGAGCCCCATAGTCATCTTCGTACCTCGGCAGTAAGCCGTATTCACCAGGAGCATGCAGAAAGATAGTACATGTTTGGTCCGGAGCAGGTATTCCTCGGGGGGCATCAGGTTCCATTCTTGCAGATTAGGTACGATGGCCAATAGCGCTGCCATCTCTGCATCTTCATCGCCGTGCTCCAGGGCATCGATCCAGCTATCGTGAAAGGGCACGTTCAGATCTCCTATGGTTCGGAAAAGTTGAATCCTCAACGGATACTCGAGCTTCTCGGCAAGGGGCTGCCGAATATAAAGCGGCAGTTGAGACGTAGTCTTCCTTGAGTCGGGCTCTTCGTGAGCTCCCAAACAGAGCGGCGTATGGTCAATAGGACAGCGACTGAAAGTTAAGGAGCGAACCCAGTGCTGCCTATCGGGGTTGTCGAGGAGACTGCAGATGACCGAGACGATCCAGCTGGGGGAGTGATTGTTAATGACGATCTCTCGATAAAAGATGGGCTCCCCAGCACTTTGGAACCGATGAGACACTCGGCAGAATGATAGTAGATTTCTCTGAGCAGCTTCAGTCCGCCTTCGTGTCCAACTTGGTCTGGTGACCATTGTGGTTGGATGGAGATAGAGCTGCTCCTCGTTTGAGATATTAACATGATCGTTCCCCAGATGTTCTGCGATCAAGGTAAGTAACTCGAGGGGTAGACGGTAGACTGGACTAGCTATTAGGTGTGTGTCAGTGGAGGCCTCATCGGGGCGAAATGGTCCGGAATGATCTGCCATTGCGGTTCTACTCAGTCAGTCGAGGAGGCTTTCATAGCGTCGCATTTATAACAAGTGAAGGTAGTAGTGCACGCCACACCAGAAGCCAGACTGAAAAAATCGAAGGATGGATGGACTATTTTAAAGCCCAAGGTCGACTAATTCGCAGAGTCAGAGATTCACTAGCTGTGGCACGTCGATTTCAATCATTCACGTCGAGCCGGGATACATTTCTTGAAACCCACTTAACGTACTATCTCTTGCGTTACAGAGTATACATCACTGTGAAGCAAAAGAGCCAGCCTCTTTTCACGGTAAAGGCACAGTCAGGCGTCGTGCAAGGCCACTCGCTTATTCGAACCAGCTTTCCCCGATTTTCGTGCTATGGCGCGGACAGACGTACACCTCGAATAGGTTTATGCAATTTTCATCCTCTCTTTCATCACGAAGTGGCCGTCCCCTTCCTTGCACTCGAACATCAGCTGCAGATAGATGCTAATTCCCATCTTGGCCCAACCGCACTTCCATAGAGGATTATGCATGACCCAATTCCATGCCCCCCAAGGGTCCTTTGGCATGCCAGACTTATCGGTAAAGTCCTCCATGACACGACCATCGGGATGTCTGACCTCAACATTGGCGCACAGCAAATCCCAGAGAAAAACTGCAAGCTCACGGCAGGGTGCTGGCAGAGTCCACCGCTCGTTGAGCACACGGTAAGGCCCGGGGAGTTCAAGACTAGGATCCACAGTGAACGCGGCGGAGGGAACCAGAAAGTCAATCGTCTCCAGGTTCCCGGGTATCTGCAACGGAAGCGGATTATCGGATTCAATGATCCATCGCCGAAGGCATCCCTCGCACAAAGTAATGTGCTTCAGTCTCGGGTGGCAACAGAAATCTGCCCATACCTGTGCCTCGAGCGGCAAGTGGTCCGACCTCAAGCTGCAAGTCCACTCTAGGCTCTCAAGGGTGCGATGATGAAGCCTTAGCACTCCTTTGGTATATCTCGTTTGGGTGCCCTTAATGATGCTCATTTGGAGTGAGTTGAGCTTGGGCATTTCCAAAAGCATGAGGCAAACGTGCTGTTCATCCCTAAGAGTTGTCATTTCCACGTCCCGGAGTACAAGTTCTCGGACCGGAGATGAAATTGTGGTGGAGCAATAAACCGGCAGTTCGGATTCTTTCATGCAAGGAGGCAACTGCCCACTGTGTACGTGAGGCGGGAGGTAGCCTTCGAATACAGGATCGTGGATCTCAAGGCGTGTAAGACCAGGTATCCTCATCAATGCAGCTTGATGAGTGGTCATGGTCAACATTGACTGTAGAGTAATATTCTCCAATCGCGGAAGGATGACAGGCAGCGCCAGGGGAATAGGGATACCGCTTGCTCGTATGCCGGCGACCCAAAATAGTCTCATGCAGAACGACCGTTCGTTGGTCTGGACAAGCCAATCGTTCGGCATCCACCCAAACTCCATGAGATTGGGCAGCATCGTCAATAATGCCATCAGCTGTGCTTCTTCGTGGCCGAACTTGATTGCGGAGATCAATTCGGCATAGAACGGAAATTTGAATTGGCTCAAGTGTTCAAAAAGCTGTTGCTGATGCTCCGGTCCCAAGGATCGCGAAAGACACTGTCTGGCAATGTGCTTAATTCCTTTGAAGATCGATCGGTCTTGAAGGCGCCTCGTGGCGGTATACCCGTTCAGGGGTGCGTTTGCAGGGTTTTCTAATGACATGGTGGCCTGATTTGCAGCTCCGTCGGCAGTGTAGCCATGTTTGATAGACTCCAGAAAGCAAGGGCGAGTGGGATCGACTCGACAATCCTCCACAGTGAGCGCTTCCACCCACTTGCGCCTGTTGGGGTCGACAAGCAGAGCTCTGATAATTGAAGTGATACAATCTGGATTGTGGTCATGGAGCGGGATTCGACGATAGAGCTCTCTTTCGGCTGACCTCGCAAATTTGCTACAGGCCAACAGCATCGAACGCAGTCCCTTGTGTGCAGCGGATGTACGTTTCATCCTCGTCCACTTCGGTCGGAACAGAAGGAGACACCTTATTTCCTCTCTCTTTGACGCATCCTCGCAGTCTTGTCCCAGCCAGTAGCAGATCATATCGATGAGTTCGACGGGTAGGCGCAGGATAGGCGAGCGGACGATCTGATTGGGATTCTTTGAAGGCTGAGTCTTTGCGAGTTCTTGAATGCTGCGTTCGGTAGATTGGGATATCGATATCGCAGGAGGCGGCAGCTCGGAGGACTGTCCCTGCGACTTGAGACCTATATCCTTGAATCTCCGACTTTTGAAGAGGAACTTGGAGAACCTGATGAAGGGTTTCACTCCCTTATCGAGATGGTCAGTGATTTCATTTCGATTCGGCTCGGGGGTTTTGTTAGTATCTCGAGAACTCAAGATCTCGCCTTGTTGAGAAGGTGGTTTCGCCTTGACAGGCCGGTCACGGAAGCAGCCCATGATCCCAATGCGTTTGGAAAAGTCAGTGGCTCTATTTCAAGATGTACTGTTGGATGTCCATGAGACAAAAGGGGAAAAGAGATGAGAGAAGTTGTGAGACAACAGGAACGATTTAAGTCGTGGAATTCGATTCGGTTTTTGGAGGACTTTTCGTTATGATAACGAGGTGAAAATGAATGAACAGTGAAATGCATAACTGAAAGAAACACTCAACGCATTAAATCGGAAGGCATGTGACGATGTGAATGCGAACGACGATAGGGGGAGCACAGTAGAAAGCACCGGATTCACTAGCAGAGAGAGCAGTCATGTTATTCCATATGAGCTCTTGCTGCCAAAAAAAGTGTATACCCAATGCAAATGTGTATGGTTCTATGCTCTTTTGATTCCTAGACTGGCAACACTTCCTCAATACCTCTGGTTCCATCCAAAGCAAGAGAGCTTGTGCAATCGTCAATGTGTGGATACCGCATGCTGGCTCGCCCGTCCCGCTCGATGCTCTTCAATCTACTAATACATTGGTCATGACTTTTGGTAGTCACTCCCCTTATGGTGCCGGTGGCGATGCGGTTGATGTTGGTGTTGTCGATGTGGCTGTCGGCGGGATGGTCTCGGTACTTTCTTCTACGGGAAGCTGTTTCCTGGGTCTCTTCAAGCTCTCCAAGGTCACACCATTTCCCAGTTGAGTTATCCCCACAATCGGAGCATCGCCCTTCTTGACAAACCCGTGCTTGCCTGTGTGGTATGGGGTCAGTGAAAGTGACATCGCCATGATGGAGAGTGACATTACCAGGCAATTTGGCCCCAGCCAACCGGAATGCATCTCGGACGACTTGCTCGTGTAGATCGCCCTTCAACTCGAATAGAATCCGGGATACGGCGACCCTCGCAGCCCAATGGTCGAAGCTGCCTTTGCCTTTTCCCATACGAATCTCATTTCCGGACACGTACACGCCAATGTTCGCTGAGACCCGTTTGTATAGCTGGTACTTCATGCCTCTCAGGCGTTGCTTGATGGTATCTTCCGCAACTTTGAGCTGCTTTGCACTGATACGGCGATCATGGTCGAGCATTCGCAATCCGTAGTCCCCCCAGGCTATCGTGGTTCCACGGGTGCTCCCTCCAGTCGCAACATGTGGGCGACCTTTTCGTGACTTTTTCGTTTCACCACCTTTCGGCATGAGCCAGTTCTGAGGGCGGGATGATGCGCTGAAGGCGCGCGAGGAGACGGCAATTGGGAAACGACGGCGGGATTCTTGTACTGCAGTTCATATTTCATCAGCACCAAATTGAGCATCACTCCAGGCAGAACGTACGGCATGAGCGGCATGGGGTTAGAGATAGTTTATGTAACAGAGCCCCCAGCTCGGCGACACTGCCCCCGATTCGAGGCATAATGGATGGCAATTGGGTTCAAACCAAGGCAGTTGGGTATAACCGTTTTACAATCTCAAGGGTTCTGAGGTGTTGAAATCCGAAGTCCAACTGAACTGTTTGAGTGGAACGAGGGAGCTCCCTGGTAGTTTTATGCCTCAGGCTATAAGGCTAGAACGGAATATGCCGTGGTTTTATCACGTGAGTAATTCGAACTTGGCGCGGTGTCACGTGTAAGGACGCGTCTCAACGTGATCACGCGTCTGGTGCGACGGAAACCTGTGAGAGTTCACCAAATCACCACTTCTAACGACTGAAAGCTTCACTTTCAATCATCACGCCCTTGTACATATTGCATTCTTGCTCGATTGACACAACGCTCGTGCCCTCATAGGTTCATCCGAATTCCGACCCTATAATCCACTAAACATTAATGCGAACAGAGTTGTAGAAATTCAGTTCCTAATGCTTTGAGCGATCCTGAGGCACCGATGCCGTCGGACATTCGAAGCTTCTTCGGCGGGAAGGCGCAATCCAGCGCCGATTCCAAACCGAGCAATTCGGTAAGTGGTGAATCACCGAGCATTTCACGCGCCCCCAACCTTCGATTTCTATCTGAATTTATCCTATTCACTCCTATATTACATCACCACATAGGCTTTTTCTGCATGAAATTGCAGTGAACTTCCCGATTGCCATCTCCCGTTCGTGCTTCAAAATTCCAGGTACTAAGCGTTATCCACAGCCTGCCAAAGCAAAGTCGAAGTCGAGATCGAGCAAGTATACCGTCGACGACTCAGATGAGGAGGTGATCAGGTACGGATGTTCATCCGCGCGCGGTGACCACGCTAACAACAAGAAGCACGAAGACAGCTGCCCCCAAGAAGGCGGCATCGAAGAAGCAAGTGTAAGTCGACTTTGAGAACCCCTCGATTTCATTAGCTTACATCATGTTCCGCAGTCATGACCACTCTCCCAATGGCGAAGCGACTACGACTTCGGCATACTTTGGGGACGCGAAGCCAAAACGATCAGGGCCTGTCAAAGCTGCTAGCAAGTCGAAGGATAAGCCGGTAGACACAGCTGAGAAGAAGAATGGCACGAGCACTATAACGCGGAGTGGAGTAACCCCGAAGCCCTCTCCTTACAAGAAGCCCAAAGATAGGGACGAAGACTTCATCGACGGCGATGATGGCGGAGATGATGTGTTCACGGCGGATTACAAGAAACGTGCTGGACGACATGATGACTACGAAGAAGAGAGTGAAGAAAGTGATATGGAGGTAGTTCAGCCTGCGAAGCGGGGGGGCAAACGTTCTACAGCAGTCAAAGAGGAGGAGGATGATGATGACGACTTTGAACCGCCGGAGAAGCCATTGGCGACGAGGAGTAGGGGCAGACCATCGTTGCGCAGCAAGGACAGCACTCCAAGCAAGAAGCGTAAGTCCCCTGTCATTGAAGACGACGATGATGAAGAGGAAGATGATGAACCTGTGACGAAAACCAAACGCGGAGCAGCTAAGGGGACTCCCAAGAAGGCACCGGCCAAGAAGAAGGCGAAGAAGGAGGATACTCCAGAAGACGAAAAGGTTCAGAGCATCTACGACTCGATTCAGCTTGTCCGACCTCCAACTCCCCCTTCACGAGCCGACGGAGAGACTGGGAAGTTCAATTTCAAAGCTCACGCCCAGAATGCAGGCCTCGCACCAGCCGCTGGCACTCGAGATATTCCTACAGGAGCTGAAAACTGCTTAGCAGGGCTTACTTTTGTGTTCACCGGCCTTCTACAGTACATGGAGCGTGACGTTGCTCAAAATTTGGTCAAAAGACATGGTGGCAAAGTCACAACCGCCCCAAGCGGCAAGACAAGTTACGTCGTGCTTGGATCGGACGCCGGACCTAAGAAGCTGGAGACGATCCGTAAGCACAACATCAAGACCATTAATGAAGACGGTCTCTTCGACTTGATCCGAAAACTCCCGCCGCATGGAGGGACTGGAAAGGCTGCTGCTGCGTTCAAGGAAAAACAACAGGCGGAAGAGGAGAGAATCAGAAAACTGGCAGAAGAGGAGGAGAAAGCTGTGCGAGAGAAGGAGAAGTTGAAGAAGGCTGAAGCTGCCGCCGCCGCCGCTTCTGGCAACGCGTCCAGCCAGCCAGCACAACGTCCTACAAGCGCTGACCTCTGGACTGTGAAATATGCCCCCACACAACTGAGCCAGATTTGCGGGAATAAGGGTCAGGTTGAGAAACTGCAGCGATGGTTGGAGAACTTCTCGAAGAACGCGAAGAAGGAATTCAAGATGCTGGGCGCCGACGGAACAGGCGGATATCGTGCGGTCTGTATTCACGGTCCTCCTGGCATTGGCAAGACCACCGCAGCACATTTAGTGGCGAAGGTTGCCGGATTTGATGTGGTTGAGAGCAACGCGAGCGATACGCGCAGCAAGCGACTCGTTGAGAGCGGGTTGCGCGGAGTCCTTGATACCACTTCAGTCCTCGGATACTTTGCAGGAGATGGAAAGAAAGTGGAGACTTCCAAGAAGAAGCTGGTCTTGATCATGGACGAAGTGGATGGTATGTCCGCTGGAGATCGTGGAGGGGTTGGGGCTCTCGCGGCGGTATGCAGGAAGACCCGCATTCCGATTATACTTATCTGCAACGAGCGACGCCAGCCGAAGATGAAACCACTCGATCTCGTGGCGTTTGACCTGGCCTTCAGACGTCCCACGGTGGACCAAATCCGGTCTCGGATCACCACGATCGCCTTCCGGGAGGGTATAAGACTTCCCCCGAACGTGATCAACGCTCTGATTGAAGGGAGCAACGCGGATATTCGTCAAGTCGTCAACATGGTATCCACTGCAAAGCTGGACCATGCGTCCAATGATCTGGACTTTGACAAGTCCAAAGAAATGTCTAAGGCATGGGAGAAACACGTCATCTTGAAACCATGGGATATCGTCCGGAAGATCCTAGCCGGTGGCATGTTCGCGCCGTCCAGTAAGAGCACACTGAATGACAAAAGCGAGTTGTACTTCAACGACCATGAGTTCAGCCCTCTCATGATGCAAGAGAACTACCTAGGCACTCAGCCGATCAAGGCACAGACTTATCAGGGACGCGAACGCTCTCTCAAACTTATGGAGCTCTTCGATCAAGCAGCCGAGAGCATCAGTGATGGTGATATGGTCGACCGAATGATCCATGGCAGCCAGCAACACTGGAGTTTGATGCCAACTCATGCCATGTTCTCTTTCGTCCGGCCTGCGAGCTTCGTCTCCGGGTCCCTTGTTGGTCACAACACCAGTTTCACGCAATGGCTGGGGAAGAACAGCGCTCAAGGCAAGCTTGGCCGCATGCTTCGAGAGATGCATTCTCATCTCCGCCTGCGCGGCAGCGGTGATCGAAACGAAGTGAGGATGCAGTACATGCCCTTGCTTTGGCAATACACAGCCAAAAAGATGTCGGTCGAAGGCAAAGATGCTGCTAATGAGGTGATCGATCTGCTTGACAGCTACTTCCTGACCCGAGAGGATTATGAGGCGATCCAGGAGCTTGGTATCGGCGGCATGGATGCGTCTAAGCTCAAGATCGATGCTCCTGCAAAATCGGCCTTCACCAGACTGTAAGTTTCCGCTCAATATTGCATTAAAATCTATAGGACATGAGGTTGACAATATTACAGCTACAACGCACGATCCCACCCGGTGCCATTCATGAAACCATCCACTGTGTCTGCGCCTAGGGTCGGAAACAAGGCAAAGCCCGATCTGGAGGAAGCGATCGAGGAGTCCGAAGATGAAGCACTGGTTGATGACACCAAGGGTGATGATGAGGATGATCTCACCAAGGACAAGTACATCAAAGCGCCCAAGAAGAAGAAGGCCGCGGCCAAAGGCGATGATAATGGCGAGGAGAAAGGCAAGGGCAAGGCTAAAGGTCCAGCGAAGAAGCGAGCTCGAGCTACTAATGACGATGACGAAGAAATTGAGGAGAAGCCGAAGAAGAAGACTGGAAGGGGTCGGGGAAAGAAATGAACATTAGGCCTCTGATCTTTCGTGAAATGTTACATTCCAAAGACGGACTTTGAGGGTCATGCATATCTGAGAACCCTTCTCCAGATAATGCCTTGTTACTGTCTTCAGCACTACAAACTTAACCCGGGATGGGCTGCAAATTTGGCTCTGCATCTTACGAAGCCAGGCAGTGCTTATAACGACGATTTCGAGTAAACATAGAAAAGATTGCAACAGAATGACAGCATCTGACCGCTCACCAGTTCCTTACAGGTATCCTCAATCAGCATTATCTTCATCTCGACCATTCAACTCCTGAGAGCTGGGTGGAAGTAGACACCCCACGCGCCCAAACAGCTGTATCACCACTTGAGGCAATCCCGGCATCTGATCCCGCGAACTGGCTGCTCCAGGATTCTGTTCCTCCCGTGCATACCCGGAGAGTTCGGGGTCATATTCAGTGCCACAGTTACACGGCATCCGTCGCTCACTGACCACTGACCACTGACCACCGTCACACTCGACCAACCATGTGCGCATACCAGATCACGAAAAGCAACAACCGTGAGTTACACATTATGCAGTTCGTAGGTCTCGGCACTCCGTGATTCAGGAACAGACGATGTGTAAGGCAGAGCAAGAGACGTTGGGCACACCACTGTCCTATGAGAGATGGCTGATGAGACATGAAGTACGGAGATGGGGCATCCGATGTGACCGATATCACTCCAGACTCCAGTAAGCTTACCTAGTCGCCCGTCCCATGATGATGGAACGGCCGTTATAGAGGTTTAGCAGGTGGAAACACTGCAGATTTGGTAGGATGTGGATGCTCAGGCAAAGCGAGACTTCGAACTCATGGATAGCTAACCCCTTCCCGCCTCCCCGTCAGCGCGTCCGACGAGAGATATGGCACACTAAACAAGCGATCGGGACATGTTTGACGGGGTTTGGGAAACATCACAATTGGCTTGGATTACACAATCTACCATGATTTGTATGCAGTGGGTTTGAGTGGTTTCGCTAATTAGGGTTTCGAGACGAGGGGGTTGATTTTGAGACATGAGCAGTGAGCACGAGATATTCCGGAGAAAGGACCCTTTCTCGACGCGAAACATCAAGACAGCGAGTCATGGCTTCTCAAAGTCCTCGTAAATCATGAGATGCATGTCCTCAAACACAATCCTATTATTATTGCTTTCAACTTGCACCAACACCAATACCCAGGCCGAACTGGCCGTATCAATGGAGTGGAGAATCGCAATTCTCGCTGGGCCCCAGTTCCATCGAGTTCCCGGAATATATTGCGGATCACGACACACAAATCAAGATTAACCCTCCTTCCCTGTATAATTTGGCATTGGACATTATTGACGATGCGAAATTTGACATGTTTCTGGGCCTGGATGGGTAGTCCTTCTCAGTCTCATCCTGCCTGATTTTTGTTGAGCCTAGGGCTGGACACGAATAAGGATTTTGGCTATTCGTATTCGACTTTTCCTCTTGAACGATTATTCGTATTCGACTAAGTTTTGAGACGTTTTATTCGTATTATTCGCGAATATTCGTAAATAATGCCAAGACTTATTCGGCAAAAGCCGAGCCAATGAATGAATGCCCAACAGTCGCGACTTTTGTTTACCCGAACACGATCTGGAGGATTTGAGCTCTAAGAGATACAAAGCATATCAATAGCGTCGAATTGATCACTCCTGACGATTCAGCAAGCCAAGTGACCCCAGCTTAAAGCTCTCTGTCGACCATCTCTCCGATGCGAGATACATGGAAATAGCTTCAGAGATAGACGAATAATTACGAATAATTACGAATAATGCGAATATTATTCGTACGAATATTAGTAAGCGGAAATTCTAAATTTTATTCGTATTCGACTACGAATATTCGTACGAATACGAATAGTCGAATATTCGTGTCCAGCCCTAGTTGAGCCCAAGCCCGCGAACACCAAAATCCAGGTGGCCATTGTCCAAATTGTGAGTAATACATAGAATGTCGTTGGGCAAATGTACTCAACGGCTCTTCAGCCCATAAGTATACAATGGGACCGCTAGGATCCCGACTCGCTGTCACATTGCAGTTTGCAGCCGTTCGTCCCAATGGTCTGGATTCCCGTCCTCCCCAACGGTATCGGGCGTTTCAGAGCTGCTGGGAATGTTGGAGCCTCCCCAGTGATCTACAGAGCACGCGCAAGGCGGCCGAGTCAAGGACCGTTTATGGAAAGCCGTCGACGGTTCCAACCAGTTGGCTAAGCGATGGCTTGCTCGTGTACGAGACTACCAGCCAACGAGTGCATCACCAATTCACCATCTACCAATCTCAATGGCAAAAGGGGGCTCGAAAGGAAGATGATGGTCAAATCTCGCGTTCTTCATACTTCGTCCAAAATGTCGCTAGAAGAGGTATCAAATCGTGCCGTGAAAGATATGGACGACAATGACAGGCATATACAAATCTCGCCGGGATCGCGAACTAAACTTGCATCCAAATCCGAACCTGGGTTCGTCAAACACACGCTGTACAAGGTATCTCCTCCTGAAAAGTCACCCGTTCCCCATCCCTGGTTGTCTCAATCCCGTTCCCCGTTGCGTCCCCATCGTGAATCCTCGCCTGGAGCCCAATGCTCCGCGTCTAGTAGGGATGCAAAATGGTCCGACTTCCCGCCATGGATGGCCAGACGATTTTGTCGAGCACCGCTACTGAGCAGCGTCCAGAACAGACAAGACGTCCTCTCCGCTCGAGTCAGAGGACGAAACAATATTCTCGTGCCTTCGTAAGTTCTAGGCGATCCCTTCCGATCCAGAACCCATCAATCATCATGCGGTCAAAATCACAATTCTTTTCCAGGGTCGACAGTCACAAACGGACCGTGTCGCCAAATCCCAAAAATCCTTGTCCGATATTCATCACTGCTCTTCCGTGATCCCCTCGCCTCCGCTCTCCCGCCAGTCCCGGCTCTTTTGCACGCACCGCCCCACCCCGTCCACCCTCGCCGCCCACATCCCCTCAATCTTACTGCGAAACGTGTACCCGCGCTGGCTCGAGATGACGCCAATGGCTTGTAGCACGGCCTTGCGCGCGTCCCTCCCAAACACTGCCGGGTGCAGGATCCACTCCAGTGCGCTCTCCAGCTCCGCATCCAACGCTGCCATGGTGGTCTGATCAATCCCGGTCGGTGCGGGCGCCAGCGGGTGCGGTGCAGGCATGTTGGGCGGTGGCGACGGTGTGTGCTGTCGGGGTGGCGTATTGGAAGAGACACCTGGATTGGGGGTGGTAGGAGTGGACCCAGTAGCCTGGTCCCTGATCGACGGGGCGTTGCCGCTGACGGGGGAATTGTTGCTCTGCGAGCGGGTGCTGGAGGCGTGGCCGTTAGTGCTCTGCGGTGGCGGGGGGAGAGGCGGGAGGCCGCCTTTGCCGAGCCCTTTGAGGATGGAGCGGGTTTCGGAGAGGAGATGGTGGGCGCGTTCGTGTTGCCCGCGGGAAATGAGGGTGAGGGCACGGGTAAGCATATCAGAGGTGAGGAGTTCCATGCGGCGTTGGACGACGAAGGGGTGAGGTGGGATGGGGGGCGAGAGAGGGCGAACCAGGGACTTGGTCCGGCTGTTGGACGGGAGCATCGTGATGGTGAGGAGGGACGGTCGGGGGAGATGGGCAACGGTGCCGTCGCGTAGAATGTCACCGTAGACGAGGTCTGCTTGGATCAAGGGGACTTCTTCGACGGAGAGATTGCGCTGGTCCTCGGAATCGAATGGACCTCCAAGAGCCTCCAGGCCAGACACCAAGGATTCCCATGCGTCTTGTGGTGTTTGCTCCGGCGACGCGCTGTCCGGTGCAATCGCAAGTTGTACCAGGATGTCACGCTTGTCGCCAAACCGCAGATCCCCAAGAGCAGCTTCGGCGTCCCTCCCGGTTGCGCGTTTGGTGATGTGCAAGGCGCCGCTGATCTTGACAAACCTTGCAGGCGAACCTTCGGGGAGACGCAGTTTGAGCTTCGCGTTTTGATGCGAAGTCGTCTGCAGGGAGCCCAAGCACCCAGCCACGCATTCGCGAAGCATCATCCAATCTTTGACGTATGTGTACGAGGCTTTGGTTCTCGTTGACAACTCGATCATCGTGTCCGGCTTGTGGGTAAGACCGAGTCCGAACGAGTGGATGGCGACTTTGGCAGCCTCAGCTCGAGAGACCACGAAATCCACACTCTCAGGGTCGGAAGTTGATGAATCGCTGATCAAAAGAATGCTCGAGAGAGGGTTGGTGGACTTCCGTTGCATCAAGAGGTCCATTGCGACGTTGGCACCCTCGACTACGTCCGCCCGCAAGCTCTTTTGTCCCACCGGTCGAATCGAGTCCAGAATCTTGTTCCAGCCATTCCACGTCTTCCCGGTCATCCCGACCAACGGCACGCCGCCTCCGCTTGAACCGAAGGTGACGAGGCCCATACGGTCACGTTCGCCCAGGTTTCCAACGAGGAAGCGGAGAGTGTCGCGGAGGAGGTTGATCTTGAGGCCTTGCATCGAAGACGAAACCGGAATGACAACCACCAGGTCGAGGGGAACGTGGGGAGAGACGATCATTCGCTGATCGATGGAGCCCATACGGGAGTATTCGGTGGGTGCGGTGTGGTAGGATCGGCCACCGCCGTACGAGGAGGAATTGACGGAAGAAACCCGTTTGACTTTGTTGAAGGAATTCCTGTACTCGTCCTCGTCGGTTCCAGAGTTTTCTTGGTCATAATCGTTCGACCCTTGTTGTTCTAAGCCATTGAGATCTAACAGAGCCCGCCGCCACATCTCCAGCTGACCACGATTTTGGAACTTGAGATGGAATGAGGGGAGTTCGGGAACGGAGAGCGCAAGGGTGAGGACAGGTTCGGGCTCGTCTGCACAAGTCAGCGTCCACTATCAGTATTGGGTTAGAGATGGAGGCCTACCTTGGGAGGCTTGCACGTTTTGTAAATGCTTTCGAATCAAGATCGAGCCCTTCAAGGTGCATTTGGTCTTCTTCATCACCGAATCCGACCCGTCCCATGTTGGTGGATTAGCGACCTTCTTCTCTTTCACACAGATCAGCATTTCGGTGAATAGGTAGCACTCCAAATCCTGCCAAGATTGTCGATCCTTGCCCACGCGGATCTGGCCATGCAGCCTCAATTTTCCGAATCTACAGACATTAGAGAGAAACCTGGAAACTCGATCCACGATCCAGTCCATACCTTGAGAAGTCCAGGCCGTGCCAGTGATCGACACGTTTTTGCAATTCGTCCGTGATCGAATCGAGCTCTTCCTGCGATTGGCGTGGGATAGTCGGGCGTTTGCTTACCGCCGGAGATTTTGGTATTGAGTAGTCTACGCTTGGATGCGTCGGTAGTGGTGGGGCGTGCCGGATGTCTTCTGGGTCAGGCCGCCATTTCGATTCTGCAACCTCGATCGTGACTAGACACGTTAGGCTCTGTTGCTGGCGGGAGCGGGTTAAGGTCGGAAACTCGCTCCGAACCATCACGCTGGGTGGTGCTATCGGGTTCTTGAGTGAGCCGCGAGGGCTGCTGAGACTCGTTTCCATGGATTGGACGTCATAATCGTGCCTTCGCATCGGATTATGAGGCTCGGCATAGTCGGAGGAGGCGGTTCCAGTCGCAACACTATCGTTGCGGTAGTGGTTCCTTGATGCCGACCGGTCTAGTGCGATGGGGTTGCTTTGGCCGCTATCGCGCATACGCGGATCCCGAACTTCGCTTAGTGACTGGCTCGGCCGCAGGTGCGAGTCCGTATCGCCCATCGTCCGATTGTCCCACCCTGGGTTTGTCATAGCGGATTGCCTACCATCCCGCAGCGGTGGAGGCTGCTGCTGCTGCTGCTGCTGCTGCTGCTGCTGCTGCGACGATCTCATTATCGAGCCTAATTTCTCTGTTGCCCATGATCAGCTAGATTCCATGTTGGCAATATCGAACGCATCGTACCGAGGTCCAGTACATTTCCCCCTCGACTCGTGTCTAGCCCTAGAGGCGACTTGCATGTCGGGCAATACTGCGACTCGAATTCGCGGATGTACTCGTAGAAACAAGCTTCATGTGCGACGTGGGCGCAGGACAACTGCAGGATCCGCTCGCCGCGGAGGGTGTGTTCCAATGGCTCTTCGCATACGGCGCATTCGGCACCGATAAAGGTCCGATCTCGTCGGGTCCGCGAGCGTTCCTGGTCTAGAACGCTTGCCATGCCACCTCGTCCCGATCGCGAAGCAGCGGCCGACTTTTTGGCGTGGTATCGGGTAGCTTGGGAGGGTGGGCGGTCGTCGGAGACTCGGGAGGAGAGGGAGAGTGGTCGAGAGTCTGAATAAAACATACAAAAAAACTCGAATCAATATCTGAATCAATTGACGCAGCTCACACCAAATTCCAGAAGCTTGTGGCGAACAACCATTCAGAGCAAAGAAAAGGGGAAGTAAGTACTGTGACTCTCTTCTGTCTTAAACTCCACCGACTTGGAGGGGATCTTGCGATTGGAGGTCCCCGATGGTCGAGAGGGACGATCGCGCTCCTTGCTAAGAAGACCGAGGTCGTAGAGGCTGGACTGGACTTCGGAGGCTTGGAGACGTTTCAATGTGGACTTGCTGACTCCGTACTCGTTGTGATGCGACATGTGGAAGGTGAGGTGGCGGGAAGAAGCAATTAGGTGCGTAGTATGAACGGGAGCAACGAGTATTTGAGCCGGGGCGAGCAGACGTGGTTCAGTCTTCAGATCGGTTTCAGACTTTCAGTGTTAGCGTTAGCGTTGCAAGATGCGCAACGAAGCGGGTCTTACAGCCTACAGGCCCCAGACGGCCCAGAGAAAGGTAGAAGGGGGCGAGCGGGCGGGAACCAAGCAGCACGAGGCGACTCGGGCGAACGCGAGGGGGGCGAATATCATTTATGGGAAACCGATAATACCAGAGGGAAAGGTTGGGGTAATCCAGTTAGGTCAAGAGTCAAGAATCAAAAATCAAAAATCAAGACACAGCGGAGGACGGAGGATAGGACGGTGGGATGGTGGACTCATGGAGTTTGTGGACGGTCGGTGGTAGCAAGTAAGGGGATGAAACCATGGTTTCTGCGATGCTGCAACAGAAGGACGGAGGAAAGACACGGAAAAGCATAAAACGGCTTCAGAACAGGACAGATGGAGGAGAATACCGGATGAGGAATACCGGATTCGAACTCGGGGTCCTTGTCTCCCGGTACAGTACATAGTACCGTAATTAGGATGTGTAGGTACCTTAATAATATGCTAAATATTATACTTGGTACTATTATTATCCTTGCTACGTATGTACCTTACCTGTAGGCAAGGAACTAATTATGGTGGTTTTGTTTGCTGGCTAGAGACGGTCAATCAACAATTCAACATGCCTTACTCCTTACTCCTTATTAGACCTTACTGGCAAGTAACGACTTATTTTTACGAGAGTTGCGGGGACTTCGTACGGAACAATCAGAAGAGGTGGTGTCGTTTTGCCTTCGCGATTTTGCCATTGGCCATCCACGTTGGTGGCTCCAGCAACATAATGGTGGTGGAGGGGCGAGACCTGAGTCAGTGTCAGTACCAGAGACCAGAAGACCCGCCAGAGACACTGGGGCCCCTGCCAGTTCAGGCACCCCTCCCCTGCCCATCCAGGCACCCCATGTCCACTCACCAGGGCCTCGACAGGGAGACAGGGGCAGTTGGACAGGGAGTGTCTGGTGCTCAAGTCCCTACTGTAAACTGTACCTGTACAAAGTTCAACTGCTCATCAGCTCATGCCTCCAGTCTCCACATTCCACTCCGCGCTTCTTCTGTCACCTTTCCCGTTTCCTGCCACCATCCAATATGCAGGATCCGGCAACCAGCAGGCACCTGCCACCTGCCACCTGGGAACGGGAGTTTCGAACGGGAATGTACCAGATCACCAGCACCATGTGTAAACTCACCCCTAGCTCTCGTCCAAACGGTACCCGTCCGAACTATTGAGATACCCACAGGCCACATTAGCTTTGGAGACTGCGGACCTCATCGCGATTCGCTTCTGTCATATTCTTGTCCAACTAGTGCGAACTTTGGTTGAGGGCTTGGGGCTAGTAACTCCGCGTGTTGGTGGTTGGGACTTTTGGAGTAAGTGTCAAGATACCTTATCAAACTAGCAACGAACAATCTCTGCTGGGTAGGGACATGGTCTCGAGAGTCGAGCTCCTCTGCGAGTCTACATGAAGTCTCCTACCTCCAAGAGTCCGACCAGGTTGTCTTAAGGCTCGAGCAGCTAAGATCAACCATTGATACATATTCCATATCATGGCCGGTGTTTTCCGTTGCCCATATTCCGATGTCTTCTCCAGCATCCGTGCTAATCTAACGTGTGCCCTAGGAATAGGATTGGCTAATTCGTTAACGCTGTCAGTGTCGACGGATTCTCGTGCTTGGATAATAGACCCTCTCGGATATGGGGAAATGGGGAAAGCATGGCGATCGAATATTGACCCATTCGCTCATCGTTCGTTAGCTATGGTGCCAGTGCGTGCCGTAGCGTGTCCATGAGAGGCTGAGAGCGTGGTCGTCTGGTCAATGCATCACGGGCCATGGGGAATGGGCCACAATTCACCAATCGCACAAGGCTGGGAGCCTGGGGGCTGGGACCAATGCCTAGCAGCCTTGGAACAGTGGCGCCAGCTTCCACGAGCCTCGGGCTTCACTTGACGCCGGATCCATGGCATGATACTTCCACCTTCCTCGATCCTTCGACGTCCAGCGGAAAGTTACATTGTCGAGTGGAGGTGCCTGATGGACAGGGCATCATGAGGACAGGGCTTGTGGCAACGGCGGCCCGTCCAAGCATCTCCCATGCGGGATATCATACAGTACCAGTGACCAGACCATATCTGCTGCACGGTCAAGCAGATGGTCCCTTAGGAAACCAACATTATAGTCCCAGCGATCCTTATGTCGTTCAGGACTTCAGGCATGGCCTTATTTATTGGCACTCCTGTACCGATGCCAATATGCTTGGCGGGGAGTAGATCAGAACCTTGGACTTCCGAAAGAAGCTGGTTCCGGAGGTCGACGATTCGGAATATGGCTGATCAACGACGTTTTTCCCCAGACGGGAGATCGGACATGTGCATTGTTGAAGAAATCAGTTTAGATGGCGTGGCACGGTGCAGCGGAGCCGAGCATCCGTCAAATTCAATGTTCAACTCTTTGCTCTGCACTCTTCAATGATTCAATCATCGACGAGTGAGGGGTTTCAGGCCCGACATCCCATCAGACGCGCTGCAAAATTCATTTCTAGTGCTTCATTGGATGACGGTCTCTCGGGTTCAATTCACCTGGCTGACAATTTCATGAGAGAAGCGCGAGAAGACGCTCAGAACCAAAATGACCATGCCCATCATTGGCTCTTCCAATTCGTTGATGCAAGCTCATCTCAATGAGTGAGGTCAGCCGATACGCGCATACACCTTTTTCCAAGGCATCGTGGCTGTGCAGGTTGGGCATGTACGTAGTACGGATTCCCATGGCAATTCCGTGATTTTAAGGTTCCAAGCTCCGAACCCGACGGATTTTGAACGAGCGTGGACTCGCACAAGTCTCCCGGGCGATGTGAAAGCGTAATGGGATTCGTACAAGCTCCACGGAATCCGTGTAAAACTCGCCTCCAGCAGATCACGATAGGCGGAGCAACCGACTACAGTACAAGACCAACAAGTACCTTTGTTGTAGTCGCTGGTCGCTCTGCATGTCGATGCATGATGCTGCAACATCTGCTGCGTACTGCAGGCTCGGCGCTTCGCCGACCAGTTCCCGAACCACACTCGCTTTCGGATCTACCATAGCGATGCTGGATATCGCAGATCCTTATACCCGGGAGGAAGTTGAAAAGTTCTTCTCTCCAGATCATCGGGCTCATTTGCGAGCTCTTCTGCACAGCCGAGATTTTGAGGCACGATATTGGATCTTCCAAGTTCAAAACCTACATCCTGTTCAATTCGGATTGGTGGCTTCCCCTTGGGTTTCCGAGTTCCTTGTCAGAGGCTGGCTTCATCTGTACAAGGGATTCGGTCACATTCAGTCCCATCATTGGCGTTCTTGGGTGCGATTCCAAGCGGAACAGAAGAAGGAAGAGATTACCGAAGCCAGAAACCTCGTGCATCGTTGCCATGTTCCTAAGTTTGGTCCTTTACTACCGAATATTTCTTCCACGTTGATGAAAGTTCGGTTCTCCGCTTACCTTGGTTGTGGAAAGCGAAATTCCTTCCGCCGAGAGTAAAACGAGTCCGAAGAGGTCAGTTGCCATCCTTGATGCCATGCCCGCCATGAACGCCACAGGGAAACGCGAAATTGGATCCGTTCTACTGGCTCATAAAACTCGGTTCAGGACTTCAATCAGTAGTAGAACTGCCACTTCTCCTTTTCTCAAACCTTCCAGAGTAAGGGCGTCGTCAGGGAGATCTCCCTTCCAGCCTTCCAAGTTCCAGCCTTGTTACTACCAGCCGTCCAGTAATTACGAATCATCTCCCCCGTGAGCACGTGGAAATCGAACCTATAGTCCGTCCTAGTCACCTATTTAGTCCATGTCAGGACTCAGGACGGCCTACCACGACCGTCCAGCTTTAGGTTGGAATTTGAAGGCTTGCTCCATGCATGCATTCAGTGGCCCATTGAGATATCGATGCTATCAGGAACGAAAAATCCTCTGATTTCTGAAGGAGAATGGTAGGCTCGTGCTAGTGTTGCACGGGAAGAGTTCTTTGACTGCTCCTCGTGCTCACTAATTGCCTTCTCGACATGCACCTAAGGCTCATCTTGAACCAATTGAGCGGTATTTAACCCACCTCTGTTCCAACGTCCTTCGAGAAATATTGGATTGGCTCCAATCAGAAACCATTGTTGCGGAATGCGGACGGCATGCAGCATGCAGCACAGCATCCGTCTTGTGAAGTGTGAAGTGTAAAAGGCGGAACACCCCTGTTCATATTTCATAGTCTTTGGTCTGTTCTGGGTCCTGATACGGCAAGGATCTGCACTTACAACGGTTGACGTCTGGTAGTCTGGGGTTAGTACTCAGCTAGCTGCGAGTATGTATCGTGCAAGACTAGTTCTGTGTTTGGAGATGGGGTTGTACGGAGGCGGGTAAGCACGTTCAGTGCCAGGACTGACGACAGGGACCCGAGGCATCTGTATGCAGCTAAAGTGCGGTGATTTAGTCTTCAAGTAGTATTCCGTACTTGATATCGAGTATGTGGTTGGATAAACGGATCGTGTGCGCTGAGTTGTACGGAACTGAATACTTGCAGCACGATCAGGGTGTGTGCGCCATATATCTGAAATCGATGAGGTAGGGGTGGTTCAGTCTCATGAGATTAAACAGAAAGGCCACTGGTCATTAGCTAATAAGTGGTTGTCGTCCACGTTCATACGTTAATATTGAGAGATGTTGGAATAATGAATATTAGGGATCAGTCAATCGGACTATGCTCTCCTGCACACTACTGAAGCAGGTCTGACTGCAACTTTAGCACTCAGCGCCAATTCTTACTGCCGCCTTACAGGCAGTACACGGAAATAACTGTGGTTTTCCTTTTCTCCTCACCGATCCTGATTCGGAGATCTCGACAACTATCCGGTAGCATAGTTAGAAGATCGAACATGTTCGCTTCCTCCCGTCCATCATGCGACTTTTAACGTGGGAAGTGGTGACAGGAAAAAGCAAGTCCCGAAAACGATGGGCTCACGCCCACTCAAGTGTCAGAACACACAAGCCTCGTATAATAATGACACCAGGTTAAGAAATAGTCATTTGATCATCTACCATTGCCAGCCAAAAGTAAATGGCCTAACTGCGCACCGTATGAGGCTTTTGGCTGGTCCAAGCTTCGCTTAGCCAAACTCTATAGCGAAAGCCATATAGTTAGTAATTGAAAACTTATGACGGCGCAACACTGAGCCTAGGGCATGGATCGTGTAGATCAGCGGAGTGCACTGCGAAACTATGACAGAATATGAAGTCGACTCGTGACCAACCAGTGGTGAATCCGCTGCCTGTAATTTCGGGACCGAAAGTCTGTTCCGAATATCCCATTGCCCAAGCTCTTTTACCTTTCAAACGGTAGCGTTTCTAGAGGTAACCTTCTCTTGAGAAACGGTTGTTTCATTGAAGTCTTTTGAAACGATGGCATCCCTGAGTACCGCTCCGTGGAGGTAGTACCTTGGATACCGAGATACAAGAGATCTCTGACACGCGCTCTGAATTGCGGTGTGAAGCATCGAAATATCTCTTCCTGAATAAACGGTACTTATACTGACTTTCGGATAGCCTTGGCCTAGGAATTGAGTAGAATGGCATGAATTCTACGCTCCATGAATCACGATCGACAACGCAACCGTTTCATGTTCACTGAATCCAGTGAACAGTGAAAGCCTTTTTCTTGCCGTAATGCCACCGACTTCGTGGCCTGACCCTCCTCATAGATTGTAACCCTTTCGGCTTTGAGATTGAGATTGGGCCAGCTTCATCCAGAGGGGAAAAATTGGAGGTTCTGGATTAAAACCCATGAAAATATCTCAATTGTCACTTTCTTTTCGCCTGATGTTCACCCTCTTGGGTATACCTTATCCTCCCTTTGATTAGGCATGTTGATGATTTTACGACGACTCTCCGTTAACCTAGGTTGGAGGAGGACGTTAACGGTAACGGACCATCAATTTTCTTCCACCCCGGATGCTTTCTTCTGGAGTGTCCGAGCCAGATCTTCTCTTTCATCATCGACCATCCACTCACGCGTTGTGCTCGTTTTTCATAAATGGGTTTCTCATAGGGTCGTATCATCGTAAAGGAAGAGTTGTCTCGACAGCACCCAAATAGCTCAGGCTTAGCCATTGAGGTGAGCCCCTGGAATCCCCTTGCCGTATTACCTTGTTGACATAGTTAGGCTGCCTTGCTACCAACGAGATGTTCCAAAACCAGACTTTCCTGCACGCGACTTGTCTGTTGCAGTCGCGTGTTCAAACTCCATATGGGGTTCGCCACCGTTGCTGACACAATGACGGTGGTAGCAGCGGAGCTGATATGAATTACTGCTGCATCTTCCTCGCATTCCAGTGTTTCGGATACCAAGCTCTTACAACTTACAGCTTCCATCTAGCATAGACCAATAACTCTTGGCCCAATTCCCCGACAGAGGCTCTGTTAGGCTTCAGCGCGTTGAATGGAGAGTGGAATTTAGAAGGAACGTCCGGCGGGCATGGTCGAGATGGGGATTGATACACCTTTGATGGGGCGGAACGGAGGGTTGCGACCGATATGAGTCGGTCTGTAACCCAGTTCTGAGAACGTTAAAGGCGGTATCAGAACTCCAGTTGCCACCCCCTCTGTCGTGATGGTAGAACCGTTAGTAGGGCAGGCAGATGAGCGCGTTGACCGAGTGGTTGACGAGTGTCGAAGAGTTGATAACCAACCGAGGTTCAAAACGGGGGCTCGCAAGACCTGAAAGGAAAGGACCCGAAAGAAAAGTATCCATGGGAAATGCGACGAGACTGGATTTAGCATTGGCCTGATTCCGCCGACGATAGTGAATTGCTTGTCCTTCAGCGATCCGCGGACCAAAAGCGAATGGAAGATCTCGAAGACGGGCTTGCGGCATCGGACCAAACGCAAGACGAAATGATATTGGTGTTCGTAGAACTGATGGAGTTACTTGCTTCCGACATCCACCACCTCCTGGGTGAATTTCAAAGCTGTGCTAATAAACGGGTAACTAATGAATGACTTATTAAGGAAACCACAGCGCCGCCCGTGAAGCACACACTCTTCGGGGATTAGGGCGTATCGAAGCGAAGAGGGTCCGTATCGAGTGATCTCAACTCAGTTACGTCTTGCAAGTGCCTTCTAGCCAAGTCAAGTTTCTAGACCACTACATTCACTATGGAGACTGGGTGGGATCCTGTATTATTACTGATTCAATCGTCGTGGGATACTGAGCAGCATTGTCAATTGTCATATTCCTCATTATGCTATACATTAATATTTGGCCCCGATGGCATATACCGTCCGCGGAACTTTCATATCAATCCATCCAGATTGCCATTCCCGTTTCCTTGGATCCGTCATACTGCCATCGGGCAGATTGATCCCCCATACGCCGAATTGCGAACCCATTTTATTTCCTCCCAAATATCATATTAACAGGCTAGAAATGCTGTCTCAAATCCCCGTCCAAACTATTCCTGCTACCCCCAAGAGCGGGACCCAGCCTAGGGCCAAGTTCGCCCCTCCATCAGTCTGGACTGCCGGATTGGTAGTCTGACTGGAGCCGCCTCCAGCCGTTGCTGCGGTATTGGTTTCGCTGCCTGAACCACTTCCACCCTCGGAACCCCTTGACCCCCCCGACCCTCCCGAACCCCCCGAACCCCCCGAACCCCCCGAACCTCCTGAGCTCGTTGGACTAGGACCCTCCTCTGTCTGACTATGAGCAGGGACGTTACCTGCAGTCGGTGGGATGTCACCACCACTTCCACCGCCCACCCCTTCGGTATTCGCTGGCGGTTTCGGCCCGTCCAACGTCGGCACCGGTCTCTCCGTATGGATAATAAAGAGGGTCCCGGTTATCGCGGTTTGCAAGCTTTCCAGGTGTGGCATCGGTTGGGCAATCGGGATCTTGGTACTGGTTGGTTCGATTACAGGGCTCGGGGGGTCCGGCTCTAGTTCCGGGCTTGAGGTTGGCGGCGGGTTCGGACGGTCGAGCGTAGGGAGTGGGATTTCGGTGTGCATGGAGGCGGGCTCTGTGGAAATGCCAGGGGAGGGAGAGGGGGAGGGGGATGTGTGTAGGTCGGAGGTGGGGATTGAGGTGGGAGTAGGAGACGGGGTAATCGTCGCATTTGATGTCAACATATAGTTGCCTGAAGGGGTTAGCTGGTTATTCACGAGGGAGGAAGATTGAGGAGTTAGCAACATACGCTTATCTTGTGGCATGGCAAAGACAGGGTCGTAGCAAGAGGCTGCGAAGAGGAGTACCGCCAGCCCTGATATGTCGAAGCGTATTGACCGCATCATGGCTCAGGTATATGAATATGCGAACGCCTCAAAAGGCCCAACACGGGAAAAACCGTCTTCTCCTTTTCGGTCGCTGTCAAATCTCATGCAAACTTCAATGTCGAGCTTCAAGAATTGCGTTGGCGCAAGCATCGGACCCCGCAATTGTCGAAAAGGAGACCGCTTCCAAGACCGGATCTTCCCAACCTCAACAAACGTAACCCTGACTATCTGAACGAGCGTGCAAGCGAATGACAAAAATACAATTGAGCGAGTGGCAAAGTTTGACAAACCGGAAATCTATCGACTGTAAAGTGTCGGAGAAGCAGGATTAATATTGATGATGTCGAAAAGCAGAGTAGAGCTGAATGGAAGTGTGGCTTAGAGGAAATACGAGGTCGCCCAGATCAGGTTCCACATGCTGGACGAGGTGGACGACTGGACGATGATCCATTCAACATCTTTCCTGTTTCTGCGGGTTTCCCGATGGTTGGCTTATTCGGGTTACTACGTAGTACTGTACAGCCGCACCGAGGACGACGGTCACCAGGTGGTGGGTGCTTGAAATAGCACAGCGATAGGACGAGGGTTGGTGAACTATTCCTTGCTAGGCGGGCGACGATCCAATGGCCTGGGGCTCGGACTTCTTCCATGCTGACCCGATGTCGAAATTCGTTGAACAGAACGGTACCAGTATCATGGCTCTGGATTTTGGGGGCTCAGAAAGCCGAAAGAATATCTACGTAAATAGTAGATAGTGTCAGTGGACAAGGCACTGGAGAGTTCATAGGGAAAAGCCAATAAGCCATGTCGAATGTCATGTGATTTATATGCTCGTACTCCTCACCACTTGTAGTTAATATAATATAGTGAAAAATGGCGACAATAGGTGAGCGCTGAAAGGCGAAGAATTTAACATTTCTTATTATTATACCCAATATCTCTTTGAAGCTTATTGAAGTACGACACTATCCCTCCGCCTCCTCCTTCTCCTTTCCCTCCTTCTCACGCTCCCTCCGCCCTCGCGCCCCTGCCTTCAACACCTCCCACCGTTCCCGATACCTCCCGACGACCTCCAGCAGCTTCCGATTCTCCCTCCCCAACTTCTCCTTCGCCCTCTCCATCTCCGCCGCCTGCTCTCGCTCCCGTTTCAACTCCTCCTCCAACTCCCGTACCCTGCGATTCGCCTCCTCATCCGGCTCCGGCTCCGGCTCCGCATCCCTCTCCACCCCCTCCTTCCTTCTCTCCACCTTTCCCTCCTTCTCCGCCCCCTCCCCCTTCCCCTTCGCCTGCTCCCTCTGCAACCGCAAACTCTGCGTCAACGCCCAACTCTGACTCTGACTCTGCGCCTCCCACATATGCAACCGCCGACTCAACTGATCCATCAACGTCCGCAACGCCTCGTTCTCTAACTCTAGCTCCTCCCGCGTCTTCCCCCCGCCTGTCATCGGCGTGCCCGCCCGCAGCAGCACCCGCTCGTCCCGCGCTACCTTCCCCGTTCGCCCGCCTAGCCCGGACGACTCTCGGCTTAGCGGCCGTCGGCGCGTCGCCCGCGGCGACTCCTGCGCGGGGTTCTCGGACGCGTCGACGAACTCATCGGATCCTTCGGAGATGGTGCTCGGGATGGCGCGGTCGACGTCGCGGTGTTCGCGCTCGCGCTCGCGCTCCCGGGCGAGCATGCTGGCGTAGGTAAGGGTGCCGCCGGAGGGGGGGACGACGTAGAAGGATTCGGCGGGGTTGAGGGCGGGGTTGTCATCTTTGAGGGCGCGGAGGGCGGCGCGGGAAAAGAGGGTGGTGATGTCCGGGTGGGGGTCGGAGGTGGGTGGTTGCGTGCGGGTGCGGTTCAAGGGGGTGGGTTTGGATTTATCGGGAGCTTCCTGGGCGGTCTGCCCGGCGATAGTTGGGGTGAGGGGAAGGCCGGCAAAGGCGAGCGGCGCAGAGAGGCGGTTGAGTAGGTTCTCGAAGGTGTTGTAGAAGCGATTGAATGGCTCGTCAGGAACAGGTTGACCGGCTGACGCTGCATCTGACGCCTTCTCGTGCGACGAAGCGCTTCCATGTTCGTCCGTCGATGATTGCTGTCGCTGACGGCGATGCCTGAGATCTGGAGACACCCGTCGTTCCGGTGTCGGCACCATCTTCCCACCTGCATTATCACGGGTAACTTCGGGGGAAGCTGGTAAACCTCGACGTTGGGTCGGAGGTCTACCTCGTGCAGTAGCTAGATTTGTCGCGATGGAGGATGACAACTCTCTGTGTGGGTTTCTTCGAGACGTAGAAGTAGAAATAGGCTGTTGGCTCGACTGTACAAGTGCAGTTTCTTTGGAAGCGGACGCTGTGCTTGTCGGGGGTGTTTGCGCCTCCAAACCATGAGTACCGTGATGATCCGGCGTTCCAGACGTACTCGCAGCGTGAGGGCCTGGGGACTTGATTATGCGCGAGAGAGTACGATGCTGATTCTCGAGAAGGGACAGGATTCGCAAAGCCTAGAATTTGCGGTTAGTACATGCGACGCTGCCAAACATGACATGACGTGGACGAGGTACCTCGCGATCTGTAGTCGCCTTCGCGGCGTTCGCAAACTCTCCGGCCGCCAGTTCATGTTCTTCCGATGCTACAGCAATGTTCGCCTTCGTGGTCTCTAAGGATGCATTCCGCGCGTGAACATGGGCCTGTCCATGGTGAGTTTGGAACTTTCGACGGGTGGTTAAGCAGGCGACCAACCAGATTTAGAGAGGCGCTCTCCATGATAGCTCTTTGTCAGTTATGGCATGGATAGAACTCTCATATAGGCAAGTGTAGAATATGATACATTCAGCATCGATCTGTGGGGATGGATCATGAAGGTTGGTGGTTGAAACGGTGAATGAATGAAGTTTGCTAGTGGAATATTAGTTATTACAAATGCGAGAACTGAGAAGTGTCTCCAGCCGTCGTGATATTGTGTTACATATGTACCGTATTCTCGTATTACATACCTGGAGCATCCAATTGATGCCTGGAAATAATATGCCCTGGCCGGAGTACGGTATCGCAATACAGGCGCCCAAGGCGATGGGCAGTCACGAGGGGACCTGGGGTTGAGTACGGCTATTGCCTGTGTTCTGCTATAATCGATAAGTGTGAGATCATCGCTGATTGCTGCCCTGGATTTGGTAAAGAGCTACATAGAGTACCAATCCACCAAGATTCACTTCTTCTCTATTAATACCACCGCGACTATTACCACATGCAACTCCATCCGATAATATCACACCTGTCTTTATCGTGCACAGAGTGAATAGTTGCTTCGGTCTTGATCACATAGTGGTTTTCTCTGGTGCCTACTGTACCACACCATGCATCACCTGTATTGCAATCGTCTCTTCCTCCGATATATGAGCAACCTATGAAGTCTGAATTCCGGGTACTATCATGTCCAGCACCTTTCCGGATCTCTCTACCCCTCTGGGCCATGCCACCTCCCCAAGTGGTCTTCCGTTACAAAAAGAGCGTCGAAGACTACGGCATCACGGAGATGGGTCATCTTCTGCATCAATCGCGTCCAGCGACGGTGGGCGGTTGGCTGTGGAAGAGCAATCCAGTCACAGGCTACGAGCATCCTTTGACGAGGCCCTAGACAAGCTCAAAGACCGGCGACGACGAAGCATAACCGCGGCACGACTACGGATCAGACGAGAAGATTCGGTTGATCTTCAGTCGAACCAGTATACGGGGCGGTATACCGGGCTAGAGAAGGAGCATGAAGACAAAGAACCACTGCGTCGGTTGCTAGACGGACATCAGAACATGTCCTCGTCGGTGGGGCTGGAGAGGAGGAGTAGCATCGCCAGCGATATGGTGACTGAGGAGTCGGATCAAGACGAGTAAGTTTGATTTTGAATCGTGTCTATTCATCTTTCTACTTCCTGCTTCCTTCTCTCTTGTTCGTGATCCGTCGTCAAGCCTGCATCATTGCTTGTGGATGTTGGACCGGTGGGCGGTGGTGGTGATGGAGCGGGGGCCAGGGCATACGTCAACTATAAGCTAGGCCCCCCGCAGGCTCTCCACCAGCCACCAAGCTCACCACTAGACTCTCCCCTCCCTCCCGCTCTTCCCCGCTATTTTTCTTGCTTGGCTTGGGAGTTTGGACCTTTTCCTGCCACTGCTGTTCACCTCGCTGGGGACTCAAATCACAGCCACTTCCTGTGGATCCTCAATGATGCCTCGTACCTGCGGGCCCCCTTGGAGTAGAGACGGCGGCTCCGACAGGCCGACACCTTACCCAGCCTCTTTGGTTCCTTGGTGCTGGGCTCTGGACTCTGGCGCTCGGTGCACCAGCACAGTTGGCGACTGTCGACCAGGTGCCTGCGCCGTGCCACTGTTAGAGAATTCGGTGGACATTGGAAAGCTTCACAGCTTGGACCATCATCGACTAAACCTCAATTACGTCGCCCCCAATTCACCTCTTATTCATCTCCTCCACCGCCTTGTTTTCTATATCCTATGATATTATCTCGGCACCAGCACTTCATGAATTGATAATCATATCGCCTCTATTCCTTATATTTTCACCTGCTGCCGCGCTGCAAATCCCTGCCTTTTGTTCCGAGGAAGGGCTCATCCATGAAGCTTTGTCCCCGACCTATACCTTAGCACGTTTGCCTGTCATACACGAGTGGTGTCTCCATGTTTCCATCGGATATCTCATCATTAACTGTTTCTTGACCATAGATGTCCAAATCGGCCGTCCCTCTCCCCACATGAATCTCACTCAGCATTGCTGACCCTCTCGTCACCGCTCGTTACCGCTGACGCAATTACTATCCCTATTGATTCCGTAAAACACTCCGACCCCGCAACATCCAACAATCTGGCGACTACAACCACCGATTCTCTCGAAGCTCCCTCCCCAAAACGACAACGCAGTCCTTCCCCTGTGGACAAGTTAAAGGGCGCCTTTATACCAGGCAAGCGACCGTCAACCCCGAAACCAGGCAGCGACTCCGACTCCTCAAAGCGAGGAACTCCTAGTACTGGGGGAGGAGGTGGGTTCGGCGCAATCATCGGTAGTAGGAAGGGGACCTTCGGTCGAAAGGGATTCACTTCGGAGAGCGTTCCGTCCTTGGAGAGGCCGGGCTCTGCACCTTCAGGTTCCCGGGCTAAGGTCGCAACCACACCCTCGAAGCTCGATACCAGTATCCCCAATACACCGACTATCAGCATTGTCGCAGCTTCTCCGACCACTTTCGTCACTCCGCCGACACCGACCGATCCTGCTCGAAAATCCTCCGAGCCAGAAGAACCCTCCCCACCTTCGTCCCGATCATCCGATTCCAAAACCGACTCTCCGGTGTCCGCCACACGTCGCCGTGGGATATCAACATCCGCTGTTCCACCCAAGCTCCCCAATAATGCCGTCTCTGCCCCGTTGACGCCCCATCTGGAAGAGGTCAAAACTCCGGGAGGCAGTTTCATCACCCCAGCGGCAGCCGGCGGTTTCTTCTCCTCAGTCTTCTCCGCCGCACAGACCGCGGCCACTTCCATCACTAATACCATAACAAACACGAGCATTGTTCCCGGGTCGAAAAAATTACCCACTGCGCCCCCTGAGTCAAACACTGGACAGTCGGGTGGTGAGGAGGTTATACTTAGCGTTCCCGTAAACGAGCGCCGAACGGAGAGCATCGGAGAAAGGAAACAATTAGCCGTCGAGACACTCGGCTCGGGGAATTTAAGCCTCAGTCACCTCGGCATATCCGAATCCACTCCCGAGCTTGGATCTTCGAGCCCCCAGGTCGGAACTGCAAAGTCGTCAACGACACTGATGAATTCCCTAGTTCGTGAGGATGAGGCGAATGCCAAAGCTGAGGATAGCGCAGCAGCAAGGGCGATATCAGCGGCATATAATGACAAATCCAGCGGGGAGAATCTGGGCACCGATTCAATCAAACCCCCAGCCGAGCGATCCCGTGCTGGCACTAGTTTGTCCGAGGATACGACCCCTTCGATGAGGTCGCAAAACTTCGACGTCGATGGCGCCAGCCCAAACGGGCACCGCCGGACTGGAAGTATCCGGAGTCGCGTCAGCGGTCGACACCGAAGGCACCGGGCCAGCTCGGCCACCACCGGTGGGACGATTGCGGCAGCAATAGGGGCGAGCACAACGGGTCTCGTCAACCCATTAGGCCAAACAGGTCCGCGCCTCACTGGTTTCGCCGTTGCAAATCCGAAGCGAAACCGCGACTTTCATCAACTTTTCCGGAGCGTGCCCGAGGATGACTACTTGATTGAGGATTACAGCGCGGCTCTTCAGCGCGAAATCCTGCTGCAAGGACGGTTGTATATTTCGGAAGGGCATATCTGCTTTTCTTCCAATATTCTGGGTTGGGTCACTAACTTGGTCATCTCCTATGACGAGGTGGTCTCGATTGAGAAGAAGTCTACCGCCGTCATTTTCCCCAATGCCATTGTGATTCAAACCCTGCATGCGCGCAACGTTTTCGCAAGCTTGGTCAGCCGAGACACCACATACGACTTGATCATCAACATCTGGAAAATCAGCCACCCGAATCTGAAAAGCTCTCTCAATGGCGTCACGTTGGGTACCGGAACCGGAGACAAGACCGAAAAGGCGGATTCCATGCTTTCCGACGAAGAATCCATCTCCTGTAGTGACGACGGTTCCGGCGACGAGAACGAGGAATTCTACGATGAAGATGCGGATGATGGTTCCGACGGTTTCAGCGGTGAAGGGAACATGACCACAATTGAACGGTCATTTACTGCACCTTCCCTAGCTCCAAGCGACACTGGGACGACCATGACCGGGCTCGATACTCTTACCGTGAAGAGTGACACGACCGTAATTCGCAAGGGTTCTGGCGGGGTAGCCAGCGAATCCACCCAGGAACGGACTACAAAGATGGGTGCAGGCGGCGAAGCATTGTCCACCACATCCGGCGCTGGTGCAGGTGGTCCGGACAGTCCCGGGCCTCTAACACACGCACCGACAGATTGCGGCGATGCAGATCAGCACTACGACAAGCTACTCATCGACACGGTCATTGCAGCTCCGCTTGGGAAGATCTACAATCTGCTCTTCGGTCCAGGCGCAAGTACATTCATGCGACGTTGGCTATCCGAAGACCAAAAATGCACCGAGGTGACAATGGAGGATGACAAGAGAGGGTTGGGGGAGGAGCAGCGGTCGAATGGCTACAGCTATATCAAGCCGCTCAACGCAAGCATTGGTCCGAGGCAGACAAAGTGTGTGATTTCGCAGCACCTGGAGCAGTTCGAGCTCGACAGGGCAGTCTCGGTGCTCTGCTCGACACAAAATCCAGACGTACCGAGTGGGAACGTATTCGTGGTGAAAACGAGGTATTGTCTCATGTGGGGACCAGGTGGAGGGACGAGGATGGTGATGAACTTTACGGTGGAATGGAGCGGGAAGAGCTGGTTGAAAGGTATGTGGCGCTACAGCCCGTCGCACACGTTCGTGCACGTTTGCTCACTCGAACACAGGGCCCATCGAGAAAAACGCCCACGATGGCCAAGTCACGTACGCCAAAGAACTCGCCACCGCCCTCCGCCTCGCCGTCGCTGCCCCATCCAGAGTCCTCAAACCCTCCAAACCCGGCGCCAAACCCCGCCGGAGACGCAAGGACGCTCCCGCCGAGGAACGCATCACCCCGACGCCCACTCGCGAGGAGAAACGGCACAAGGGCTGGACCGTCGTCGAGGCGCTTCGTAGCACGGTCGTGCCACTCATCGACATCGTCAGCATGCTCGGCATGCCCGGGGTGCTGACGACCCTTGTCGTCCTCATCTTATGGCTCTGGCTCCGCGTCACCCGCCTCCAAGACAGCGTCGCCGTCGCCCCTCTCAACATGGTCGGCGGGGTGCGAGGGCCGCACAGCATCCCTGGCCCAGCGCGCCTCGCGGCGTACGAGCAACTATGGGAGCAAGAGGAGAACGAGTTGTGGAAGTGGCTAGAGGATCGAGTCGGGGCGGCGGAGATGGCAGACGTGGCGGCGAAGGAGCGGATGCCGGGAATGACGCGGCAGAAGAAGGAGCAGCAGGAGCGGGCGATGCGGGACCGGGTGGAGGGGGCGGTGGGAAAAGGGATGGATGAGCGACGGATGGACGAGGCGATTCGGGTGACGAAGGAACGGTTGGAGGCGTTGGAGGGGGCGGTGCGGAGGCGGAAGCACGAGGAGAAGGAGGGCATGAGCGAAGGTTCGACGAGCAAAAGATAGCTGGATGTTGGGAACTTTTTTTGGCGATGGCGTTGATATCGAATGAATTGCTGCATGACGGAGCGCGGGAATGGTCATCACGAGCGGCGTCTGGTTCGGCGAGCCCGCCATCGCCATTGTATCTACCTTGGTCTCTTAGACATGGTATGAAAGCAGGGGATGATCCCCATGATTTTCTTATATCATATAATTTACAGGTCAGTCGCCTCATTAAGCTGTGCTGCTTGGGGTGTGAGTAACTGGAGAACTGCCTCGTCACATGTGTGTTAGAGACGTTCTTAGCTGTCCTATATAGCGACCTCGGCCACGCCCTCTCTCCAACTTCAATCCAGATGCTCGTATTCCATTCTCTCGTCTCCATCAGCCCTTTGGAATTCCCCAACCGTCCACTAACATTAAGAGGCCATCTTCTAGCATCAGTAAAGGAGGATTGGAAATATGTTTCAGCCCTGCGTGAAGCACCCCTACCACCGCCAGGATTGTCTGGAACGTTGGGGATGGTGAGCCAAATTCACAAGGCGGTTGGGAGTCACGGTCCGAGTCAAGCACGGAATATGGTACAGAGTACATACAGAGTGTCCCGTTTCTTCTTTATAGTACTCATGTTCCTTATCTACGGTAATGGCGCAGCAGTATTCCGCGCATTTTTCTTCAGAGTCTGATCTTTGTTTGGTAAGAGCAAAATGTCTTGGTTGCATCCCGGAGTTACTATCTATCAGTCTGCTCGACTCAGAACACGGCAGACCCCAAGCAGTCCGATGAATTTCCAAGATGGCTAAAGTCGTAAATGTCAAGAACAGCGGATGAGCGTGCTGCAATTTTTGGTTCTTTTTGTCCAGTTGGTACTTCGTGACTGTTCCTTGGAACGGTTCCTGTTCCCGTCCGAGTTTGGACTGAGGTCCCCAATGGTATTGCGGAATTTCTCGACATTATAACGGTTAATGTGGTCCATTTGATTACTTTCACACATAAAAGGTCGTCATCTTCACCGTCGTCTTCGTCTTCAACCACCACTCTTATCACGCGCAGAACATTGATTCTGCTCTCTGAACCTAAGGTTGAACACTTCCTCACAAATAGATAACACACTAATCGGAGAACACTCCTTCAGTAAGGTTCCTTCGGCTTGTCCTCAGAAACTCAACCGACTAATATATTTGCAGTCTCCAAAATGGTCAAACTATGTCACCCCCTCTCTGCCCTCGTGGCTTTGGAGGCTATGGCTGCACCACTCCACCTCAAAGAGAGTCACAAGCGTCATAGTCATTCTGAAGGCGCACTGCTTGGTATCAGAGAGAATAGGGTTGAGGATACCATCCCCACAATACTAGGGCTCCTTGAAATGGACACTATCAATGCCACAGGTCCATGGTACCCCTTCCTCAACAAGATCTCATCCTGCCACCACCAAGATGGAAAGCTTTACTGTTTGCTCAATGGCCGTGGAAGTCTCTGCTCTGAGGACCGCAAACAAGAGACCACGGCGGTGAGCAGTCATAGCAAAATTCAAAGGCACCCACTCGACCAGTTGACCAAACTTCGCGACTGGGAGTGCGGCCATAACGAAATCAATCACTACAAGAAGAGATATTTAGAGTATGAGACTGCCAGGGCGAAACTCATGGCTGAGAAGGGGTACAACCTTCAAGCCAAAGGGGGCAAGGTCAAGGACCTGGAGAGGGAGCTTGGGCTTGATTGGCAGACCCAACGCATTCGGCAGCAAATGCTCGACCCTATAATCCGCGCGAAGAAAAAGGAACGGGTGCAGCTCAAGAAGGATCGGAAGCGGGAACGGAAGAAGTGGGCGAAATGGTGGAAGAAAGAGCAAAGGTCCCGGGCACACGGCAACGACAAGCGCGCAGAACCCGATATCCCGCGGGTCTCCCGTGATGACTCGATTCCTGATTCTCCGGAGTCTTGAATATATGCTCTCTTTCGCGATGACCCCACACTAGAACCAGTGACGCATCACCATCATGGCTGACGCAGGTGGGAAACTCCCAAAGACGTTTGGAGGAAGTTTTCGACCGGATCATACACCCCCTCCGATGGCGAGGATTCCGATACCCTCGACCGCCGTGGCCTCGCCGCCTGAACGCCACTCCCATCCATTCACTCTACATCGAAATGCGAAGACGACCGCGGCAAGTACTACTGGCCCTACTGCTCCATGTATTGGAACTGGATAGATGCGGATCAACTTCGAAAGCAACTGGTCTTGATTGCAGTTTGTTCCTAATCTTCTCCATAGGAACGATAGTTTAGTTGATTAATCAACACCACAGTTCAATACACACTTGTCTATATGCATTGCCCTGCCACATCCACCGACTTGATGCTCACAAGTGGTTTCAGCTTTCCTTCTCCACAAAGCACCGCTTTCACAAACGTCTTTGCCACAAATTCCGCACCCTTGGCATTGGTATGTGTGTGATCCACCGGGAACATTGCCTTCGTAGCAGAGGCGCCCGCGGCCTTGTACGATTGCGCTGCATACGCAAAATGATCGATATACTCGGCTCCCGGGACTTGCGCGGCGGCCTTCTTCGCCAATTCGACAAAACGGGGCGGACCGGCCGAGAACTTGTTGGTCTCCCAGGGGTTGTTCGGTGTTTGGGAGGATATAATCACCGTAGCTCCCAGCGATGTGAACTTCTTGCCTGCCGTAGAGATATACTATGCCCTCTCAGCATCATGGTCTTCAGCGTAATAAAGCGACTTACATATGGGAACGTCCGCACGGTTACTTTCTTCCCATTAAACGTGCTCTGGCAGACTTCGTTGCCTTCTCCAGGACAACCGGACCGGCCATTATCGTTCTTCAGGCTCCCTCCATCATTGTGACCGAATTCTATTACGACAATATCACCAGGCTTTACAACCTTGGCAATCTCGTCGAACCGTCCTTCAACTGTGTAACTGCGTGCGGAGCGACCGCCAATCGCTTTGTTGACGACGGGGACTGAGACGTAGTTCTTCAGATATTCGCCCCATCCTTTCGCTTGATTAGCCTCGGCAGGATCGGGAAGGTAATATGTTGCTATTAGTTGTACCTTGTTTCTTTGGGGGATTTGAATCTTTCGCCATCGTCGAGTCCCCCGCAAGGTAGATAGTGACTGCAGCCGCATGCTGCAACAGCCAAATCACGGCGACGACAAAGGTCAAGGAGCGCATCTTCGGTTCCTACGAATGATACGGATCGCTAAGATGCGGGGGAGAATATACTAACGGATGACTCTAGTAGATGGGCAACAGACATGACCTGGCCTATATAGGAATACTCCAGCTGAGAGGCCTCAGCAAATAGGCAGTTTATGTCCAGAGGTATGCGCTCATGACTATAGGCAAATGACTTGAGCAAATATGACACGGAGAAGAGACGGAGGGAACCATATATTTAGCCGGTATAGAACTTTAATATGTAACGAGATAATTCCATCCATAGCCAGGCTAGTAACTTGATGATTTGAACGATTAAGACGATAGATTTACTTCAGCGATAGTTAGTTATAAACGATGCGATAAAGTATACTACCGTATCACGAATACTCTGCTGCAGCCGATCCATTTGTTCTCCTCGTGTTCAACCATTTGGAACATTATTCATCGAAGATCATTCTAGAAAAGAGATCTGGTGTCCGGGCGATGTGTTCATTGAAGATCGATGCAGGTAAAGCATAGAAGAGGCTGGAGTGCGGGAGAACCCCTTGTCTCTCTCTCAATCCTATACAGATTTACCCCTGACTAGTCACATCTATATTGATTAACTTCTAATATTACACTCCTTCATGTTGCCGCTCCAATGTGATTTCAATCTCTGTCAAAGTTTCCTTTCAATTTAATTTCGGGGCTTGACTGGTGACCTGACGCAACCAGTTGCCTTCGGTCCAGATGAACTATCATCAAACGATAGGATATTGTGGAAGGTTGTCCGGGAAATACAGTGGTCAATATGCGAACAATCGCTTGGCCAAATTTCTATCGCCTGCTGACTGGCGAACGCATGGAGATTTGAGGGTTTAGGAGAACGCCCTCCAAACTCATTCTAATTTTATACTTTGACATCCATCCAGACGAAGAAGAGTTGGACGGCCCATAAGATGGATGGAATCTTTTCCGAGTTTGCATTATCTCTTCACGCCTGTCTTTCATTCCTGAATCATCTTACTCTGCAATACTTCGTCAACCCGATCATGGCCGTCCTTCACTCATTCCGAACCCTGATCACCGCCGTGTGCTTTGCATCACTGGCGGTCTCCCAGAACCAGAGTCAACCCGAATATCAAGTGCGCGGCATAACATTTGGCGGGAGCGGCTGTCCTCAAGGGTCAAACCTCTCGATCCCGGGACTCAAATCGACGTACTTCGACGACGCCTTCGAGGCGAAGTTTGGAGGGGATGAACGCGTTACCGATCAGCGAAAGAACTGCCAAATGAACATAGCCATCTCATACCCGCTGGGATGGCAGTTTAACCCGCCTTCCACAACTACTCTCGGCTACGGGGACCTTGTTGCAGGAGTGAATGGACTGGTGAGATCGACGTATTATTTCTCTGGATCATCGGACCAGGTAAGGAGTGGCCGCAGTAATCCATCCCCTCGCCAACGCATTCTGATTTCCCTCCTAGACTACGACCGACCTCGAATTGACAGGACCAGTTGCTGGGTACTTCAGCAAAACGGAATCCTCGCCCGTTGATTTGTGGTCGCCATGCGGAAGTGAAGGAATGCTCAATATCAATCTCCAGGCACGCATCACGGGCGGTAGGACGAACGAGACGAGTCGCATTCGAGTCGATACTTTGATATTCAATGGTCCAGGTAACAAGCCGGGTCTCAAATGGAGGCGATGTCAGGGAGGGAGGGTATCACTGTGATCCACTTGCGGAAGAAATGTTATCTGACGATCAATGTTCGCGATGGTGTTTTTGGCGTGAGGTAGATCCCTCTGCAAATGGACAGTATTATCCTGTTATCCCTGCTATCATTTGTATACCCGAAGAGTGTGAGCGTTCTCATCAATCTCATGGTCCGCTTCCGTGTATGCCGATTGACGGAACCTGGCTCTGGTTTCCGTCGTATTCACTGGCGTGTCGCCTGGCTTCCACGGAGCCGGACCAGGGATTTTGAAGACCTGCCAAATATCAGAAGAGTCCAACCTATAAGTTGGGTGTCAGCACATACCGATTGATCACCGCTGGCGATATCAATACTGAGCGAAGAACCTAAGTCGAGTGAGAACCATCTGTATTGATCTAATTTGAACTAGACACGAACCATTTTGTTCATAGAGCCCAGGGAGCGACACCCTCACATGATCTGGAGCAATCCCGGCTTCGCTGTAGTTTCGACTCATGTAGGCGAGCTGTCCGCAATACGGGTAGAACTGAGGACCCGCTCCATTCGAATTGCCGAGAATGACGACCTCATGTCGGATGAGGTAACCCCCGTCTGGCATTCCGGCGGGGATGGTGCTTATGAATGAATTGTTCCTCTCCGCGAGGGCTCCTGGAGCCCATCCCCCTTTTGCAACTGTCCCAGTAAGCAACCCCGACTCGGCGACCTTGAACCACTTCGCTCTTGTCGGTCGGAACGTTGCGCAAGCCGTGCGACCGCCACATTCTGTCATCCACACTGTGATGAAGCCAGACTTGTCCGCCCATGGAGGAGCATTGAAATGTGCGGTAATTTCTTCACCACCCTCGACAATAGTGGATTCGTACTGGGAACCACCAGGGTTGTTGCAGGGTAAGTATCGACTATTGGGGTCTGTAATTGGCTCGTCGGCCCATGATCGCTGCATGGAGGTTTCCAGGTCGTTGTTCATTTCTTTGAACCAGCTACGGGAACTGTTTAGCGGCCGGCCTCTGTTAGAGGTCAAGATGCGTACCCATGGTGCCATACACCGGTTATCGTATATCCGTCTAGTACCGTTTAGCGGAAAAGCATGGGCAGGCTTAAGAAGACTTGCCAATTTGACCTTGAGCCACGGCTGCCGTAGCGAACGCAAACAACAGACTTATACTCCTCATGACAGCGTTTACGTAGTGTAGCAATTTGTGTGAGATGTAGAACGGTATATACTTGGAATGAGAGGAATACTGGAGATTCAGAAAGGAGAAGATAGACAGGTTGAGCCTCGACTAAATACGTCGACGCATGCCGAAAGATAGAGGAGTACTTTCCATTCCGAAGTATATCATCCAGTATATCATCCACAGGGTAATATCGGACAGTAGGGCAGCAGGTCAGGATAGTAGCGAATACCAAGCTTCAGTCAAGAGATCTGCAGAAGTTCTTGAAGCTTCATTGTTGAAAGTCGGACGGGATTCCAACAGAACTGGCCAAAGCAAGCTGCAATGATATAAACACGATAGAGATGGACAAATAGACCGGGGAGAAGCTGGATCAGGAAATGCAATGGCCAATAGAGATGACATCTTCGTTTAACCTCTCGGAACTTGTAGTTGATCAGTACCCTAAATGAAACACCGTAGAGTGATATCGTCAACCCTACACAGCAAGATCGAGGTTCATCAGTGTATAAATGCATGTTGGCGAGCCTTGAAATTAAGCTTATATTTGCACTCTCTAGCCCACCAATCGCACCCATAGGGTGGACGTCCAGTTGTCGGTGGAATCTGCCATCCAGAACATTTATGGCAAGGAATGAAGCACTCCTTATGACTTGATGATCAGCTGGCGGCCTTCGTGAGCCTTAGGAGAGAAACATAAGATCAACGACTAGAATTGATGAAAACGATTGGATATTGAAGCATTGAACTTAGAAGAAACAGATTGTCCACAACAACGAATATGTCGGCACGATAGGGAGCAGGAACATATACGTATCTATTCCCAAATGTACCTCACCTCCCAAAATGCGTACAAGTGAGGATTGCAACACATAGAGACATTGGAGATCCTTCTTTCTAATGTTTAGAATGAACAATATCTGGAAAATAATGTAAATTGTTCTTGGCGTTGTGTGAATGTTGATTTCAACAAACAAATAATAAATGCCTAACTGCCTGAGGCATAAATATGCCATGTGACTGATCGGAGGTCATGTGATTGATTGGATGAGATTTACCGAGCATCCGATTGGCTGCGGTGACGTCGATTTCAAAGAGCCGCATCCGCAGTGACTGTTAATATGTGATTGTTAATACACCGTACATGTCGCCTATTCATCTTTGATCACGGCATCTTGTAATGTCATTGATGAACGATCACTTATACCAATTTCATTCCTAACACCTCATCGACCGAACATCGAAAATCATGTCGATTCCACGCTCCGCCGCTCCCATGCTCACCCGACTATCACGAGCCGCCTCCTCCATCTCATCACGATCCATCCCGACCTCAATAATGTTCCGCTGCCCACGCTGTTCTCCCTTACGAACATTCACCTCCACCCCCTCCCTCCACACCTCTCACTCCTCCCGCCGCCAGCTCCAAACCGCCACCGCCTACCACCCCCATTCACTCAGCTCCGACCTCCCCCCGCCCCCAAGGAACACCGGCGTCCCAGACACCAGCATCGCAGGCGGTGTGCCCGAAACCTCCGGGTCGCGGCCGCCGCGACTGATGCAGAAGCATGGGAACGAAGGAGAACGCCCCAGCATCAGCGTCACTGAGGGGGAGGCGCAGAAGAGCAAGCCCGTCGTCCGGGAGACGGTCCAGACGGGCGCAGTGGAACCCAGCGCCGCGGCGACATCACCAGAGGGCCCGAAGTCACAGGAGAAACCGAAGTCCGGAAGACGAAAACTGAGGGCGCGAAAGGCGGCGATTACGTTGTCGCCGGACGCCGTGCAGGCGCTGCGGGGACTGTTGGACCAGCCGGAACCGAAGCTGATACGGGTTGGTGTGAAGAACCGAGGATGTTCGGGACTGGCGTATCAATTGGAGTACGTCGATAAGCCGGGAGCATTCGATGAGACGGTCGAGCAAGATGGGGTTAAGGTGTTGGTGGATTCAAAAGCGCTGTTTAGCATTATTGGGAGCGAGATGGATTGGGTGGAGGATAAATTGAGCGCGCGGTTCGTGTTTAAGAACCCGAATATCAGTGAGTATCTGCCGCCTCCGTGTTCGTGGTCCGTATGCTAACTATTTGAAGCGGAGCAATGCGGTTGCGGAGAATCTTTTAGCATTGGCTAGATATACCCTTAAATTAGACAGCAACGAATATCTCCTGCGAAATTATCAGCTTGCATGACGGAGTATTGGCACAATCGTGTGGTCGAATTCCGGATAGGATCCCGTATTAATTTTCTGCCGTCCATCGACCATATCCATGATTTATATAATCCCACCACTATTTGTTCCCGTTTGCGGTTCGGAAATGACTAGACCGGAATGGGCATCCCCCGATCTCGATTGCTTAGCTGTCTATATACGTCAGATACGAGGAAACCATGTCGACTCCTAATCTGTCCAGAGGAGCCGAGCTTGATTTAGGGGCAGTTGTACTGGGTGTTTGTGAAGGGGTGCTTTAATTCAACACAAGTAGCGAAGGAGATACCTTGTGATGAACTATTTCATAGACATTCCAAGTGCATAAGACTCGTTCACCTATAGCCCTAGGACTACGAGAAACACACAAAGTTCATCCTACACGCACATGAATGCTTGGGACCGGGTAGTTTGAAAGCGTTGGCGACTTTGCTTCTCCTACAAGTACATACAATAGAAAAGCCGGTCTAGTAAGCCGCGAGCTGCGGAATCTACAGATCGCTTAAAGAGTATCTTTCAAGAGCTTGTTCATGCGTGCCATCTTGGCCGACACGCTCACATCAATCGTCCTGTCTCCGATTTCTACCACGAGACCTCCACGAATGTCAGGGTTCACCTAGCCGCATTAGCCTTGATCCGACGAAAACAGGACGCATGACGACAAACCTTAGAGACCACCTTTAGTCTCTGGCCTTGCTGAATGTACTGCGACTTGGCAACCGCAGCCTCAAGTTGCTTGAGAACTTTCTGGTCAAGGGGCTGTCGGGCGTTAGCAAATCCGACCGGCTAATCATCGATCCGTCACAATCCATACCGCCGCGCTCGTGACAACCAGCTCGACCTCTCCCCGGTAGGCGCTCATCAGTTGCCCGAACTTCTCGCACACAGGCTCCAACACCCCCAAGCGGTTGTTCTCGGCCAGGGTGATCAAGAAGTTCTTCACGATGTTGTCCTTATCCGCCGACGCGGACTGCTTCTGCAGCTCGGCGGCGAGCGCCTGCTTATCGCTCGGGGTCAGGGTCGGCGATGCGAGGATGTTCTGCAGCTTGGCGTCCTTCTTCAGGACGGCGGCCAGCGTCTCCAGCGCCTTCGAGACCGGTTCGAGGGAGGAGGATTTGGCGGCCGCGGTGTACTGCGAATGTTGTCAATGGAGAAGTCCACGATCCAATTGTCGGAGTCTATGGACGTACGAGAGCGCTGGCATAGGTTCCATCGATGCCGAACAGGGCGACGGGAGGTTTCGTCGATGGGCCGGACGCGGGCGTGGCGTAGTATCGGACGGAGGCCATTGGGGCACGAGGCACGCCCGAGCGGACGGCCTGGGTGAAAAGTCGGCGGGACAGCATCGTGAGAAACGCTGTGAGGGGATGGAAGGGGATGGGAGATGGAGTGGTTGATGGAAAGAATCAATAGATGGATATTTGACGGAAGCTCTTTCGACGTTGTCGGTTGCCAAGCCTTTAGGAACGCGGCTTTTGCCGGGGAACTTCCATTGTTCCATACAGCCAACCATACTCCGCACATCCATAGCAACCATACAACTATACAATCAGATACACTCTTATTCATGTTGATTTGATCTCTCTCTGCTAGTACATGGTCCTGTTTACCCTCCAAATCGAAAGCGATACAAGCCATTGCCTGTTATTGCCTGTTATTGCCTTGGGATTTCAATTCTAGCACCCTCAGACTCCGAGAACCCCTCGCTTTAGCCGGACGCAAGGAGGTTCCATGCTTCACTCCGACATTGTTGTTTGAGCGTAACTGCTACCGGAAGTTGTTGTATGCACGATGAATGCCGGCTTAGCACGTGTTGGTTCTCGTTACGGGCGGAGAAAGGTAGTCTCGCTCGCCAACGGGGCTCCACGGAGCTTCCCAAGAAGCTTTGCGAGCATTGCGACTCCAAGCAGCGACGATCATGTCGAGATCATCGAGGTCGGGGCTCGCGATGGGCTACAGAACGAGAAACAGGCGATTCCCTTGGAGACGAAAATTAAGCTCATAGAACGGTTGGCGCAAACAGGACTGAAGACCATCGAGGTAGGGTCGTTTGTCTCGCCGAAGTGGACACCGCAAGTATGAGATCAAGACTTGATGTCAACGCTCGACAGCTCTAACTGCAGACCGCCAGATGGCTAACTCATCCGAAATCCTACAACACGTCTTAGAGACTCCTCCACAATCTCCCCATCCCATCTCGTACCAGTTCCTTGTACCCAACCAAAGAGGCTTCGATAATTTCTTGTCCACATATTCTCGGCTGGGCTACGTCTCCAAATCCTCTAATTCAGAGGAAACTGCCGGGTACGTGGCCAATGACAAACGCTTGCCTTCTGCAATCGGAACCGTAGACGTCTCCCTCTTCACGGCCGCCACCGAATCGTTCACCCAGAAGAACACAAACTGCAGCATATCCGAATCACTAGACCGCTTCCGCCCGATCGTCACGGCGGCGAAAGCGCTCGGACTTCCCGTCCGGGCATACATCTCCGTCGCCCTCGGCTGCCCGTACGAAGGACCCGTCGCACCACAAAACGTTTCCGAGCTCGCGATCAATTTGCTGGAAATGGGGGCGGACGAGATCTCCGTGGCCGACACCACGGGAATGGGAACACCCACGACGACGCGGACGCTCTTGAAAACGCTCAAAGCCGCGGGGATCGAAATGCCGGATATCGCATTGCATTTCCATGACACGTATGGACAAGCGTTGCCGAACGCGCTGGTGTCGTTGGAGTATGGCGTGCGGAAGTTCGATGCGGCGGTGGCGGGGTTGGGGGGATGTCCGTACAGCCCGGGCGCCACCGGAAACGTCAGTAGCGAGGATTTGGTGTACATGATGGAGAGCCTGGGGGCGCGGACGGGGGTGGATTTGGGGGCGTTGAGTGAGGTCGGCGACTGGATTAGCCACGAAGTAGGCCGACGGAATGAAAGCAGGGCGGGGAAGGCGCTGCTCGCGAAGAGGAAGAAGAAACTGGAAGAAGCGGCCAAGTCGAAGTTATGATATCCATCAGGGCCTCCATGTGTAACAAAGCACTGGCATTGCTGTTGTTCGTCCGTTTATCGGACGTATTTGCTCTGCACCCTGGTTAGCATCCGTGTCGTTGTAGGATCAAAATGACATCTTACCATGAACCGCTTATGGAAATCCGATCGTAAGAGATCGTTGACAAACTCCGTCTTCTTATTCCGATCTTCCGTTCCTCGCGCCTGGTTCTTGAACACCACATCGTCATCCCACCGCCGCTTCACCGTGAAGTCGTTCGGGTTCAATAGCGGATTCCCCCTCGCGATCTCATGCACCCTCTGCTCCTCCTCTTTCTCCGCCTTTTCCGCCTCCTCTCGCGCCGCCTTCTCCGCCCTCTCCTTCCGAATCTGCGCCATCTCCCTCAACAGTAGCGCCTCCTCATCCTCATCCTCATCGCTCTCCTCGTCACTGTCCTCCTCGCTATCCTCTTCATCCCTATCCAACCCCGCCGCCTCCTCTAATATCGTCCTCCGCCGCTTCGCCTCCGCATCCTCGTCCGCGTCCTCTACATCCGCCTCCCCCACGCCCTCGATCGCCCCGTGCGCGCGTTTCGTGCCGCGTTCGTCGGCGCCCTCGATCGCATCGCGGTCCGCGCTCGGGACGGGGTGGCCGGACTTCTTCGCTTCGTGGGCGGCTTCGGCTTCGAGGAGCTCCTGGAGGAGGTCGCGGCGGTTGGTTTCGGTTTCGGTGCCTTGGCCGGGTTGGCTGCGAGGGGGGTTAGGGCGATGGTCAGCTTGAGAGATTTCGGTGACATACCGGTGTTTGAGGACGGTGTGCGCAGGTAGGAGACGTTGGTGGAATGCGGGACCGCGCTGGGCGTCTTTTCCGCGTGCCTATGGTTCAGGTGTTAGATGTGTTGGGTGGCTGGCGGTTGGAGGGAGTGTCCACTCACCGGATCAAAGGTGGGTCGATGTGCTGTGGTCATTTTGTCGATATAAACCCTCAAGGACGATGAGATCAGGAAGTTGAAGTCGAAAGGGGGAACGAGGAGCGTGAAAGTGAAATGGTTGAAGATGTAATGAGGAAAGGTGCAATGAGTAAATGAAAGACGAGCGTCGGGTTGGGTGAAGGAGGACGAGGTCTTGGCATATAAATTTCCAGCGACGACCAACTCCGATCTGCTTCACATAGCTGATGCGCTCTCAATTGTGATTATTGTCGATGCAAGAACAATTTTAATATCCTACAATAATTTCCATTCCTCCACCATGCCTTTAGAACCGAAAATCTCCGTCAATGAGCGCGAATTCCTCCTCGATGCCCTCCGTCAAAACCTCCGCCTTTCTGGTCGCAAACTCGACGCCCTCCGCCCACTCTCCATAACCTTTGACCCCGACGACTATGGCGTGACCGAAGTGCAACTCGGAAAGACTCGGTGACTCCACCAAGCCATGTCCCATCTATAGGGAAAATAAACTAACGTCCTCCAGAATCCGCGCTCACACCCAAACCACCATCACCAACCCCCCTCCCTCCCGCCCCTTCGAAGGCACCCTCACCATCACCGCCGAGCTCTCCCCGCTCACCGCCCCCCACTTCGAGCTCGCCCGCCCTTCCGACACCGAAGCCCTGCTCTCCCGCCTCCTGGAGAAATCCATCCGCCGCTCCGGCGCCCTGCCCGTCGAGTCCCTCTGCCTCCTCGCCGGCGACAAATGCTTCAACCTGCGCGTGACGGTGCACGTGCTGGCCCACGACGGCGGGCTGCCGACGGCGGCATTCGTGGCGGTGCTGGCGAGCCTGATGACGAGCCGGGTGCCGGCGACGGAGGTGCGCGGGGGGGAGGTGCAGGTATTCACCGCGGAGGAGCGGGAGGGGGTGCGGTTGCAGCTGGTGCATGTGCCGATCGCGGTGGGGGTGTCGGTGTTCGATGGGGGTGCGATCGGGGTGGTGGATGCAGATGGGATGGAGGAGCAGGCGCGGGAGGGGGAGGTGGTGGTGGTAGGGAATGAGGTGGGGGAGATTTGCGGGGTGACGAAGTGGGGAGGGGTGGATGTTGGGGCGGTCGAGTTGGTGGGGATGGTGGAGGAGGCGAGAAAACAGTGTGAGGGCGTGGTGAAGTGGTTGAAGGGGAAGGTGGAGGAGGAAGAGAAGAGGAGGGCGAAGAGGGACCACGCGGGGGAGCGCAGCGCGGAGAATCAGAGGTGAACGGGTATTTGACGCACCGGAGGAGACGACACGGACTGATGGCTGTATTGATTCGACCACCATGAACACACCGCACGCGCAAGGACATACCTTCAAGGAAACGCTTGTCGTCTCAACACACTACCAGACTCGCATCGCTGAGAAATGGAGCAGGACGACACTCGGGAATGTTGGTGGCATTAAGATGGGAAACATACCACCAAGGAGAAGAGCAGAGATGCGAGTGGTTGTATCTATTATACACAGGACTCCTGGTACCGGCTGAGTATGTTGGACTTCGGCATTTACAATCCGAACGGATTTGGCGGGTCCGCCTCAGTCCTGCAGCTTAGGCAATCCGACCTGAGGTCGATTCCCGCCGAAGCGATTCCACTCAGGAGTCCATCCTGTTACATCAGTGGAGTATCATTATGCGACATGCGTAACCGTGTTCGACGGAATCCCATTGTCCCATTGTCCCATCGTGTCCATAGTCGTGGTGGTGACCCATATCGATGAATGTGATGCGTTGTCCGCGAACCGTAATTGAGAGGAGTAACATTCCGTCCCACTCCAAATCGTCTCTCGCGTCCTGGAATCATGTCCCGCTCAAAATCAACCTTTGAATGCCAGCTATCGCTCAATGACCCGACCCGACGTTTTTCCCCATCGAGTTTCTCTCTTCGTCGGTCGGCTCTGCATGCTTCGCGCTACTTCCCTTTCCCCTCCACGTGCTCACCGCCGGGATATCGGCCTTCAATCGCTCCTCGTGGGTGCTGTACGCCTTCGGCGTCAACTTGATTAGCGTGTGTAGTGGGACCTCCATCCACGGACTCTTTTCTTGCGCGACGTTCATGAAGTACGCGTATATGCACCGCAGGATCGCCTGGTGCGTGACGATCAGGATGTTCTCGCTCCGTTCCAGTTCCATGATGATGGGTTCCAGCCGGATCACGACGTCGCGGTAGGATTCCCCGCCGAGGTATCGGTAGTTGTATTTGTCCTCGTCGCGGGCCTTGAAGTCTTCCGGGTATTGCTCTTCGATGTCGGCGTACGTGAGTCCGTCACATACGCCCGAGTCAAGCTCGTCGAGCGCTTTCCATTCGAGTTTCTCGAATGTGAGGAATCGTGCGGTTTGGATGGTGCGTTTAAGGGTGGAGGTCCAGACGGTTAGTTTGCGGCCGTCCCCGCAACGGCGAACGAGGTCGGGGAGGGAGCGAGCATACGCTTCACCGCGCTCGGAGATGTCGGCATCACCCCCAATCTTGCCCTCTAGGTTGAACGTCGATTCGCCATGCTGTAGCTCAAATTAGATTGGAAAGATATATAAAACAGACAGAGGGAAGCTTACCCTCGACAGCCAAATGGACCGCGGCTTGATATGCAGGTTCATCAGATAATACACCACCCGGCTCTGTAGATAGTCCTTGATCTGATTGATAATCACTCGTTGCCCGACGTCGATCAACTTGACATAGGTCAAATCTAACTCATCCTCATCGATCGTCTCATACACCTTCTCGTAGTTCTGGATCCTCGCTAGGAAATCCTGCGCCGCAACCTCGGGATCTTGCCCCTTGTAATCTGGGCTCGTCGCCTTGACCTCCCGGATGTTGCTCATGATCAAATCCGGGTCGTCGCACTTGCTCTCCACGAACATGGTCTGGATGCCCTCGGCTGCGCACCGGTTCTGGATCCACCGTCGCCGTTCTTTGGTGCTGTTCGTGGCGTCGAGGATGGCGATCAGGCCGGCGCCTCGCTGGAACCATTTGATCATGTCGTTGACGGCGGCCTCGGCGGCGGCGCGGCGGAGTCGTTCGCCTTCAGGATTGGAGGTGGCGAAGAAGGATGCGCTGGGGGCGGGGGTTTCAGATCGACGGTACTGACCGACATTGAAAATTTTGGAGGGGATGGATAGCCAGTGGAGATATCGGGTAACTATAGGATCCCACGGTTAGCAGCATGACTTGGGAGCCATCTTGAGTGACTGGTATTGCGTATCTTACCTTTCTGTGCGATTAGACTCTTCCCTCGTGCTGGCAAACCCACCATAACAACGCAGATCCGCGTATCTTCGGCCTGCACACCAACACCGTTAGTCTTCCGATTAGGCCTTATTAAGTCTCCTGTGGGTGTCCTGGTCATGTTCGATTTGTAGAATTCGCCATCCGGTCCAGAAGGATTCGAGGGGCCTGACCCGACCGCATCCCCATTACCAGGTCCATCCGGGATTCCAGTGGAATGAGTGACTTTGACAGTCGTGGTTTTGACATCCTCTGGTTGCGCCATGGTGGCTCTGTACTGAGACTGGCGCCCAAGCTCTCCCGGAATCGTATTAAATTGTGTTATAAGGAGCAATTGCAACTTGCAAAAGCTCGGCGGAGGGGGATTTGAAGTGTCGTCGCATGTAAAAGCGGTGTGCTCATGTAGGAAACGTGCCAGGCCCGCAGGATGAAGCTATTCATGCAAGCACACGACGACTCGTTTTCGTTGGAGGGAGAGTAGCTTGTTTCGATTATATACGTGCTCTGAGTAGGTAGCGAGACTATCGTTCGCCGTCGTGGGGAATTCGGAGGGTATTTGTTTATTTCTCAGGGTCGACTCCGCGGGGGTCGTCTGTGACGATATTTTGGTGTATGATGCCCCTCGCCTACAGGCTCTTCAGTGCTCAGAACGTTTGGACCATCAATTTCGATGAATCCAGGTGTCCAAAAGTGTATTATAGCCGCAGAAGCAATCGATTCCAACCCTTTTGTCGACGAAAGGAATTGGTTCGTTCGTGATACGCAACCTGAACGATGGGAAGATCGACACTGGATGGTCGAATCCGTCGAGCCGGTCGAATACCGTGAGGAATGAGTGTATGAATCGAGACCGTTGACCAGGCAAACCCTAGCCGAGAGGGAAGAAAAAAAGCGAGTCGGGAAGTAATAGAATTAATAGAAGAAAATTCCCGGAGCAGTTGTAAAGGCTTCAAGGTCGGAGCAATGGCGGGGATGTCGTCCAGAGGGAGGGAAATAATGCGGAGCAGACCTTCCCGTCAACCATCGACCATGCGGCATGAGCCCTTGGTAAGTATGATGTTCAAGGATCAAAGGCGCTTTACTAGGAAGGGCCTCGATGGTTTTGCTAAAGAGTAACTGACGACCTTGAGGTAAATCGGAATTATGTCGATCCACGGTCCAAGTCTGGGGTCGATTAAATAGAATTAAGCTCGGCACACGCCGGTCGTACATTAGGATTGCCGTCTTGCAGGTTGTAGGTTGTTGGTTGCTGGTTGCCCCTCTGTCGATCGAGATTCGACTGTCAAATTATCACATTCGTCATGGGCACCGATCTATAGGAAAGTCGCATCCGTCCGTGACCTCGATTCCAGTCCACTGGAGGATTTCGAACGGAAACGGACCCTTCGCATGTATGGCCCAATGTCTCGTTGCTTAACAGAATCGTTTCACCAGGTCTGGTCTCGATCCAGTCGTCCCAGGAAGGATCAGCTCACGTCGCGTCTCATTATTCGTCGAGATGCAACGTGAGGCGGGCATTCCCGCCGGCTCCAAGGCAAGAGGCGAAACGACTGGGAGATCGGGAGTCCAGAGCACATCAAGCCGATGCAGCCCGAGCGAGCGTCTGACTCACGTTCTGACGTTCTAGAGGGCGGTTCTAGGGCTCCACTGGGGGGTCGAGGAGCCTCTTCATTGCCATAGCGCCAAATATCACAATAATTTATCAGGCCAGCATGCCCTGATGTGGATAGGAACTCGGAGCATGGGTCGTTTTGATTCCTGATTCCTGAGACGGTAGTCATGGGCCGATTCGGAACAACATTCGAGCTTCTAGGATTCCAAGGAACGTCTAGGCGGCCTGGATTCCGTTCGCGGTTGAGGTATATATCGCAGGCCGTCCCGAAACGCGGATCCATCCCGCGTCCAATCCAGATCTCCGATCAACGCCCTGGAAAGAAATCACTCACCGAAATAGTCCCAATCGAATACGACTTGGCATCGCTCCCGCTGCTGTACCCCCGATGCAACCGTTGCTCGAGCATCTGTCGACGGACGCCGATGGGGTTGGGGGAGGCCATCTGGTAGCCGTGTGCTAGAACCAATATGGTCCCTCGGGGTGGCTAGCTGGCTAGCTAGCTTGACCCGATGCGATTCTATTGTTGAGATGATGGAGAGGCGTGTGAGCAGGCGACACGGCGCGTTGATGCTAAAGGGTCGGAATCGGAAAGGAATATAGTCAGAGGTGTTCGACGGGAAATCACTTGAAGAATGAAGTAGGAGGTCCAAACCGGTGATTTGAATCAACAGACAGGTGCTGTGGCAAACTGGTACTTCAGGACAACCACAGCAGCATCCCTGACAAAGAACCTGTTATCGCGAGCTTATCGGAGTCATAACAGAAGCGGAAGTAGGGTAAGCAGGAACGTGGGTTGGATTGCGCTTTGCTGTTCGGTCACTCGTGGATGCCTTGTTAACGTTCGGATGTATTTACGGTTCAAGAACAATTGAAATCGGAATGCTCTCAGTTAACATGGTTGTAATGGAAATGGTTATAGTGCAAGCGGTCGAGTGATATTGCGTACAGGATATAGACTACAGTACAGTTCCCTATTCTCCGCTGTGACAACCAACCTGAGATGTTCGCACTACTCCTACATTCAACATACCCACCGATACAGGTGAACAGGCAGGAGGGCAACATCAACTATCCAGAAATCACCTCCACCAACCCCCCATTCTCCCCCCTCCCCTCCCTCCCCCTCTCCCTCTCCACCGCCCTCCGCTGCACCCAGACATTCACCTCCTCATTCCGCCTCAACAAATCCCTTAACCGCTCCTTCCTCCCCTTCGCACTCCGCTCCCACCCCCGCGTCTCCACCCCCTCATCCACCCACTCGACGCTGAGGACCCGGAAACTGATCCCATCGTGGTTGTCTCCCCACCGCCGCGACCCAATCCCGTTCCGCGTGTGCGGCGGATACACCGTCAGCGCCGGCAGCAGCTGCAACGTGATGTGCGCGTCGCGCTCCGGCGGAGGTACCGCGGGGATCAGGGGCGGGGACGTGATGATGTCCCGGCTCCCTGTATCACCGCTGTCCCTCCGCGGTTCCGCCGGCGGGGAAGGGGGGGCGCCGGGGATCTTGGGCGGGGTCGTTCGCGGACCCGTTGGCGCCGCCGCACTGCTCCCTGGGGCTGCCGCCGCTGCCGTGTCGGCGCTCTGCACGCTCATCCCCGGCGGCAGGTCGTAGATGATCGCCAGGTCCTCGTCGTCCACGTCCACAAACTCGCCACGGATGAACCCCGAATGCATCGCCGCCGCCAGCACGTCGCTGTCGTCCGTGTACACCTCCGTGCCCCACAGATTACCGTCCCGACACACGACCTCGCGGTGTTGCGCAGACAGGTAATACCGCGGCACACGGATCGTGTAGGTGCAGTTGTATGCCTTGGCGCCGAGGGACCGGAAATCCTTCATGGGCTCCGGCACGGACGCGTAGGTCGGTCCGCGGTCCCAGGAGCTTTGGTGGGCGCGCGGCGGGCGCGCTTTGCAGACGTAGAGCCCGTCGCCGAGGTGGTTGCGGGGGTATTCCGCGACGGTGGAGAGGATAGGCTGGAGGAGCTCTTTGAAGTTGGGGCGCGGTGGAGGGGCGAGAGTGGGCGTCACAGCGGCGGCGGGGGATTTGCCATTGTGGTGATGATGACGGGTTGGTGCGATGTGGTGGTGGTGGTGTGGGACGGGCGTGGTAGTGGGCTGTGGAGCGGTCGGGGCAGCGGCGGAGTTGAATTTGTGCATAAATTGGTTGAGGTTGGCAGGAGACCCCGTCGGTGCCGGGACGGATACGGCATCTTCTCCCGCATGGTGATGATGGTGGTGATGAGGAGCAGCGTGATGGTGGTGATGATGCGCCGAGTGGTTCAACTTGGTTCGCTTTGCCCGCCCCGAAGGATCCGAGGGCGTGCCTCTTCCATCTCCTTTCTCACCTCCCCGTCGCGCACCGTCCTCTTTGGGTCTCTTCGGTTTCAGTCCTCGAGAACCGGACCTCATCATATCTGCGCCGTTTCCTTCGCCCGGCATGGGACTCTGGCGGGTCGGTGTCGATATTCCTGGGGCGCCGCCGAGTCCGCCAAGGCCGGAAAACATACGACCGAATTCGCTTTTGACGTTAGGATCGCCTCCCGGCCCATTGAATCGTGCTTGCGCTCCTTGCACAGCCTGCGGGAGGGGTGATGCGCGTCCGGTGCGTCGAGTGGCTTCCGGACTGACCCCAAGTAAGGAGCGGGAACGGAGCATTTCCTCTCCAAGCGGTTGCGGATGGTCATATGGATGAGGGCGGTAGGGGTCATGACCTGCAGCCGGCTCCTCTGCTTTTCGATCGAGCATAGATCCTCCCGACACGTGGCGGTCGTCCATCGGCCGGTATCCATCTCGCTGATCTTGTGCAACATGTAGTTGCTCAACCGATCTTGCCACGACTTGATCGTATCCGGCATGTCGTCCCACCTCATCCGCCCTTGGCGGCATTCCAGGGCCTGAAACATTCGGTGTTGGTACCGATCGTGGAGGCTGCCTGTATTCCTCCGGAGAGCGGCGACTGTCGCGGAATGGGTCTTGCGGTGGCTCCTGGCGGAGGACCGGGCGTCCATATGCATCGCGGGGCGAGGCGCCTCCCGCAGGCGGTCGCGCATCTCGGGGAGGACTATATGCCGACTGTGAGACCGGATGGACCGTGACTGGCCGATCTCGATCATTCCCCGGGCCTCCATAGTGGTCCTCTCGGGGAGCACCGTAGCGTTGATCTTGCGTGGGTCGGCCAGGGCTCGCGTGTGGGTCGTAATGAGCTTCGCGCCATCTTGGAGGATACGCTTCGTTTTTGTATGGATCTCGATGGGGCTGTCCGTATCCAGTTGGCTGACTGTTGGGTCGTGGAGGCGAAGGGCCGTCACCGAACCGTGGTGGCAATCGCTCGTTCGGGTCGAGTGCGTGGGGAGGATGAAACGGTCGGTTATCAGGAGGTGCGCCGTGTGGTTGTGAATATGGGTGGCCGAGCCGCGCGATCTCGGGTGATGCAGCAGTCGGTCGGTTGAACGGTTGTGAAGGCGATCCGCTGAAGGGCGCTTCAGAACCCTGCATGGTATTAATACCCATCCTCTGCTATTAGAAGAAATAACTATGCGACTCACATGTCTATAAGCCGTATATGGATTTCTCGGGGATGAAGGCGCTTGAGCGGTATTCGGCGCCGATGGGGGAGATCGATGTTCGGTTCGTGGCCGTCCGGAGTCAGTCCCAAGAAGCGACGATATCGACATGCCACTACCAGCTCGGTTGCTCGATGGTGGATTGCTCATGTTGCGATGATGACCAACAAAGGAAGGGGGGGGGGGCGGCGGGCGCGATGTCGCGGGGTTCGATGTGGCGGAGGGTGATGGAGTAATTGTTGATCTCGCAGTAAATGGTGGAGGTGGCGGAGGCGGAGGATCTAGGAATTTGTTCAGCAACCGATGCGGGAATTAAAAAACGAATCTTGAGGTAGTTGATGATAATGCGACTTGCGGGCGAGGTTGCGTAATTCACGGAAGGGAAGCGTACCTTGGGCGCCCTGTGGCGGTTGGCCAAAGTAGTTGGAGGAGCTCGCGCTCCCTATTGATCTTCGTCGTTGCTCGTAGGAACCAGGAATGGCTGAATGCGAGGTTATTGATGATGGTGGAGGTGGTGGAGGTGGAGGAAGATGCGAGGGGTGGTGATGATGGTGATGATGGTGTTGTTGCTGGTGCTGCTGGAGGGGTTGCAGGTTGGAGGTGGACGATGATGCAGGAGCTGCCAAGGTGGAAGGTTCACGTTAGCAACGCGCACCGCCGTCAAATGAGCCGTCAAATGACCGATGAGTATAAATGGTAATTCTGTGAATCAACGAACAAAGAAAGATGAATGATGTGCATAGGATGGTTGATCTGGAGTTTCAGCAGGATACAGGCCCAGATAACTCCGAGCTCAGGGAGTGCCGCGCGGGTGAGTAAGTTGGGGAGAACCAAAGCTCAAGAATTCTCCGGCCATTTCCTTACTCATCCACCATGTGCGGGAGGATTTCGTACGTTGACAGAGATATCCAGCGCATCAGATGAACGACGCCGTATGGAAGCTCGGATGTCTGAAACGGCACAGCTTCGGGGATCTGCAGGCGTCTGAAGCTGCAAATCCACCATGCACTTTACCGTCACGAGTATGAAACATGTCTAAGTAAAAAAATGGCCTGGATGCGACCCGCGCAAAACATGGTGCATTGAAGAATCCAAAGGCCCGAGTAGAGAATATAAACACCGGGTCCAGGGACATCAGAGGGCATTCGAAGAATCGTAGCGTACGTACCTGCAGGACTTGCCCATGACGGCAACGGTGCTCGCTCTGGGGGGACGCTATACGGTGCTTCCCGCCCGGGTGTGCCATAACTGCCTTGTCGCTGATGTTGCGGCGCGTTCGGGAAGAACGGATCTCGTTCGCGACGTTGAAATGGGTCCGACATGGGCATATGGATCTGTGGTTGTGCGGTCGCGTGCGAGTGAGGAGGAAGGTAGGCAGTCGAGCTGGGCGTCGGGTGGGTGGACGGCGGATGGTGATTCGGGTTGTGAATCAGAGCGCGTTCGGATGGGCGCGACGCTCCGTGTTGCTGCGATCGGTGGTCCATGATGGCCGGATCCTACCCATACACGGTAAATGCGTGGAGTTGAACTTCGTGGCCGTGGCTACGGGTCGTTCATGGTGGAAGTTGCAGCCGTTGTAGCGGGCAGATGAGAGCCGATCAGACGGTGCGCATCATGATGGCTAGCTTCAAAAGAAGAGTCGAGTCGCCAAAGAATAAAAACAACCTCATAAGGATATGGGGAAGGGTATAAGCCGTGTTGTCGGTAGTATCATATGGATGAAAGGGAGCGAAGATATTGACGATGCAGATGCAGATGCGAGAGGAAACACACTTTCAAGTTCCAACTTTCATCCACACTCGTTGCCTTACGCATGACACAAGCAATAGCCAAAAGCGATGCAGAGGGAGCACAAGCAAGAAAATCGCTCTTTCGCCTGAATTGCCCCAATCGTTCAGTCGAGCAGGGAGTCGATGGACCAGGAGGACCGACGAACAAAACAAAACGGTGAACGAGGGCAAGGGCCCCTGAATGGCCCCGAATGGAGCCCGGATAGCCCCCTCAAGCCACGCGCCACTTCAAAATGGCGCCAAATGAAGCCACGGATCTTCTTGTTTTTTTCGAGTCGCCTTGGAGGCCCGGCTGGAAATGCGGAACATCATTCCCTCTCCTTGGCAAATGGTAGCGGGAATTCCTTGAATCGAGAATTCCCGTGGCCTTGGAAGCGGGGGAGAAGAGACCAGACCACGGACTAGTGAGGATCATCAGGGTAATTCAGGGACTAAGAGTTAAGACGCCCTGATACAGGATAGAGTCGTGGAATTATTACCACCAATGGGCAGATTAGACCCCGAGGCTGATCGTCATTGCATCGCCATCCACCCACCAGCAACGTTCTTCCACATGCATGCTCATCAAGTCATCATCCGTCACAACACGCGACAAGATAAGATAGAGATATATCGCCTGGACAGATAAGGGCTCCACGAGTCTACATTACTCTGCTTGAACACCTGGGTTGGCACTACAACTGCCGACGACGCAAACGGGATCGTTGAGATCATGCCAGTGCAATCGCGCAGCTGTCAACGATGGCACTGCCTGTCCCTGGCTCTCCTGCTGCATCATGGGCAGTATATCGTCAGAAGCTGATAACCGCCTTGGAAGGGCAAAACCCTAGGGTCCTGATCGCCTTCTGGCTATTCGGTTAGTGTTGCTCCCTTTATTGTTCCCTTCCAGATGCTATTGTTCCCTCTATTCCATGAACCGCGACACCACACTCAACGGTGCGATATCACGAAATCCTCGTCGATATCAATCTGGACCTGCCTGATTGACTTGCGTACGGCTCCTAGGCCTCATCAACAATGTCCTCTACGTCATTATCCTCACCTCCGCCCTCGACCTTATCGGCCCCCTCCCGAAAGCTCTCATCCTCCTCCCCGACATCCTCCCAGGCTTCCTCTGCAAGCTGATCGCACCCTACTTCATCCACCACTTCCCATACTCCCTACGGGTCCTGATCTGTGTCTCCCTCTCATCCACCGGGATGCTCCTCATCGCCGTCTCGCCACCCTCTCACAACCCCGTGTCCATCGCCGTGAAGCTGCTGGGAATCATGATGGCGAGCCTCAGTAGTGGAGGAGGGGAGCTGACATTCCTTGCACTTACACACTTCTACGGGAAGGGGAGTTTGGCTATGTGGTCGTCCGGGACAGGAGGCGCGGGGATCGTCGGCGCGGGAGCATATGCGCTGGCCACCGTGACAATCGGGATGTCGTCGAGGACCGCGCTGCTAGTGTTTGCAACGCTTCCAGCGGTCATGTTCGTGAGCTTCTTCCTCATATTACCGCGAGATGCCTTGGAGACATCAAGCGACCTCCGACAACGCTTGGATTCCGGGCAGGACGAGAGCACCGAGGAGCAGGAGGCCTTTCTCCCATCACACTCTCCCTCTCACGACGACGACGACGAGCACGGTATATCCCAAATCGACATTTCCACTGCTCTCACGGCATCGGCGTCGTCCATCACCCCACTGACATCCAAACCTCTTCACTGGACTGCCACCCTCCACTCCCACCTCCAACGGGCTCGCTCCCTCTTCCTTCCCTACATGCTCCCCCTCCTCCTTGTCTACATCTCCGAATACACCATCAACACCGCCCTCTTCCCCGTCCTCCTCTTCCCTCCCCATAGCCCCCGTACCCCCTTTACCCACCTCCGCTCCCACTACCCCACCTACTCCACCCTCTACCAAACCGGTGTCTTCCTCTCCCGCTCCTCCCTCCCCTTCCTGCGCATCCGCTCCCTCTACGCCCCGACCGCCCTCCAGTCCCTCAACTTTCTCGTCCTCCTCCTCCACGCCCTGTACGACTTCCTCCCCAGCTTCTGGTACGTCGCGCCCATCGTGTTCTGGGAGGGGTTATTGGGGGGACTGGTGTACGTGAGCACGTTCGCGCGCATCGCGGAGGAAGTGCCGAGGGGGGAAAGGGAGTTCAGCTTGGCGGCGACGAGCGTGAGTGATAGTGGAGGGATTTTGGTGAGCGCGCTAGTGAGTATGGTGTTGGAGGTCGCAGTGTGTGAGTGGCAGGTGAGCCAGGGGAGGCGGTGGTGTCGGATGGTGAAGCCTGCTGGGTGAAGATTCGGAACGGAAGTTATGAAATATGAAATATGAACCTTGATTCCGCCCTATCTATATTTGGATGTTCTAGATCCCTTTGACAATCGACTATTCAATAGACACAATCTGGACAGCCAATCGTCCTTGGCCACATCCTTCTCTGGACTCTAGTACCGGTGATTGCTTGTGCCGAGAACCGTTGTTCGTTCCCTTACTCGACCTTCACTTTCTGCTCGACGCGTGGCTAGTACGCCACTTGCATGCTTTGTGTTCGACCTAACCTTTTATGGCGCATAGGAATCGAGTTTCGAGTTTCGAGTTTCCGCGTGTTTCGACGGACTATGGCATGAGTACTAATAATGAAACCTCGGGAATGGTGCTAAGCCTGCGGTTGGCCTGGGTACCATCATGCTAACATCGTATAGGTTCGTGCTTTTCCTTGTTATTTCCTTGCGAATATCCCCTTAGCCCTTGAGGCTCGAAGGCTTGATGGCCATCCCGCAGTGCTTAACCGTTCTTGGCTTCCCCTAATTATCAACAACCCCAAACCTGCCCTCTTCCAGCGCCATCCAACACCACCATCGAATCACACCGGATTTTGGGCTAGAAGTGGGCGAAATTCGTCAGATTGGAGTAGAAGGTATTCCATAAAAGATTTCACACGAAAATACTTGTTGGGCGGTTCGCTGTACCTCACCCAAAAGATCGGATCTAGGATGAGACCCCTGTTTACATCCCGGTCATTTGAGGCTTGAGCATTCAGTATTCAGCTGTCGCCATCAAGGGATACATGTGGGTTGTGAGCGAATATACCCTCACCTACTCACCTTTGGGCTTTGCAGGCGTCAATTCAATTTTATTGTTCTCATTGTCGGTAGTTGACCGTTAGGCGTCAGAACTAAGCACTCCTGCGATCCATCAAGCATCTGGGGAATATGACCCTGTGCGAACTGTGCGGTCGCCGGTAAGTCGATTTGCAAAGCCTTATATCTAGCCAAGGGATCTCAAATCTTGAACAGGATATTAGATACGCCTCCTGAAGACCAAGCCGTAGTTGTGTTCATAGAATTCTCGTTGATCTAATCCATCAATTCCTGCTTGCCATTCCTGCTTGTGCTGCCCTCGTAGTAAACTCCCCCAAACAAAATGCATTCCCTCCCAAACTTCTCCCTCCATCTCCTCTCCCTCACTTCCCTCCTTCTCCTTCCGACTTCCTTCGCCGCGGACCAATGCCCCCCAGCAACCATCATCCTCACCCGCGGCTCTGGAGAACGACCCACCATCAGCCTCCTCAGTCCCCTCGCCGACTGAATCATCGGCGACAACCCGGGCACCACGTTGCAGCACGTCGTCTACCCGGCGACGGCCGAGAACTACGCGGCGAGCACGCGAAACGGCTCGGTGGAAGTGCAGAAGATGCTGCGAGACAACTTCGAGACGTGTCCCTCGACGAAGATCGTGCTACTGGCGTATAGCGAAGGGGCGAACGCCCTCGGGGATGCGCTGTGCGGCGGTGGGGTGTTGGACGTGGAAACGGTTGAGCCAGTGGACAGGAAATTCACCGACAAAGGTATGTGATGATCCGTGTGGGGTTGAGGAAGGGACAGGGGCTTGGATTGACGCTCGCAGTGGTTGCAATCATCCTTTGGGGTGATACACGCTTCAACACGAGCGAGACGTTTGCTGCGGGCACGGCCCACCAGAATGGGGTTAGTTTCGATCTCTCGTGAATACCCGCCTCCTCGAGATGGGTTGGTTCTCCGAGTTCTGTGCTGAGACTATTTAGCTTTTCCCTCGCCCCGCGAATGAATCATGCGAATACTACGCACCGCGCCTTCAGTCGTACTGTGACGACAATGACATGTACTGCGCAAGCGGCGATAGCGAGGAGGTTCATATATCGTATGCCGATAGGTATAACACGAAATCGCTGGAATTTTGTGAACTCGAAATTGCAGAGGGTAAGGTTGATCGATGAGAATCCGCCGGGACAGGGCTGATGATTTTCCAGGCAAATGGAACCGTCAGCTCTACTCTAAATTCAGGAGGAGTGCCACCGGCGGCTAGTAAGACCGCTCCTACGTCTACGGGCGCGGCGGTGGCGAACGTGGTTCCGCAGTCGGCTGTGGTGGTCGGAACCGTGATGGGTCTCTTCTGTTTGCTCTTTTAGCTTTGAGTCCCATGGGGTTTCGCGAATCTGATTCAACTGTCGAGGCGGTGGAATCGTAGATGAGCAGCCATTGCAAACGCGGGAAGTTTGGCCTCGCATAATGTACAGTCGACGTCGTCGAGAGTGTCGACTTCGTCTTCGTCTTGCCAAAGCGATTCTACTTCTTTTGTGCTGGATTGGGAGAGTCGCATGTCCTCTTCAGAGCCATATAATTCCATAGTATCGGACCGTTCCATGCTCTTTCCATTTATCGAGGTTTTCTCCATGGCCTGTGGTATCTCAGTATCGATCCTCCAGCCGCTTAATCGGTCATTTTGGGTCTTGAACATTGTCGAAATGTCTCGACCGCGTCTTATATCAATCTCATTGTCCATGTCAGTGACGCCAACATTGATTAGACTCAAACAGAATCTGTCCGGGTGCAGCTTTCGAAAGAGGTTCTCAAGTGTCCCTGTAACAAATTGTTCAGCGATTGATGGAACGCTTTGGCCAAGGTCGAAGATAAAAGATGGAAGTGGACAGGACCGAGAGGTTCGAGCCCAGGAACGTTCCCCCTCTGTATTGGTTGCGGATGAGAATCTGTCTCTGGTAGACAGTCGAACGGTCTTTGGGCGTGCTAACCAGCGTCTTTGCTGAGGCTCGTTTTTCTGATGAGATACCCTATCGAGTATGCGCGGCTCGATATCTGTTACCAGATCCACGCGCATCCGTTTGACCAAGCTGCATGTCAACCTAAGCAGTTCATCATGTACGTCTTCTAATTTTTCGAGCTTCTGGTAGCTGTCCTCAATGCTGATACCGCGTGGTACATCTCTTGCTTGCGATACATCCGAGTCATCACATCCGTTTAGTAGTTGCCACACCCGCGTTCCAATTCCTCGTTGGGCGCCATGCCCGGAGAGAAGCCGCTCGAACGCAATGGGATTCGCATCAGGATGCTTAAGGATCTCCGAAACAGTGACGGATTCCGAGGGCTTATGATAATTCAATTCCACTGACTGGGCAGCCTCTCGTCCGAGCGTGAACGACCGGAGGGCATGTGCCATTTTATGACCAATCCCAGGAATTAGGCCGACCTCATAATTACTTAGGAAAAGGCGGACATTGCTCTTTTCGCGTTCTATTCCCGCGTCATCTTGCAAGTCATCGGCATAGGGCGGCATAAGTGTCGTTCCAGCGCTTGGTTTATGGACGTTTCCGGCGAGTTTTGACAAGAGCTTCGAAGTCGAAACGCCCACAGTCGAGGTATACCCCTTCTCCTTCTCAACAAGCAGACGAAGATGCTGAGCAAGGTGAGAAGCGAGATGCAAACGTAGCCTCAGCTGAATGAATACTGGATCAGACCAGTGCTGCTCCTCATCTTCTGCTAGCGGCAGCACCTGCTCTGGAAACGTATGCCCTGCTGGAACAGACGCGTCAAATGAGAATCCAACAGTGGGATCACTACGCGACATATTGAAAAAGGCGGTCCGGAGGTCGTTATAGTTCAGAAGGCCCATATTGTATGCTATTATATCAGAGACATCCATGAACACCTAGCACTGTTAGAGGGTATAGCTCAACCCAATATTAGGCATACCTCGTCAAGTCCAAGTCGCTCAACCCTTTCATTCCAAGAAAAGGAACGAAGATACTGAAATAGCTCTTTGGACGCATCGCGGAACTTCGTCAAGTCTTCCCCGAGCACGGTGACAACCTCAGGACATGTCTTCTTCGCCTCTGTTACCAACTGCAATTTCTGTAACCCCTGATTGTAGGATCAGCTTTGCGGGCACCACTGAGAAAAAATGAAGCACACACCCTTCTTCGAGCCTCATAGTTACATGTCGCCACGATCTGCTTCTGCTGGACTGCTAATGGGACCCCTTTTAAAGACGGGTTCTCCACCTCGAATACAGAGGCGTAGAAGCAATCATAGTCCTAACGCAATCAGCACCTCTTCAATAATCAAAGATATTATAAAAGGCTCAAATATCATATTAATACTTACAAAATGTAGTATGATTCGGTCATCTCTCCTCGGAGGCATGCGATGCGGTCGGGTCGGCTTCATCGTGACGCGACATATTGCGGGCCTTTGAGAAACCTGTCAATGTTTGAATTACTATCATCAAAACGGGACCCTCGCACCCGTTGCTTAATGGCGTCGATTCCCCTATCCAAGGAAATGGTACTGATTAGCAGAAGTCTACTCTGAACGTGTTCTATTCCCCTCAAGTTTGCCCTTAGTTCTCCATTCCTGGCATTGGGACATTAGATTGTGGCGGAAGACCCATCCGAAAGGGCAGTGGGCGAGCCAAAGCTGCGCCACCAGTCCAGGGACTAATATCCACCGGGGTGTGAAAATTGACGGAACAGGGGTCTTGGCATTTCAGATTGCTGGATTTCTACGGAGCTGCGTCAATAAAGTTTTGGCACACCAAGTACGGAAGTCCATTCAAAAGTTCTTGCTCGCCAAGAAAGTGGCTTGATTATATAAGCCCTTGGAAAGCCGATATCATGGGCGGTAGGGTGCCTAGCCAACGGGCGGGTACTAGACGCGGTAAATCGAATGTCCGGCGCCCTTGGTTCGAATTAGGCTCTGTGAAACCTAGATTAAGTGCCTAGTTGATAGGCAGTCTAGTGCCTGTGGTATAGGCCTATAGGGCTCTCGAAACCGCTTATATAATCAAGCCACTATCTTGGCGATCAAGAACTTTGAAATGGAGCGTGCCAAAACTTTATTGACGCATCTCCGTACGCCTCTATCTTTTGATTACTACCCCCACGAGCTGCGAATACGGTTTCCCTCTAGCCGGACGACCTCCTCACACCGCCAGCGCATCTCAGATATCCTTGAGCGAATTTGCTGCTGCGTAATACGCCTCCACTCGCGTCGAATCGCCTCTTTGAACTCCTCTACTGTTTGCCAGTTCCCACCTCGTAGGCGTTCCTTTATAATCTGCCAAATTGCCTCAATAGGGTTGAGATCTGGTGACTGCGCAGGATGGGGTGGGATTGAGATACCTACCGCGCGTTTTGCATGCGCTGCTAGATTATTCCAGCTCCGCGTCCCATGGGACGGATCACCGTCTTCTTGTAGGTAAAAGACATGCTTATATTGCGCCTCGAGCGCCTTGATATGATCAATATGCTTTGGGAGGAAGTTTTGGGTATAATACTTTAGCGTCATCGAGTTTCCTTTGATCTTGATATCGGCCTCAAGACTGCCCTTTTCAGCGGCTTCCCATGCGTCTTGTACGGCAGCGAATTGTTCCGGGGTCTCGACACTTGATTTCCGAGGTCTCCGAGGTTTATACGCTCTTTTGGCAGCTGGTTTGACTGGGTCGGAGTAGAAATGGAAGGGCCCTTTTCGATCGTAGGAGATTCCGGCTGCAACGTGAACCGTCACGTCAAGGGGGCTACCCCGAGTCTCCTGTATTGATTCAAGGCGTCGAGATTCGCCCGGGACCGTAACTCATATTCCTGTTTATCGGCGAGCTCTCTCGAGTTGAAATGGACTTCGTCTGTAAAGTAGACCCTTTTCCACCACTGAGTAAGTGTCTTGCCCCGGTGCTCCTCGCCGTAGCCCTTTCGGATCCCCTTATTTATATCACGTATAGCCGTAGTGCTTGGATTTTTATAGTGCCTAGCGTTAAGCCGTTTTGAGAGGTTCTGATGGAGTGTTGATACCCCAACGCCTAGTTCTTTCGCTTGGTAGTCGATGTCCTTATCGTAGAGAGGTTCCTGTGGATCGAGGAGGCGCTGTAGAGTCCGGTTATCGAGTTTACGAGGTCGCCCTCGACGTTTACTTAACCCCCGTGTACGTTGTACAGCCTCTGGCCCGAGTTCTTTGCGATTCTCAAGCCATCGGATACCTGTAGATGGTAGGATCTCAATACCCTTTTGGCGGCAGATTGAACGAAAAGAACGACGATTTTTAGACTGGTCGTATAGCCTAAAAAAGACTACTCGACGAGGAGAATCGTATTCTTGTCTTTTTTGCATGATCCGATAAGCATTGCTGAAGATATTGATGCAAAAGGATTGAGGAAGCAGATATATCTCAGCTGCCAAGACCACTGTTCCGTCAATTTTCACAGTCACAAGCATGTGGTGGTGGTTTGCGTGGAATGTTTGCATTTTAATGATTTTACCCACCACGGATATCTCGCTCTCATTCCTCCCCCCTTTCCCTCTCTCCTTTCCTTCTTCTTTAGAGCTTATTTCTAGCGAATCAACCTGTTCAAACGGCTCCCTGAGTGATCCAAGGGTTCATCGATACGGATACTGGCTACTTGGTTGGTGGCTGAACTTGGAGCGCCGTTCCGGAACCTCCGGTTGGTGCCTGAGTTCACGGACGGAGGGACCTTGAGCACGGAGCAGTCATCAAGCACTCCCCCAACAAAACGGCTTTTCCGGTGTACAACTTTGGAAGCTGGAGAGTCTGTTTAGATTTACCATTTGGCTCTCTTCATTAGAGAGACGTCTCCAGAGCAAACCTGAATCTAACTAACATCAAGCGAACATGCAAAAGAGTTTCGGTGGTTCTGTACTCTAGTTCAAGCAATTCTGAGTCTATATACACTGAGCTCGCTCTTCGGAGGGTAGCATACACAGTAAAGGATCTACTCCCATGTTAATACTTATACGGAATACGAGTCGCTTTATTAATGCAACTTATCAAGTTAATGATCGCCATTGCGGCTGAATGTTGCTCGAGTATATTAACCAAGCCACTCGATTGATTTTCAGTCATTGGCGCTGAGCCTCTTCGGAGTTCAAGTTGCGATTCACTTCCTACAAGCTGAAAACTTTCCGTTTATTAACTACGTCGTTCCTTTATCCTGACCCTCAACAATGAGCACCAATACTAGTGGTGCTGGCTTCGCAATCCGCCGTAATGGCACCTGTAATGCGTCTCTTGGAGAAGTTTATTGTGGTGAAACCGCAAAACCCTATCACGCATGCTGTCCTCGGTCCGCGTACTGTCCAGCCGATCCCCCCTACAATGCGTACTGCTGCGATCAGCCTGATTTCAATTGTACTATGGCGATCTTGGATGAAGGTCCATTCTGTGCCAATACATCATGGAATATGTACGACAACGGCGGGTATTTTTGTTGCGACGTGGGCATGCCAGGATATCAGAATACTGAGTTGAATTCAAATGGATGCGCGAGGCCTGGGTTTCAGCTTGCAAGTTCGGAGACGTATTTAACTCCACTAGGGCAGGAATCGAAACGTTAGTTATGATTCCGTTGTCTTCGAAATCCCTAGCTAATTATTACTCCATAAAGCCACCGCCTCGTCTAATACCAGTCCCTCACTGCCTCTTACTACCACTGCCTCTTCCCAATCTCCTGCATCGTCTTCCTCCCCGACATCAGGTTCCAACTCCCCCAACGTGGGTGCCATTGCTGGTGGCACAGTCGGCGGGCTCGCGGTCCTCGCTCTCATAATAATTATCCTCTGGTGTGCCTTCCTTCGTCGACGAAACCATCGACAAACCGATCTACACCCAGCAGACTTGCATCTTTTTCAGAGCCCAGAGAAAGTCCAAGGTCGAGGGGTCGCGGTAGAAATGGAGACAACTATTGTGCCATCGGAACTTCCTGGAGATAGGCCTACAACTATTTCCGGGCTGCCACCTGTGACACAGTAGGGGAAAGATGAGGTTCAATTTCCTAAAATCCGGCAAACTAAAGATATAGGAGAAGGAAAAGAAGGAAGGGAAACAAACCGCAACGGAATTATCTTACATGTTCCCCATCGCTGATCGTACCTTGCTCTTCATTCACCGTGGTGTTTATCTCCAATGGTGAATTGAGATACACTGTTATGGTCCCAGACCTGTGACTGATGTATGTGTGGCTGAAGCCAGGTGTGGCGAGAGGATTATCAGGATGTAGTCATGTGTTGATGGTCTGATGGATGTGTTAATGAAGTGGAGGAGAGGTCTAATGGTCTATCATACACAGGAAATATTAGGTGGAGATCGGAACTTGTTGTGATAGTCCCATGTGTTCAATTCTGGGTGAAGCTCCTTTCACACCCTGCTGTGCTCCATTCACACCTGCACCCTGCTCTATTTTGTTAGACCTGGGCCGGGAGAACATCGGTTATGAGGCAGCACGTTATTAGTCATTCTTTGTAGCTATTTAACCTCTCAATTGGGAAGTGACCGTGGTGAGTAGTTAATCCGGATCCGAAACTTACCATCAGCCTCTCTGCCGCCGCAACGCCGGTACGCCGCTCTAACCATTCACTCCTCACAACGATACATGAAGACTGTACAGGAGACTGGGAACGCTGTTCCTCACCATAATGGGCACCCGGGTCTTGCATGAGCCGCTTCGACGGCCACAGTGGTGATGTTGGTTCGGAGTCGTGCTCATCAGATGTACGACGTCGTTTCGCGCTCCCTCTTTGCTCGCTTTCGTTCAATAGAATAGTCACCACCCGACCTATCGACAGGTCGATATCCTTGGCGAGCATTTCGCGTGTTTTGTACATGGTATCCTGCAACGATTGAAGGCCCTCGGTGTGCTGGCGCTTAAGTTCGTCCGCAATCTTGAGAAGGAGAGCGTGGTCGAGAGCATGGAGAGCAGCCTGGGGGGCTGGTGGAGATTGGGCTAGAACTTGTGAAGGGAGCGGGTGGTGCTGGTGCGGTGCTTGAGAAGCAGCCTGTGGAGGAGATTTGCCATGGACCTGCCGCAGAGACGGCTCGTGGTGCTGCTCCTCCTCACGCTGTTGGGACTGGTACGGCTGTAGAAGGGAATCGAGTTAGCGGCGAGATCGAAATACGGGCGAAAGGGGGGAGACTTACCAGCCTTTGTGGCTCCGCCACAGGCGAAATCCGATCTAATTGTATCTTGTACGGACCGTCCGGTAGCCGGGCGGTATTTCCCTGAAGGTGCAGATGGATCTGCGCCGGGTTCTCACATCGAATCGTCAACTTCACATGGTCGCCATCAGGCTAAGTGCTGGCTTGACTGAACTACTGGGTCGGGAAACAGTGACGGAGGCCATCGATGATCTGGCGACCAAAGAAGAGCCACTCACATTGCCAGGGCAAATGGGTTTCGGCAGGCGTAGTAGATACGGACATGACATGGCGAAGAGAAGGTAAGCGACGATAGGACGAAGGCCCTGAGGTGGAGTCTCGCGACACAGCCATTGCTTCACAATCCTCTAGCTGGAGGAATAGAATGAGATAGAAGTAAAGGGAGGAAAGAGCGGAATAAATCTGAAGAAAGAAGCCGAAGAAACGGCGTAACCAAAGGATAATACTATGGGTAGAGTCGAGAGAGAGAAGCCAAAGATGTTCACTGCGAGCAATGAGCAGGAGGATAGACTGATTCCGTCCCGTCTTTTATAGCCCTCAATTTCCAACATTATTAGCGCTAAGGGATCCCCCTCAAAGAGCTACTAAGCTCGTTGGCCCTGCGCTAACATCCAGCTGCGGCGTGCCGCATGAGAACCATCCTCTGCTCTCAGCACGTTGTGGATAGCTGATCAAGAACTGAGTGGACGACAAGCCCTGACTTGCAAGTGGGCATTGAGAACCGGCTTAACCGCCCAACATGACCAGGTCAACTCACAGAGAACTCTCGTATTTGGTTAGGGCGTTTGAAGACTCCGTGGATCCTTCGTGTTCCTTTATGCGAGCTGGAGTTCCAAGGACTCCTGCCACCTCCGAGTCGGACAGCTTGGCCAACCCGAGAGCGGTGGAAACGCATGAAGCGCCTAAAACCTCAAGGTCGAGATGTCCATGCTGCGTTCCATCGCCGTGGAGCAAGTTCATGCATTACGCACGAACACATCCGAGTTCCAGCCATATCCCAGGCTCGAGTCCGCGTGATGGGGTACGTTGCCAAGGTAGCGAGCGACGATGACGGGGCAGTGCGTGTTCCTAGGACGGCTGGAGCAATTGGCGTTGAATGGTCAATCTCATCTGCTTGAGGAGCACCCGTTCAACGAGAAGCGGACAAAATCAGTCAGTCTTAACAAGCTGCTGGGCTAGATGGTGCGATTAAGGGGCCCTCTGCTATCAAAATGCGGTGGTTAAGGGCTATTATCTAATCCTCAAGTCTACTTCGATAATCAAGCAGTTCTGTACTAAATTCGCTGTTAGTAGGGGAAAAGGCGGTCTTGTAGTAGTAGCGGGTTACCAAACGGCACAGTAGCAAACATGCAGGCCTCCTCACTCACTTCCGGGAGAGCGCAATCCCAGAATCCCGGGGACAGACCGAGTTGGGTTCCGTACACCAAGTTAGAACGGAAGGGCTTAGTAAACCCTAATCCGGTCTGGTTTCGAGGAGCAGCTAACATAATCATGCTGCCCTCAGATAAGGATCGATTGTACGGTGGCACACAAAGAGCCTAGCTCAAGGTCACTTGCTGCATTTCCTTCACAGATGCAGAACCTCTCCGCTTGGTCACACACGCATTGGGGTCTCTCTTCCTCTTTCGGTTTGCTGAGATAGTGCCCAGTGCGGGGCGTTGCTCGATGAATTGTGCCCGCTCGAAATCAATCAGCATCACTTTGCCGGTCTCCTCATTCCACAACATGTTGCGAAGCGCGAGATCATTGTGAACGATCCCGAGGCTAGCGACCGCTTGGATTGAAGAGCGAATCAACCGAAGAATCCGTGGCCGGTTCTCGGTGGTAAGGTGCGTGGATAGGAGCTCTCCACCAAAGCTCATGAGCATCATGTGATCAAGCTTCGCAATTCCCTCGTAGTAATAGGGAGTGCTCAGGTCGATGTTGCCCAAATAAACTGGCACAATGCCGCTGCCCTGAATCGGACGGAGGCTGTCGTAGAGGGTAGCCTCGTGTTTCAGGCGGTGAGCAAAGTCGGTGGCTTTGGCGGCGATGGTATACCCGTGAGATCTGAGTCTGATGCGAAATAGGATGCCGCATGATCCAGGAGGGCCTATGGGCATGCAGTCGGTATCAAGGTCTTCTGAAAGTTGCCGACGAACGAGACTAACGAAGGTAGATAAACAAATCCGATGATAGCTCTTCCCATGGTCTCGCGCATTGGGACATGACATGTCAAGGAGACCCCGGTTGACGAGGCCAAGGAGGCACTTTTGAGTACAATGCTGTCCACCACTCGACGTTCCTCCGTGAAGATCCGCACCGGATGATGAGCGGGCGGTGGCCTGGGTGCGAGCGGAGTGTCGGGGTAAAGGCCGCTCTCGACTCGGAGTATCCGGATCAAGCTCATCATCGCTTGAATTTTCGTGACTCTGCAGTCGCACGCAACTAGATGAGCCGGTTGTAACCGGTCGTCGTCGGAGGCGCACAGGAGACATGCGAAGGAAGCCATCGTCACGAGGTGGCCGATACTCTGACGGTGGGGCGTCCTGCAGGGGGATTGTATCGAGCAGTTCGGCGTACACCACCTCCCAGCTGTTCAGTAGGTTGGCAGCCTGGGATCGCCAGCTCTGGTTTCGAGGCGGCGACTTCAATGCTTGGAGCGTAAACGCGAGCATTTGCCCAACCGCGGTCAGATGCAGACGATTTGGGTCGTCCGAATCCGGCACCCATTCCGTGGGTCCCCCAACGTCACCCGTCGGGACCGATAGGAAGTAATGGACCGTACCGGGGTCCATCTCCGGCACCCGGAGGAAGATGAACGCTTCGCCGGTGCAAACGCACCCGTATTCTACCCCAGCGTTGATCATATATGAAAACGCTTGTGTAATGATTGCGGCAATCAATCGGCGGAAGCGGTTCCGCGGAGCATCGGATTCTTGATACCGAATCACGTCCTCAAGTTTCATGTCATCCAGGCCTTCGTAAATGTACCCAAGGGGGAGATTATGCGGTGCTTTGTATTCCATGACGAAGGCAGGGATGCGGTTCTCCTGGTTCCGAATGCTCTTGTTGTAGACGCAGAATTGATCTGCACGAGGACGGGAGGATCGTATGTGAGTTGTCGGTGCCGATTCTGCCGGGTGCACCGCCATCGATTCGTTGGCTTTGGCATGTAGGCATGCCGACCGCCGTGGCGGATTTCCGGAGAGGGGAAGTTGGTCGATGCCCTCTGCAAGCTGAGTGTCAGGGCATAGCGCGTTGGCGTGATTCTCAAAGCTGATCAAGCCCTGCAGACCAAATTCCTGCTGAAGTCTTCGGTCGGTGTTCATTTGTTGGATGATCAACGCAACGGGGTCTTCGACAGTGGTGCGCTGGAAATGATGCAGGTCAAGCTCAGAACTCAGCGACCGTTTTCGGACCGTTTCCCCAGACTCTTGCAAAGTATGTACCGAGGTGAAGTGCCGCTCCGAGACAAATCCCGACTGCATCAAAGTGTTCCAAATCGCGTCCTGGCGGGCTGGGAAGTCCTCCTACTCGAGCAGCTTCTCGGCTCGAAGCTTGTTGTTCGCGTTGGCAGGGTCACCCCGTGTCGACCTGGTTGCATCGGTCTGGACGGTGAGGCCGGAATGCAGGTAATTGTGGCAGGCATCGAGATATTCGGGTAGAGTGCTTTTCCGAGTGCTAAATTCAGCCTGCTCTTGGGCCCGCTCCGCTTCTTCGCGTCGACGTTGTTCCTCCTGCCATCGACGCTGTTCCTCCTGCCATCGACGCTGTTCCTCCTGTCGTCGGCTCTGCTCCTCGAAATAGAGCGTTTTGTAGTCGGGCGACTCTTCCGCCATGGCTAGCCGCTATTAGAGGTGGTCAGATGCACAAAGGAATGTCCATCTCAGAATCGGGTATAATCGCTGGTGAGACGCCAGGAAACAAGCGTGTTTACCAAAAGTTGGATTGTTGTTGTCCAAGTTACCAAGCTTAGTCCAAGCGACCAAGCAGGACTTGGCAGCGCACGGATCCCTTTTCTGGTGGTGGAACTACTATGTAGTCCCAGTATGTCCTTTCGCTGAAGATATTCTTAAGAGAACTCATCAACTCAATCTCCCTAGCGACTTACGTTCGGTTCCTCAAAGCCTACCCTTACTATGCGACTGCTTAGCACTGGCCCTGGCGGAAGCTTCAGCCTGCACTGCTTCACCAGCAACATTCCTAGCTATGCAATCCTTTCGCACACCTGGGAGGCGGATGACCAGGAGGTTACATTCCAAGATATTATGAATGCCGCGGGAACCAGCAAGACAGGCTATAGAAAGATCGAGTTTTGTAAGGAGCAAGCAGAGAAAAACGGACTTCAGTATTTCTGGGTGGACAGCTGCTGCATCGACAAGTCAAGTAGCGCCGAGCTCACAGAAGCTATCAACTCGATGTTTCGCTGGTACCAGGATGCAGCAAAATGCTATGTATATCTCTCAGACGTTTCAACAGGAAAGCACACCCGATCTTCTAAGCTCCTATGGGAACCGGCGTTTAGACAGGGTCGATGGTTCACCAGAGGTTGGACACTACAGGAGCTTCTTGCTCCGCGATCAGTCGAGTTCTTCTCCCGAGATGGCAAGCGACTTGGTAACAAAGACTCGTTAGAACAGCAAATTCATAAGATCACTGGGATTGCAATTGACGCACTTCGAGGACATCTTTCTCAATTCAGCGACGAGGAGCGAATGGCATGGGCAGAAAAGCGAGAGACCACGAAAGAAGAGGATCAAGCATATTGCCTCATGGGAATCTTCGACGTCTCCCTACCAGTCATATATGGCGAGGGGAAAAGAAAAGCACTCCAGCGGCTTCGAGAAGCGATCGATAAGCGTTCAGGCGATACGCAAGGTAATTTAACCGCCAAATTATTTAGTTAGCCGGCTAATCTGCGAAGTGGAATGGAACAACAAGGAACGGGACTGTATGCAAGCCCTGCGTACTTCGGCTTCCGACTACGAGCAGTTCAAGGAGAGGAACTCTAGCCGACTTAGAGATACCTGTCAGTGGGTTCTCCATCATAAAAATTTCCGAAACTGGAAAGACAGCAGCTCCTCAAGTCTTCTTTGGATATCTGCGGATCCTGGATGCGGAAAATCGGTTTTTTCTAAATCTCTTGTCGACGAAGACTTGAAAAATATGGACGCTCGCACAACTTACTACTTCTTCTTCAAAGATGACGACGACGTACAGAAAAGTGCAGTTACAGCTCTTGCGGCACTACTCCACCAGCTCTTTCGGCGGAAACCAACACTTATTAAACATGCTATTTCGGATTTCGCCGCTAATGGACATCAACTTTCTCAATCATTTCATACACTCTGGGGGATTTTAATAAAGACGGTGGCTGATCGGAATGCCGGGGAAGTCTTTTGCGTCTTGGATGCCCTCGACGAATGCACAAAAGCAGGGCAGTATCAGATTATTAACGCTCTCAGTTCATTCTATCAGCAAGCAAGCTCCGGAAACGATTCATCTCGACTCAAAATATGTATCACTAGTCGTCCTTACCCAGACATCGAACGGCGCTTCACCGATCTTACTTCTAACTTTCCTACGATTCGGCTACACGGCGAGCAAGAGTCAGATGAAATCAGTCGTGAGATCGACCTAGTCATCAAATGGAGAGTATCCCAACTCGGATCTGAGCTTAAGCTTAATAATTTAGAACAGTCAAATCTCGAAATAGAACTGTTAAGAATGAGCCACCGAACATACCTCTGGGTAACGCTCATTTTCGATATCATTCGTAAAATGATTCGACCGACAAGTCGGAAACTGAAGGCAGTTATTAGTAACCTTCCGTCTACAGTTGATGAAGCATACGAAGCGATTCTTACAAAAATCGAGGAAGATGATCGACCACAAGCGCGGAAATTGCTCTATATCGTTGTTGGAGCAACCAGGCCTCTTACACTGAAGGAAATGAACATCGCTCTAGCTATAGAAGACCGTCATCGCTCCTACGACGACCTTAAGCCTGACCTTGACGATAAAGCGAGGTTTGAGGCGTCGGTGACACACCTCTGCGGGCTCTTTGTGACTGTAGTGGATCGAACGGTCTATCTAATCCATCAGACCGCAAAAGAATTCCTTCTCGCGAAGAGCGAGGCCGCTGCTATTGGATGGAAACATTCTCTTGTTCCAACGAATTCCGAGACCCTTATGGCCAGAGCATGCCTTACATATCTTTCATTTACTGAATTTGATGGAGCGACAGATCAGATCTCTGCAGCAGTCAAACACGACTACTTAGATTATGCTGCCGGTTCTTGGGCTGCTCACTATCGAAAAGCACAGCATAGTGCAACCGAGCAAATGTTGGACTTGGTTTTCAGAGTCTGCGATACCCGATCCCAGCGGTTCAAGACTTGGTTCGATATATACTGGAAGATGGCTTACCAGTGGCACTCTAATCCACAGTTCACAAGCATTCTGATGGTAGAGTCATATTTTGGGCACGAGGGTATCGTCAAGCTGCTGCTCGAGGCCGAGGCCGAGGCCGACTCGAAGGATGATAACGGTCAGACGCCGCTGTCATGGGCGGCCGAGAACGGGCATGCGGGTATCGTCAAACTGCTGCTCGAGGCCGACGCCGACGCTGACTCGAAGGATAACAACGGTCGGACGCCGCTGTGGAGGGCGGCCACGAACGGGCACGAGAGTATCGTCAAGCAGCTGCACGAGGCCGAGGCCGAGGCCGACTCGAAGGATAACTACGGTCGGACGCCGCTGTGGAGGGCGGCCGAGAACGGGCACGCGGGTGTCGTCAAGCTGCTGCTCGAGGCCGAGGTCGACGCTAACTCGAAGGATAACAACGGTCAGACGGCGCTGTCGTGGGCGGCCGCGAACGGGCATAAGAGTATCATCAAGCTGCTGCTCGAGGCCGAGGCCGAGGCCGACTCGAAGGATGACTACGGTCGGACGCCGCTGTCGTGGGCAGCCGAGAACGGGCACGAGGGTATCGTCAAGCTGCTGCTCGAGGCCGAGGCCGAGGCCGACTCGAAGGACGATGACGGTCGGACGCTGCTATGGTGGGCGGCCGAGAACGGGCACGAGAGTATCGTCAAGCTGCTGCTCGAGGCCGGCGTCGACGCCAACTCGAAGGATAACTACGGTCGGACGCCGCTGTGGTGGGCGGCCGCGAACGGGCACGAGGGTATCGTGAAGCTGCTGGAGTCCTTTAGCACTCTAGGATTTTCGGTTTGCCCCCCACCCACTACCTAAAGTCATCCACGCTCTTAAAATATTCTGTATAGTTAATAGACAAGAACTTCTATTGCTTTGAAATCAATCTGCTGTTTATAAAATCCATGCGGTTCTCGGATTGGTAATAATTCTCGGTTTAATGTGCCACGTGATATACGGTACTCATTTGACAGTCAAATGGCTTTCGTTGCCACCAGACTCTCTGCATTTTAAAAGCGTTCTTTTGAGGTCAGCTTCAGCTGAATCCCCGTTTAGCTTCAAGAAGACCATTTAGGCAAAGAGTATGAAGGCATCCGTGCGCTGAGAAGAATCCAAGATTCCAAGATGCAAAATGCAAAACCGGAAACCGAATCTCCTCGCGACTGTATAAATCATAGAACGCCTGCGGAATAGACTCTTGGTGTCGTGAGTGTTATAAAGAGCCAAATCTGGCTCCCGGTAGGAGTGAGAGCCTGATTTTGTACAGTAGTAGGGTCATTCGAGGCGTAATGATGTAAACGAGTGACCCTTTGGGCCATTAGAGAGTCCGAACAGGCCGTTCCGACTACGATATACATGTAGGAGAGGAAAGGGAGAGAGCGAGCAGTGGGTGAGCAGTGGGTAAAGAACCCAAATGGCTAATATCTATCAGGAGCCTGTTTGAGCTCCGGTAATGATCTACGAACCGTGAAAGTCATAGAGTGCTGCGTGAGCAGTGGGTGAGCATTGGGTGAGCAGTACCACGTGGCTGGGCGCGCGAGCCGCGCGAGGGAGATCTGGGGCATGGACGCGCCGCTCATCAGGCCGGATGATCATATCGTGTGGCGGATGTCGTCTGGTGCGAGGCCGATTGATGCCGACTCGATCCTGCGTTCGATGAGCAAGTGGGGGGTGAGGCACACCCCACTGTGCTCCATTCATACCCGCTGACCCCGCCACCCTGCTCCATTCACGCCCTACCCGGTCACATGACATACCAATCCCTTAGAAATGTGGTCGTGGGTTACCTCAGCAAGCTCAGGCTATTTGTGGTCGTGCCAAGGCACCGGAGTGGGACTATACCTAATCGGTAAGTCACATGCACTCCTCGAACAAATAGCCTGAGGATTCTGTCAATGGGTTTTGGGTGTGTGTGGAGAGCTTTCATACCAAATGGAAGACCATTTTTAACTCCATTTTCTTCCACAACCACACTGTGCTCCGTCAATTAAATATAACCATTCGATTCCCCTGCTTTTTCTCCATAATTGATTGAATTTTGGGTCATGTCGGCCTGAAACCAGCGTCGTCAGAGCGCGCGGTTGAACTCGCCCACTTTGCTACTTGCTCCAAGTCCTCAGCATAGTGCTGCGTCAAACACATCTAATGCACCACATCAGAAAGTAAGAGGGTCTCAAAGACGCAGTAAGCCACAGAGAATAAATGAGATATGTCAATTCATGAAGAAAAGAGCATTAAATTTTGAGAATTTATCTACATCTACGCGACGACTTAAGGGTTGGGTGGTTATAGAGAGTGCTCTGTCACGCGAGCCAAATAGCTCGCTGAGGCTGTCTACGGTTAGCCAGAGCCCAGAGGTCTTAGACGCACTATAAGAATCCCGCGTCTAGTGCGGCAGGAACTATCACTATAAAGGGTCTAAGGAAGGAAATGAAGGCACTAGAAGAAGCCGTAGATATGTTTAGTGCCTACTAAGTCGACTGCATCTAGGAGAAGACTTTACCTACCGGCGTAGGGAGGGGGAAACAGTTAGAGGGTTAGAAAATCGAGGACTACGAGTGTATACTAGGCGACATACTGTCTAGGCAGATATACGAGCAAGTTAGCACTCGTGCTCCTCTTCTATGTAGATTGCTTAATAGTCTTATGACACCTAAGATGAGAAAAGATCGACTACCACGGGATCCTGTTAAGTTTAACCACAGGATTGCGATAGTCACGTTAATTCTCTGCTATTCTCGGGGGTCGGAAGGGAGCAATAGGTTTCCCCGCGTATTTGACGCCTTTCTGCATTCAAATGGTGTGAAACGGCGTGTCCTCGATATTCTTCACCAGCTTGGGGTTTATAAAGGCTACAAGAGGGCCCACAGATATCTCGAAACCGTGGCAGAATAAACAAAGGCATCCTTATCGCCTCTTAGTATATAGACGTCGACCGATTATAACTAGGGGACGGTCCGTCGATATACTCCTGTCTAATTCGATCCAAAGGGATAAGGATGAAGCCGATGCCACCGCGACAAAGCAATAGCGTTACCTGGAATATGACACTTTTACCAAAAGATATCTTCGCTACAAGAGGAAGGTCCTCCTACTTGAATACTAAATGCCATATAACATCTACCTGCTTCTAACGAGGCTCGAATGGGTAGAGATGGCGGTCTAGGCCTGCTCGGATGATGACCTTCTGCACTTCCTCGGGCACGTCTCTTGCAATTTCGACCAGCCGCTGTATAGCTAGCATACTCGTAGTGCTATAGGCATCGTGGACGAGATCTCTGGCGATGTCCACAGTCTCTCGTCGCCCGTTTCGAACGCTCGCCTTGCTTCGCATGGGAAATATGAACACAAAATGTGTTCAATAATAGATATTCGTGTGAATACCGACCGAGAAAGGCGTTATATGACATCCAATGGGTGTTTTCCAGGCTCATTCGACCGTAAGCTCCGGAACGATGGCTGGATGGTGATTTCGGTGTGGTCTAGTTCATCACATATTAGCGTTTTTCACCCGACACAAGCATGGACATGTAAAAAAAAATCAATTACGAGATAGAGAATACTTTAATACACAATCGATCAGATTTTGGAGTACATACGACGTGTTTTGATGTGGTTATTAATGGATCGTGATTTTGTCAAATCCACAGAGATACATACAAACCACATACAAAATTTATGCAGAGCAGTGCGCGTCATTGACAGAATCCTCAGGCTATTTACCAGAGGAGTAGTTAAAGTAACGTGACCTTTTACAAAAAAGGTTAGACTCCCCTGAGAAATAGCCTGAGCTTGCTGAGGTAAGTCGTGGGACTCCTCAAAACTGAGGATGAGTAAGCTTCAGCTGACGAACCTAGGGCAGTCCAAATGAGCTCATCTGGATTAAATGATGAATTACAGAGGAATCTCATAAAAGGTGGCAGTAATGGGCCCGTGCGTTGCTGATTAATCATGCTGAGTCATCATACTGAGTCATGTAACGTGCCTATTTTATGAAGAATTGAAGATTGAGGCTATGTACAGAGTATATACACGCCCATTGCTTGAACAATTGCGTACTAAGATGCCCCCCAAAGGGCGCATCCCCGATGTAGAAATACTCAATTCCTTTATACGAATAAAACACCTTGATTACGCTACAGATAGAGCTATCTGTACTCTAAGGCGTGTAAGACAGAACGATCCTGGCAAACCACCGACCTCCGGACACACCTCACACGCTGCAAGCCATACCTTACGCTTAATGGGAAATTATAGACGTCAATCCAGCCGAAACTTAGGGTGCCGTCGCTCTCTGCGCTACAAATGAGGACTATCCAGTTGGATATGACAATGGCTGTCATAATGGATGCCTTACCGCTTGATGCTTTTGAGGAGAAGAAGCACCTCGCGCGTATCTATCGCACGTTCTATCCTCTCGTCAAGCCTCCTACACGGAAGGATATCGTCAACGACTTTCTACCAGGTTAGTTTAAGTACTCTTTTATTTCTCCCAGCCACTAATTAAGTAGAACTCTACGAACGTTGCCGGAAGCAAGTTATGCCTATTATTCAGAGCTCCTCCACAATCAACCTTATTGCTGATGAGTCGAACAACATACGCAAGAAACGAGTCCAGAATCTCTGTGTCAACGTGCCAGACTACGGCGCCTTATATATCAAATCCGAGATCCTCGCCGGCGAAACCTTAAATGGCGAATGGAGCGCGGGGTGGCTATACAAGTGCATGAAGGAACTATGCAATGGCAACTTCACACGGATCAATTCGGTTACAACAGACACCTGTGCTACACAGCTTAAAGCGGCGACGATACTCAGCAAGCAACCGGAGCTTCGACACGTATTCTT